ATAACAAATTTACACGCAAGGAAGTCGTGCAAAAGATTGGTGATAAAATGAAACGGGGGGCTTAGCGGGCAGGCGTCGACGTTTGTGCCACTGCCGAAACGTCGATGCCTACCTCCTGGTTAAACAAGACACCTAAAAAAATTGTTCGTGAACTTGCTCCAGAACTGTATTTTCAAAATGTAAAGTTATGCAATTATTATCCTGTATGTTTATTGCTGCAAAAAATTATAAAATTGGTTTCCTTGGAATTTAGTTGCAGTTTATTTAACTGGGGTCATACAGCTAATTCACCAAGAGAGATGTTTGCCATTGACTCTAATAATGTTTTATGACAATAATGTTTAATATCAAAGGGCCTAAAATAGGGCCTTGTGGGACATATTTTACACCTGCTATATATGATACAGTGTTATTAGCTTTAGCAAATTGACAGCGGTTCTGTAGGTAACGCCGCGGAGCACCAATAACAGTAGACATATACACATAAAAGCGGCATATTCCCAGTAATCCCCCCCCCCCCCCCCCCCCCCCCCCCCCCCCAATTCAATTCCTGGGGAATCCCCCTGCATGTACCATTGGAAGGTCAGAGAAAAAGGTACAAGATAACCCCCAAAACAACTTCTTTTTTTTTGTCTTTAATTAATAAACTATACACATTGCCGAACGCTTACTCTCTGCCCAAATGCAGCTCTAGCGGTCCGAACCAAATGCCGAAGTTTCAGAGCTTTCCGTTTTCTCATTCAAAAGTTCTCAGTGATTTTCTGAAATTTTTCATGGGAAAATGGCGGCCGACAGAGCTCAAAAATACATAAAGCTGAATGGCTACAGTAACCGAAAACGGGCTAAGACGGGCCGCTTCAGCTGGCATACAACTGTAATCTACACCTTTAAGGGAACAAAAAGGGAGTTTCAGAGACTTACACCCATGGTTACACCCTTTCAGTGGTGTTGCATGGATCGCACCCTCGCTTTTAGAGGGATGTCAAAAGCGAGTCGGAATGATGCTACGGAGAAGTGAGGCAAACACCCTCCGTTTTTGAAGGATGTCCGCAATGACCGCACTGATTTATAATTCTTCTGGCTCTGAAAACTTATGATTTTAAAAATTGAGGAAGACATCTTCCGTTCCCTGTTTTGTGCATGACACTCGGAAACATTCATTTTGACTTGAAAAGGCTTAGCTCCCGGCAAAAATTTTGCCATTTATTGAGGCAAATTTGCTAGCCGTAACTCCCTTCAAAATCGGTGTAGTAGCCCTCTTGAAAAAAAAAAAAAAAAAAAAAAAAAAAAATCACGTGAATCTATATAAGAACTGATATAAAATATCCAAAAATACTGATATGTGACATAAGAAACTGGTATGAATTATCCGAAAACCGATAGGTGACATATGAAACTGATATGAAAATACCCCAAAACAGATATGCGACATATGAGAACTGATATGAAACATATGCCAACTACTATGCAGCCTACAAGTTCATCTTAAATAATAACTTATACGGCTTCCATATCAAAATTTGCAATGAGTCCAATAAACATATCTGAAATACATTCATATAAGTTTTTTCAGTACACGACGTGCCGCGTGGAAAAGCAAACACGTGGATTGGAACCGCGGTGGAGCGGCTTGATTTATTGGCTTTCAGATAATTACGGCATAAGCGCTTACGTTTTACAAAGATATTCATCCCCTGAGCCGTTTAAAATAATTTCAGAGGTATGACATCACTGAAAAAAAAATCAACATCTAGAAAATATTATTTCCGTACCTTCAAAACCACCTGTATAAAAGGCGGAAACGCAGAGCTAAGAAGTGCGCTGTCAATTCAAATATACCCCCAAACAATGCTCATTTGCCGATGTTTGTTGTTTGGTTTTATTTGTTTTGTCAATAAGCAGTCAAACAAGACAAGAGTGATTGAACTACTTAAGTACCACTAGAAGAGCTGCAAAGCGCTGGATAAGGAATATGCAGGCAACGTCCCCCGTTTAAAATAACCGCCCATTTTATTGACATCTCTCTCTAATAGGGGGCGCTAGCTGACCTACGAGCAGCTGTGAGCAGAGAGAGCAGCCAGATCCCCTCCATGCCACTCCAGAGCCGTGTGTGCCACTCGGCCCCTCTCTATGAGCATTGAGCAGTAACTGCCTTTTCGTTGTTGGTCTTCGTCGTCGCGGTCGTCGCCTTCTCCGACGAGCTTTTCGACAGGATGAAGTTATTCGACTGTGAACACAATTTTTACGGCATCAAAACTGCCATTACACTCGAAGCGACGAACCAGGTCGTCGAGAGGTGCGTCGTGAACCCGAAAGGTAAGCGGACAACTCCGTACAGGGAGATCGGGTACCAAACTTTTCGGTAGCCCAAATTCGAGCCCGCCCACGTCCACGATTTCATCGTTTATTTTTGTTTAACTAAATACAGTCATCACTTAATTCCTGTTGTGTTTTATATAAAATGTAGACTTCACACATGTTTACTCCGTCCTGTACCGCATTTCTAAAAATGGTGACGCAAGTTAACCCCCATTCATTCGAGCTCGGCCATGACACGTGTAGCTTGCGCGCGATCTCGGCTCCCTCGGTTTGCATAAAAAAAAAAAACGCTTTGTTGCGGGGTACACAAGGGCCGGACATTAATACATGTCGGTAATGAATATCTTAGGACTCTTGATGTGCCGATTGCTTTCTGCGAAGCAGTTTGGTGGAGCGCGTCACCAACACGGAACAATGCGTCCTTGCGTCATGTTGGTGTAAACGCGATAACTAAAAGCTGGGCATGTTCCCCCCTTCTTGTTTTTGCCAGATAAGGTGGTGCCGTTCTTAACACGCCGAAAACTGCCGGTGCTTGAGCTCGACAACGGAACATACCTGTTCAACTCGAATGCCATATGCAGGTAAACGTCCTCGCGCAATTGCTCAAAAAAAAAAAAAAAATAATAATAATAATAAAAAAAAATATATATATATATATGGCACTTTAAACTTTCAGATTTTTATGGGAAAGGAGTGGAAAAAATGAGCTCGACTTATCGGACGAAGAATGGTGCGAGTGGGAGGCTGTCAAATTGCAGGTGAGATTTGCGATTTCGGTGTAACCGACCCCTCTTGACAACTTTGATGAGTTTGCATGCAGATAGTGAATTGACGCACACGTTGCTTTTCCAGCCTGCGGTTGTGACCGTGCTCTTGGAAACGTTGCTGCATGGAAAAGCGGATATTGCTGTAAAAGCGTTGTTGAAGAGTCTCTTGAAATTCCTGGACAGTCACCTGTCGAAACATTCCACGTTATCCAGGGGAACGCAGGTAAAGATGTAACCTTCACCGAAATGGGATGGCTTTGAGTTTGTAACAAGCCACAAAAGCCAATTCAGGAAGTGGGTCACTAGAAAGATATGGGTAGCAAGGTCATGTTTGACTTCTTTAGCTCCTGGTGGATAAGATAATATAGAGTAACATGGAGGGGCCCTTGACTCCCTGGCCCACTTTTCAAAATTCTTGCTGATTTTGTGAATGTTTACATATGCATTTTAGGTATGCAAACGAAAGTACTTAGTTGCGCGTCAATGTAAAATTCTTGATTTCAGTAGTCAGTTTTTTTTGTTTTTTTTAATGTAATGGGAGGTTATGGCTTACCATTGGCTATAAACAAAAATAACAATAATAATTCATTGGTTCAGACTTGCTTGCATTTCACGATATGAATAAATGTAAATAACTTCAGAAACATTCTTGTTATTTTTTATAGCCATTGCTATGTGTCCTTAGACATATAAGTATTGTAGACACAACAGTGACATCAAATATGCATTTTTATTTGTATTTTGCATTGATGCCTTCAGCTTCAGTCAGTGTAAGCTACAATTTTCTTGAATTTTTAGTTTAGGAATTGAGAACAGATTTTTTAAATGTGTTGCCTATCCCTGATACGGTATTAACATATGTACAGTGGTACATTTGTTAATGATACCATAAATTGATTTTTAGGCTGTTTAATGTTTTGCCTTGTATGTTTGCTTTTCTCCACAATACTTTTGCTGTGTTATTTTAAATCAAAGATAGGACCCTTTTCTAATTTGCAGATGCATAAAGGTCAGCATGGAATGGCAAGATTGTGCAAATATCTGGCCAAATTAAAGTTACATTTCCTCTGAATCCAATCATTTGGTCATAAAAATAAATCTGTCAAAAGTCATAATCATTGTAAAGACTTATGAAAGGTGTTGTCAAAGGAATTTATGAGCTTTCTTTATGAAGTAAGGATTTAGAATCTGCATACCTTACTTTGTAGCTCCCTAACATTTCTTTGCTCCCCTCAAAAGCTTTAAAAAAAAAAAATTAAAAACTTGATTTTAGCAGCAGCCATTCTCACTAAATATGTAATTATAAGCTGGAAGTAGGTATTTTGTTTTCACGGCCAAAATAAAAATAAAAATGAGAACATCCAGCTTCTCCTTAAATTAGCACACACAGAAAGTACAGTGAAAAGCAAGACAGTGTGTTTACTTTTGTACTGTTCATAAAGATGTTAGGAAGATATTGTACAAAGACCCACTTTTCACTTTGACAGGAGATGGAATTTGGACAAATGTCATCATGTGGTATTTCTTACCTGAAATTTTACCTCCGTGTAGGGCTTTGGATTCAGCGATGTGATTGTGTGGTCTGCACTGTACCCACTTCGTGCTGAGGGTGCCCTCTTTGCTGGTAACTAGAAGTGCTCTCCAAGCTTCTTTATAACGACAAAGAGCAAATAAAAGGAACATAACACTGAAACCGAAGATCTAGGAGCAAGGTCAAACATAAAACAATGATTTCAAGCTGCAACTCACAATTTTTGGTGCTGAGAAGCAGCAACTCACTTGGCTTGTTTCTGATATTCGAGACAAAAACCCAGTGAACATTGTAAACACTTAAATTTTAGCCGAATGTTGTAATTTGGTTTCATCGATGCCTGATCATAAACTCTCCTGTCCATTTATCGACCTAAGGTGTTTGGCTTGTGACCACCATTTTGTTTAAAATATTTGTTATTTTGTTCCTTTTATAACAGATAACTCTGGTTCTGTGTCTTTACCATTTTAAACAGCTGGGCATAGGGGACTATAGACAAAAAGTCTATAGTCCCCTATGCCTTTTTTGGTGAATACTACTGTCGAAACCGGTTATAACGAAGTCAACGGGAATCGGAAATCACTTCGCTATATCCGCTATTTCGCTATAATCGACTTGGGTTATAACAATGTGCAAAAGGGAATCGGAAATCGTGATCGCTTTGCTGTAGCCGCTGTTTCGTTATAACCGACTTCGTTATAACTGGTCTCAACAGTATAGATCCTGCACATACAAGAGCATATAAAGATCATTGTAAAACATTAAAAAAAAAACAAAAAAAAACCCTGAGAAAGCAGGTGATACCTATCTTACGGAAAACACTTGGAACTATGGGATAGAGTTTAAGGACAAAATCAATATACTGAAGGTTCATGCTGCCCTTTTGGAAGCCAACTTTAACTTTGGAAATAGAGGCTGGGAAATTCAAGCAATCCCAGCACCTGTGTCTTAGTTTGAAAGCTCTCCAACTTTACCAATGTATGAACTCTGAAAATTCAGAAACCTACAAATAGGCTCTTGAGCTAAGATATTTTTAGTCTTATCTAGCTAAGTAAGACACTGTCATATATATTTCTGATTTCAGAGTTAGTAGCACCATTCAGGCCTCTGGTGTCGTGGTTTGAAAAGCTGGAGAAGAATGAGTGTTTTGTGACAGGAGCCAGGCACATTCTCTCCAAGAGTGATTCTGCTGCCTTCAAAGTGAGTGCAAGTCCCATTCCTCCATGATAACTACTCATTCCAGATACTGTTTTTTTGTTTAACCTAGGAACCAAACATTTTGCATTTGGACAAATCAATATAGATGTGTTTAGATTACTTTGAAAGGCTAAAGAGCATTTATTTCCCGCTTGGCACCTTTTTTTTTTTTTGTAATGTGGGAAATGCCCAATTTGAGAAATAATGCACAGTGTGTACTTTGTTTGATTGCAATTCCTATTTTGGAGGTGAAACAAAATTGCAAAGATTGCAACTCAGTTATCTCCAAATTAGTGTTATTGCAGAAATGTTATTCTTTTAAATGTTTATTCTGCAAACTTCTATCAGCTTGTTCATCTTCAAGAGCCTTGCTTATGACATTGATCCAAATTAGGGCTGGGAAATTGATCAATTAACCTTCTAATTAATCAGTTAATACTTTGATCACAATAAACTTTATTTAAATGGTTAATCGGTTGAGTTTAAAATTGGACATTTCGTGGAGAAAGTGAAAACACTAGCTTTACTATTAGGGCACATTTATGTATTTAGGAGGCAGCATTATTGTATCCCACAGAGAAATGCTTTAGCATTCCCTATAAATAAAATCCAAATTGGTTATCAGGTTTAAAAATAATGTAAATTTTTTTTATTTTTAAAGTGGTTTGCCTATGTTTTCTTAGCGTTCAAGTTTCAAATGAGGTGGCGCATTTCGAAATGGATCACGTAGCAAGAAATAGAAAAGAAGGGCAATTTTGGCAGTCTTTAGATACTATGCCTGAAAGTCAATGCAACCGATTAATCAATGAATTAATGGACTAAGGTTTAGTTATTGATGGGGTTAAAATTTTGATCAATGCCCAGCCCTTATCCAAATAGGATACAACCCCCGATTTTTCTGTAGATTCCTCATTCAGGATGGTAGTGTTTATTGGGTGATTTCATCGTACATAAATTAAACATTGATTTTAAAATTGCTACAATATTTTTCTTCATAGTGACTGTTAAAAAAAAATTTCTCAAACAAAAGAGCCCCTTTAGTTCACTCTGAGAAATTAAATTTTTGCCTTCTACTGCAGGAATCTTTAACATGCCTGACCACAAGTCTGCCCCAAGCACCTTCCTCTAAACCAGCAGCTGCATCTCCGGTGAAAGTGACATCTCCGGTGAAGCTGACATCTCCGGTGAAGCTGACATCTCCGGTGAAGCTGACATCTCCAATGAAGGTGAAAGCGAAAGTTGAGGCCAATGGTGAAGCCAGTCCAGAAATAAAGCTAGAAGTAAGTTCTTTGTATTTTTGTTTTAGACATTGAAATTGATCAGTTAGCTTTGGGTTTTGCTTGGAGTAACTTGTTTTGACCTGTTTGTTATTGTCCAATAATACTTCTGGCATTAGGGCTCTAATCTCCAGGTGCTGTCGAGGAATCTCCTTGACGGTCCCTGGAGCATGCGGAGTGGAATCCGACCTCTCGCCAAGCCTTAGTGAAATGTATTCTGCCACTTCTGACATTCTTTTTTCAAGTTTTAGTTGCCAGTTTGTGCTGCTTTCATGCCTAGACTCTCTCTAGCTTGGAGACGATTTTGAGCTGTATTTAGAAAAGGGTGTTTTCAAACACTCTAGAACCTGGCAATGAGCTCAATCTTTTTATACAGTTCTATGAGGCTTATTAGTTTGTATAAAAGTAAATCAAGAAAACCGAAACTGATGTTCGGATTTCCCGCCCTGCAACCTCTCTTAAAATTGAGGTGACGTCAACGGGGAACAGTCGGTTTCGGTAGAATTTACTTGTCATAAGCGTAAATGGTGCTGTGAGCTGTAACAATGCTTGGTGGTTTGAGGGCGTTGTACCGCGTCGCGACCACATAGAGATCGATGATTGCGATTGCGAGTTGCCAGGACATTCGTGATTCGATGTCGCTTGCCAAGCTACTCCTTGAATTGGTTGCCCCACTTTACAGGAAGCATGGCTGACCCAGTGACTAGTGGCCATTTGTCGACGCAATGCAGTCAAACGCATTTAAATGCGTCTGTCTGTACGGACCTTATTTTTTGTTGGCATCGTTGATTGCTAATCGTGTTGCGAGCTGTGCTGTTGCGTTACGAAGAGCAATAATTCTTGCATGTCGCTGTTATGCACCAATTGAGACAGAACACCGTAACAGGCTTAACGTGGACACCATCAACTTTATTAATCCAAGACGTGATACAAGTATGGTCCTGCTCAAGGAAGCTCGGCGTAAAAGCGATGGAGTCTTGGGCTTGCACAGGGGCATTTATTGATGTCCTCGTTCCCACACATTCGTGCACAAATCTTCAGTTTTGAAGGTGCAAGTGCAGAAAGGTTTTGTTAGTTGAAAGGCTGGTTGGGATGTGCAGGAACTGCCATATCGTCTTCATGGTCCCTTTAAGAGGGGTTTCACTAGATGTAACCTAGACTGTGGATGCAATAAAAGCTTAGGAGATTATGAAGATGTATTATTGGCTAAAACCCCCAAGTTCATTTGTGTAGCAGTTGGTATTTCTAGAGTGTTCTATATCGTAGACATGAAGGCCACATGAGACTCAAAGGTATATATGAGAGCAAGATGTTTCTTACGTTGTAGAGTAAAATTTCACCTCTTTTTTTTCTTTTATATATTTGAATAACGCGCTCTGGCCTGAACACATATGGTGCCATTGCTATTTATTCTAGAGAAATAACTGTGTTTTATATTCATTCTCTCTGAAGGAAGAAAAAGAGCTGAGTGCTGCTGAGGTTGGAAAAGCCTTTTTGGCCTGGAATGATCCAAAGAACCTGGCAAAAGAGCTCAAGAAAAAGCCTTGTCCCATGTATGTGCATTTAGTTTGACTTTTAATATTCTTCGAGCACAGAAAATTTGTTTGATTTTGGTTTTGCTCGCATTTCTTTCTAAAACAAGTCACTAATTTCTGTGTGAAGCCCCTTCTCCATATTCTTAAGTAATGTCATAGGTCTCTGTGTGAATAAATATTTCCCTCAAAATTATAAATTGTTGTTTCTTAATTATTGGAAAAGAGTTGTAAAAAGCAAAGATGATACTTGTTTTCTGTTCCAGCCTGCCAAAAAAAGGGGAAAGGAATGTTTTGATCACAAGCGCCCTGCCATATGTCAACAACGTGCCTCACCTTGGAAACATTGTGGGCTCCGTGTTAAGTGCGGATGTCTTTGCAAGGTAACAACAAGTTCCACCCTTGCTCCAGTTGTGCTTTTGTGGCTTGGCCCATGTCTCCGAAGCTTGCATGCTGATCTCCCGAACTGGTCCTTTGTGCAATAACAGGTACTGCAGACTCAGGAATTGGAACACGCTGTACGTATGTGGCACTGACGAGTATGGCACAGCCACGGAAACCAAGGCCCTGGAAATGGGCATTACTCCCAGAGAAATCTGCGACCGTTTCAACAAGCTTCATGCGGACATTTACAAGTGGTTCAACATCTCCTTTGATCACTTCGGAAGGACCACCACGGAGCAACAGACCAAGTGAGAACGGGGATATTGATTTTGAACTAGCTTATAGTTTCAAGCTTTGATGTTATGGAAGGTGGGTTGTTATGGAAATTTAATGATGTTTCTTTGGTAATGTGGGCTCACATCTATAAGATAGGAAGGTAGTTACTAAGCTGTGGTTGTGTTACCTCATGTTCTCGTTCACATGGCCTAGTCTGTTATTAAAAAATAAATGAAAAATTAGTTAAATTAGGTTGGGGTCAGTTTTGAGCCGGAAGTTTTTGTTTTGTATGGAGGGTTTTAGGGAAACTGTTTATCAGACTTGTTGGGGATTTACTTGTCATTGTGAGCACTCTTAAAGTCAACATTTTGACGAAGAACTTGCTGCCCAATTTGCCTGACAGTGACAGTGGATAACCATTTCGTTGCCTTAAAACAGTGGAAAGTGAAGTTTATAAATTCAGCTTGTCAGAACCCTTTCCTGCACCCATATGTGTAATATATTTATGCTCTTTGCATCATCATCTCTTGCACTACTAGTTCTTTCTGTAACTCACTCTATATGAAGTTGCTTCTCATTTCAGGATTGCCCAAGATATCTTCTTGAAACTGCACAAGAACCAGTACATGCGTGAAGAAGTAGTTGAACAGCTCTTCTGCAACCGCTGTGAAAGGTTAGATTTCATGCTTCCTGCATGACGCCGAGCTAGAATTCGGCTTCTATCGACACGACTGTGTATGTAGCCGCACTCACGCGAATGTGCGCTTTCTGCAGGTTTCTGGCTGACAGGTTTGTGGAGGGCACCTGCCCCTTCTGTGCATATGAGGACGCCCGGGGCGACCAGTGCGACCTCTGCTCCAAACTCATCAACCCTACCGAGCTTAAGCAAGCACGCTGCAAGCTCTGTAAGGAACCCCCAGTCCTCAAGACGTCCAGACACCTCTTCTTAGACCTGCCCAAGGTGCAGTGCTCGCCCTTCTCATTCTAGGTCTCGAAGATTCGTCCAATTAATTAAGTACCAAAGTTTTTGATCTACAAGTCGCACTCCCTATAAACGGTTGTTTTCACAAAAAGTTGGTGTAGTATAAGTAGACTGTATTTTTTCCGGTTTTAACCGAAAAACACCGATAAACATCCACCGGTGTCGAAAATACAAAATCGGTTAAAACCAAAAAACACCGTTTCTTTTAAAAATATTTTTGATCAAGCACTGGTTTTCTTTTCACCGAAAAAGTCCTGAATACCTCCCAGTTTTAACCAAAAAACCCCCCAAAAACACGCCAATGACAAAAATAAAAATCGTTCAAAACAAAAAAAAACACCGGTTTCTAAACAATTTTTTTTAGCAATATGTTTTTTCTTCTTTTTCACAAAAAAGGTATGTTTTACGCAAGCATCCATCAAACACATTATGTTTCCCGGAATCATGCACTTTACCTGTCTTTCTTTTGTGACCGACGTGGTCTTGGACTCTTGGAAGACACTAGCTTTGTTCCCATGTTTTTCACTATCAGTGGCCCGAGAGGCCAGTCACAGCTGGCCAATAGCTGTCCCTGTTCGATGTGGGAAAAGGGCAGGCTTTCAACATGGAGTCAGGCACGCAAAAAGCCCTTTATTCACTTCTTCCTTTTCCCTCGTGTCGGCCAAACCGATACGAGAGGTGAATTACCTCACACATCTCCCCTACTAAGTCTCACACCAACAACCAATCACACATCTCCCCTCCTAAGTCTCACAACAAACACTCACCCCTTTCTCCCTCTAAGTCACACCTGCATCGTTCATTGTTCTTGATACCTCTTTGGTGCTCGAACACATCTTCCACTTTTTGTGTGAACGTGGCCGCCATCGGCGCAATGAGGCCCAGCCTCTGGTGAATCAGCATCGGCTTCTCGCACATTCTCGGGTACCTGTAGTTCTGATCCAGAAGCCTGACTGGGTAAGGGAATCAGGTGTGTTCTGTTTCTGCAGATAGAGTCTCCGGCGTCAGTGTCGATCCAGTATGATCTGGGTTCATTTGCACTGCTTTGGGCTACTCCTTGTCGTTGCAGGTCGACTACCCACACGTCAGTTCCCTCGTCCAAGTCGACTAAGTCTCGGACGCCATGCCGGCAGTCGAAGTCTTCTTTTTGTTTCTGTCGCTGAGACATTTCAAATTTTCTTACGTTGTTGAGATCTGGAAGGCAGGGAACGAGGCGGCTAGACGAGACTGGGAGATTTGTTCGTAACCTCCTGCCCATCAGAAGTTCTGCCGGACTGTATCCATTTTTCAATGGACTCGTTCTGTAAGCGAGTAGGGTCTTGTACGGGTCTTCTGTTTTCTTCAGGGACGACTTTATTATTTTGTCCGCAGCTTCGCAGCTTCGCTGCCATTCCATTGCTTTGAGGGTACCTTGGACTGGAAGTGATGTGGCGAAAACCGTAATCTTTTGCGAATTCATCAAATTCGCGATTAGCGAACTGGGGTCCGTTGTCGGATACCACCACGTCCGGTATCCCATGCCTCGCAATAATAGACTTGCAATGGGTGATCACAGTTCTCGATGAGAGACCACCAAGGCGGACCAGTTCTGGGTACCCTCAGTTATGATTAGCCACCAGGCTCCTTCCCAGAAGAACAAATCCATCGCTATTCTTTCCCAGGGATGCTGTGGGAATTCTGTTTGCAGAAGAGGCATTTTGCGGTTGACACTCTGTTTGAGGCATACGTGACAGTTTTTGATGAGCCGCTCAATATCAGAGTCAATTCTAGGCCACCAAACAGAATCCCTTGCTCGTCCTTTGCATTTGTCTATCCCGAAATGACCTTCATGAAGTTGGCGAAGGACGGTGTCGCGCATTTTCTCAGGGATTATCACTCTAGAGGTACGAACCATTACGTCGTCAACGAGTGGGATGTTGTCTTTATCTTCCCAATAGGGTTTGAGCTCTTGCTCGAGATCTCTTCTTCTTGGCCACCCTGTTAGAATGAGTTGACGAAGCCGCGCGCATACTCCGTCTTTCTGTTGTTCACTGGCGACCTGCTGAACACTGTATGACGTCAGCGGCATAGAGGAGACGATTTGTTTGATGTAGCCATCGATCTCATTTTCGAGGTCGAAAGGCTCCGATTGTGAAATAGGAGACCTTGACAGAGCATCGGCTGCCGTTAGATCCTTGCCGGGGACATAGACGATGGCATACGTGAAACGCATGAGTCGCATGCGCATTCTTTGTAACCTTGGTGTCAAGTCATCGAGTGCTTTGGACCCAAAAAGTGAGATGAGAGGCTTGTGATCAGTTTCGAGAGTGAAGACTCTTCCTACAAGGTAGTCTCGAAACTTTTCACTGGCCCACACGAGTGATAAGCCTTCTTTTTCTATTTGTGCATATCAACGTTCGGTCTCTGTCATAAGCCTTGACGCGTAGGCAATTACCTTGAACCGTTGTCCCTCGTTCTGGCGCAAGACAGCACCTAGTCCGTATGCTGATGCGTCTGCACTTACAACGGTTTCTTTCATGGGATCATAGATACCCAAAACTGGGTCTGAAGAAAGCATAGCTTTCCACTGGTCAAATGCAAGCTGTTGAGGTTGGTTCCACACAAAATCATGTTTTGTGCTTAACATCGATGACAGTGGTTCCAAGACCTGTGCACCATTGGGGACAAAACGTGCAAGATACGTAGCCATTCCCATGATGCGGCGTAACTCCTTTTTTGATGTGGGACTTGGCATTTGCAGAATAGCAGGCAGCTTTGCTGGATCCGGACGAACCAGATTGTTCTCGATCAGGTGTCCTAAAAAGGAAATCTTCGTAAGGCTGAAGAGACATTTCTCTTTGTTTAGCGTGATCCCAGCTTGAGTGAGGCGCTCCAGTACTGTTCTTAGACGACCATCGTGTTGATCTTGTGTGGACCCCCAAATTAGGACGTCGTCCATAAGCATGCAACTTCTTCTAGTCCTAAAAGAACATTGGCCATCCTCCTTTGAAAATGTTCTGGCGCCGAAGAAATTCCAAACGGCAGCCTGTTAAAACAGAACCTGCCAAAAGGTGTTATAAATGTCGTCAGGGTTTTACTGTCCTTGCTTAAAGGTATTTGCCAAAACCCTGAGTTGGCGTCAATCTTCGAGAAAACAGTTGCTTTCTGGAGCATTCCCAAAGTGTGTTCTACTGATGGAATCGGATGCCATTCCCTCTGGACGTACTTGTTCAGTTGTGTAAAGTCAACGCAGATACGTATGGCTCCTGAGGGGTTAGGAACCACTACCATCGGTGCACACCACGCCACTGGTTCTGTCACTGGTGAAATTACTCCGAGTTGTTGCATCCTCTCCAGCTCCATTTTTGTCTTGTTGAAAAGAGGCAGGGGCACCCTGCGAGGCGATGTCAGGGCAAAGGCCGTTGCATCAGGTGCTAGCTTTATCTCGTAGTCTCCTTTCATAGTGCCGAGCCCTTCAAAAAGACAGGGAAACTCCTCCTCGGGGCAGAGGCTCCGCACCTGGCAAATCTCTGGGAGAACCTTGAGCTTTTCTATAGCTGGCCTTCCAAGAAGCGGTGTTTTGAGGCCTCGGAGGACGTAAACTTCCTCTTCGTTCCTGTAGTTTTTGAATGAGAGGTTCAGGTTTGCAACGCCTAAGACGTGAAGTCGTCTTCCGTCGGGCCCCTGAAGCTGGCGTCTCGGCGGGTTTAGAGTAGGGTCTTTGAAGAGACTCCTAAAAAAGTCTTAGGGGATTACTGTTTCGTCTGCCCCGGTGTCTACCTTGAATAGTACTGGGTGGTTCTCAACCAGTATCATTAGTTCCCACTTTGAAGTTTGGGTGTTTGACGTTGTGCCGAGGAATCCTGGCTCTTGAGCGTCGTTTCTTGTTTGGATAGCTGGACCTGAGGCCGTCATCAAATGTCCTTTTGAGAAAAATCCTTCTTCTTGCTCGGTGACATTCCTGAGAGAAGACGTCGACCGACAAACTGTCATTAAGTGTCCTCTTTTTCCACAACCTCTGCACACCGCGTCTTTTGCTGGACAACTTGCCCGAGAGTGTGTTGCGTGTCCGCACCAGGTGCAGGATCGTTCTGGATTTTTGGCGTCATGCTGGTGACGTTTTGACAAAGTCCTATCCCAAGCGACCGCAGCCTTTTGTGGCACTGTAAATGATCTGCTAGTGCGAACGTGGTGTACTGACTCTGGGCTTTCTGTGGGACGTAGCTCTTTCTGTTGTGTTCGGACTGTTTCATGTTGACGGGCGATCATGAGCGCCTTCATCAAGTCTAACGACGAGTCCAACTAAAGTTTTTCTGAAACTTTCTTGTCCTGCAGGCCTACTACCAAGCGGTCTATGATTAGTTCTTCTCCGAGTTTGCCGAAGTTGCACGTGTCGGCTAACGTGTGCAGGGCCGTTGAAAATTCCTCCACTGATTCACTCTCCCCTTGTGTTCGGGTGTTGGATCGTGCTCTTTCATAGATTATGTTGCGTTTTGGAAAAAAGTAGGCTTCGTAGTGGGCTAGCACGACATCGAACTTCTTGGCGTTTTCTCTACTTAGCTTGAAAGTGTTGAAGATATCTTCCGCTTGAGTGCCCATCAAATAGACGAGCGTGTCAACTTGTCTTCGGCTGCATCTTGCAATCCAGAGGCTGTGCGGTACCGAAGAAAACGTTTCTTCCATGAGGGCCATTCATAAGGAGTGGTGAAGGAAAAAGGCTCACGCGGATCTATCTGGAACGATGCCATGGCGTACCTGGTGTCCAATTTCGTACCTTGAGGTTGACCCGAGATATTGCCCGTAGCAGCCGCTTTAGCGGTCGCTTCGGCGTCTGAAGAGGAGCCGGTTGGTTTGCGAGCTGACGGGTTAAAACAGGTAGTATTCCGATCCCACTTCTGACACCATGTTCGATGTGGGAAAAGGGCAAGCTTTCAACATGGAGTCAGGCATGCAAAAAGCCCTTTATTCACTTCTTCCCCTTCCCTCGTATCGGCCAAACCGATACGAGAGGTGAATTACCTCACACAGTCCCAAGCCTCGTGGGACTTTTTGGGACTTCACATGTCCACCGCAAATGTTGAGCGGGCATCCTCGAAATTGCGCGTCGTCAACAGGAAGGAGCGGGCGTCAGTGACAGGCACGAGCCTAGGAATGTATGCATGCATATGCTACAATAATCAAGTGTGAAAGAGGTTGTGTAAAAGATGTAAATAAAATTTGGAATTTTTTTTTCTTTAGCGGTGGTTTACATTCACACTTTTTCCCCCCAATAATCACCGTTTTTAGCGTCTGCACGAGAGAATTCACCGAAAAGCACCGGTATTGGTGAAATAAATAAACACCGATAAACATTCACCAATTTTTGTCGTAAATAAACACCCTAAAGTATACACCCGAAGTAGTATAAGTCATACTTTCACAAAAAAGTATGACTCGTACACCTTTTCTTGTACTGTCGGCGCGGCAAAACTGCACTGATAAGCTCGCATGTTTGTATTGTGATGTCAATATGCTGTGAAATGTCATTCTGCCTGGATATTGCAAGCACCAAAACGTGGGGCTTGCTCGTTTTATCTTAGGTTCTGAAAATGCATTGAATTGAGGTGCTACTTAGAATAACCCCGACACGAGTTAGTGAGGCCGTTCTTAGGGTGTCCGCATAATGTCTTTTACTCTCTAAAATTATCTGCGTTTGGACACATTAGCGCTTGTCTAATCGGTGGTCTCAACACACATACATTGCACTAAAGGCTAGTGGCACGAGGCTGTAAGCTTGTAGTGCCCAAACCAGGTGATCGCAGGTGTGACTGGCTCTGTACATGTGTGCATCTGTGTGCTCTTGCAGCTGGAGCCGGCCTTTGGGGAGTGGTACAGGAAAAAGACTGAGGGGGACGAGTGGACGCAGACTGCGAAGGTGATAACGCATGCCTGGGTCAGAGACGGCCTCAAGCCCCGCTGCATCACCCGGGACCTCAAGTGGGGCACTCCTGTGCCACTCCACGACTACAAGGACAAGGTGACCTCTTGTGCCGCCTTTCTCACTTGGGGTGTGGCATTGAATCACTGATACAAAAGAGTCATAATACGTACGACCGATTGGCTGGTTCTGCCCTAGTTGTCAGGGAATGTGGCTGTGGCAAGTCGATTGCTGCTTTTGTGTGTGCTCATGGCTGTAGAAGTTATTGCTTGTAATTGAGGGCTTTTCTACTTATGTTTTAAAGGGACAGTTACACCCACCCAAACATTTATAGCTTTTTGCCAGGCGATTTAATATGGTGTCGGAAGACTGCCCAGTCAATATTTTGCTACAGAGTCGCATATATTTTTAACGAAGGCAAAAAATGCAACTACTCTAAACTGAAAGAGCACGGAGTAATGCAACATGTCTACCAGATAGGAGGGAGAAAAATAGAGGAGGAGAGAGTCTCTGGAAGTCACGTAACTACACACAACCACATTTATTTATTTATTTAGTTTTTTGGTTGTACAAAGCAGACAACAGTATTAACATTGTAATGGTCAAGCACACGGAGGGGAACTCTTTGTTCACAGTAATGCAGCCGGTTGACTAGATCAGAAAGTTTGCTGCCAATTCCCTGCTGTAAAGGCACTCCCCAGGCTCAAAGTCGGACAGCACCATGCATTGGCCACATTCGCACCTGGTAAAGATATTGTATGCATTCATGTTCAGCACCAAGTATGCACTTCGTGCTTGACGTTTGTGCGTTTCTCAATCTCTTACTAATTCATGTTTGTAAGACGAGCAATGCCTTCTGTCAGAAGAAGGGGCGACGGCTCGGCGACGTCTTTGTACGAATCAGCTTGGTGGTCGGGCGCGTCGTAGGGAATAAGTCCTAATTGTTTTGATTCGGTAAAAACATTTATCTTTCGAAACTAGACAGATTTGCCAATATTGTTAACGACAGTTCTGAAGTAGAGGTCCCACGCCCGTCGTCCGCCGCTGCCGCTTAGGGACTTTCAGCCATCCGACCTGCGACTCCTGCATTGCTCTCGTGATCTCGCAATACGGTGCCATATTGTGAATTACGCAGTGCATGGGCTACTGGTATTCTGCGACTTCCTTTTTTTTTTTTTATCAATGTATTTGCAGCTTCTTAAAAGCCACAAAAAATGGGTTTAATAATTATTCTTTTTTTTTTATATTGTGTGTGCTTTTGGTGACCGACGACTTTGATTATATTTAGTGTCTTAATGGCACATGACCACGGAGAAGGGAGTGAGCGTGCCTCAAACCAACCAGTTCTCGGTCAACAATTTCTCAGAGGAAAAAAAATAAATTTTGAGTCACAAATCGTGTTTTAGGTAGCTGGGCTCTCATATGTCATGTATAAATAAAAACCTTGGCAAGCATAAATAACCTGTCAGTGTCCCCTTAAAAGGCAACTCTGCTTCATTTTTGTTTTTGAAAAAAAAAACAATGCAGTCCTTTTCGGTGTCGGCTAGGAAAACCACAGATCAAATATTACGACGTAGTTTAGTCTAAATGTTTCTTAAACGGTCCGGTAAACTTGCAATCCGCCAAGTTGCCGAAATCGGCTGATTAGTGCGGACAAGTTGAGGCGCAACCAACAGTGCAGTCGGGGCTATGGCGCGGGTGTAGCCAAAATTGAGCTAAACGTCATCTCCATTGCCCCCTTTTGCTTGTTTTTACGTCTCTGAGCAAGCGTAATGGGTGATGTCAGCAACATTTACTCTCTGCGCTTATTGGTGTCCACGTGATTGGCGTAACGCGCCTGCACAGTGCGCTTCTCAAAAGCCGTCCGGCCGCCCCGCCATGGTCCCGCCGTTATCGCTGTCTTCCACGTCACAACCACTGTTGTCGTCTCACCGTTTGTGATATTGTCTCGGAGTTTCGTCGACACTATGGACACTACGTACGCAGACTAACGCCGCGGTTGTGCGGACATCTTCAATGTCGTAGACCAAAGCGTGGTGAAGAGTGCGGTGCAGACGACACTTGGGCCTGGCACATGCTCGCCCCAATCCTGCCCGTTGTAGCGTAGAGGGTCACGTGACATCTCGCACTAAGTGTTAGCCGTGTTCTTGGCGGCTTGAGGCCAATGTTGCCGGATGAAGCCGAAGTTTCGGTTTCGATTTCTGCTCGTATTTAAAATTAGGTTTTAAAATACATATCCCATTTTTCACGAAGCAAATGACGTAGCGCAATTTACTAGTACTTTTTAATACGAAATCACTCATTATCCCGAAATCTTCAGAATTGAGCGGGGTTGCCCTTTAAAGGGGAACTCCGCCGATTTCTTCATGGTCCCCAATTTGCTTGAAATTTTGCTAAACTCGCCAAACAACATCGCCAAAATAGTATCCCAAATATTAGGTCAAAATAATTTTTTTTCGCGAAGTTATTGAATTTACAATTTTGGTCCTCACCGTGTTTTTCAAACTGAAAGTCTCTACTGGCAACAATGAAAAAGTGACGTCATTGGAAGTGCAGGGGTTCACTCTTTGGACTGTAGAATTTGTTCCCAACTGATTTGAAGCAGTTTCATGGTGTCAAATGAATGCTTTGGAAGCTCGCTCCAGTCCCCACGCTCCATCACGGAAAAAATGATTGACATCTTCTATTTTTTAGACTGCTCGCCCGACTGGCAAGCTGACCTTCCAATGACGTCACGGCCCTGAAAAGGGCGGGTATATTTGAATGTTTGTTTTTGCATGATTTTCATTTGCCAATTTCGCAATAACTATTATGAATTTCACGATACTAAATAGCATACCAGAAAGGGTAAAGGCCGGGGAGTCAGAAAATATAGTTAGTTGAGGTAGCTCAAAAATCGGCGGAGTACCCCTTTAAGCAGTATTGATTTGTACAAATCAATTCAGAGTTGAGCGTGTTGGTACATACTTGTAACTGATCAGCTTACACTTTAGAATTGTACTTGAGGCTCCTTTCTTGCTTCATCTCCTGTCCTTTGTTTCTTCGTGTTCAAGTACAATTCTAAAATCCAAGCTGATCTGTTTACAACAATGTACAAATCAGTCGGAGCAAAATTTCCACAAATAAACCTTGATGTGGAAAAATCTGCACAGGTTTTTCAACATAAACAAGATTTTGTCTGAAAACATCTTGCATAGAAACAATATGTCATCTGCATCTTGCAAAAAGGTGAGCTGGCGGGCTAGTTGGTCGTTCATCATTAGTAAAATAGCGCAAAACAACAAGGAAGAAAGGGCGAGATAGACAGGAAGGGTACATCTTGCAAAGTTGTACATTTCAGCTTGGGAATAGTGTGTGCAGCACTCTCAGGAACTGCTGATGGGAGATTTCTTCAGCTGCATTATGGACATAATCTTTCTGTGGCCACTAAAATGCACCACTCAGTTGACTTTTTACTGCAAAGTCACGTATTTGCCGAGATAAACTAACTAAAATTGCAACTCAAGGATCGACACGGAGAACCAGGATGTTGGAGATACCTGAAATCACTTGGGTTGTTTTTGCTTTCCACCTCTATTCAAAGCTTCTTTAAATCTGTTTTTGGTGCTTCGATTGTCAGAAAACTTATGATTCGCAGATATACTTATCAATGAAGATGCGCCTCGGATGGCTCCTTACTTGTTAAATATTCTGAGTCCCACGTCATCATCACGCATGACTAAAGAAAAGAGTGGGGGAAGCCCCATGCTTCCGTAAACCTCCGGGCACTTGCCGGTGGACCTTTATCAAAGGGAGCGGGTGTTTCGTGCCCCGCACGGCAGGTGTTCTACGTGTGGTTTGACGCCCCGATCGGCTACCTGTCCATCACGGCCAACTACACGCCCGACTGGGAGCTGTGGTGGAAGCAGCCGGACCAGGTGACTCTGTACCAGTTCATGGCCAAGGACAACGTGCCCTTCCACGGCATTGTGTTCCCCATGACCCAGCTGGGCACCCACGAGCACTACACCACCGTCGACCACCTCGTTGCCGTCGGTGAGTCACCTCTGCCAACCCTGTTGCTTCCACATTGCTGTTATACGTTGCTTTTTACGGCGATAGCCGTTATGGCCTCTTTCCACCCCTCGAAACGACGTCCGTAGTCGTCATAGTTGTCATCGTATTAGGGCGTTCGTCTTCAATGTCGCCAAATGCTGGAAAAAGAATGCCTGTCGCCACGGTGTTTTCGGGATTCAATCCTTGTGTCCACTGCGTGTGAAACGGGCGCATTACTACAGAGCTACGCCACCGCTTTGACACCCCGCTTTTTGAACTGGATTTCAAGCATGCACTCGCACCTGGGTCTCATGTAGCACGCACTAGATGGCCACAGTTGCTGTAACGTCACGATTTAAATTTTTTTACTGTGTCTTGATTAATTTGAAACTTAATTGAAGTGAATCGTTGAAATTAAAAGCTTCAGCTAGGTGGCGGAAGCTCCTGCCCAATTGAGAGGGTTTGGACATATCCATTCATCCGATACCGCCTAGAAGACCAGGCTTGCACATCACGTCATCATTGGCAGACCCCCGAGCCACCCCGAGCGGCAAATGCGCCAAAGCTTGACGAGTGTATGACGCGAAGTGGCAGACCAACGCTGGGCAGAATGTGCACCTTTGTTTCGCTCACCAGGCACTAGCGTTGAGCTTGGTGAGAGACGTTGAAAGACGCGCTGGCGGCAACGTTGACGCGTCTCGTCGTTCGTTGCAGGGACGGCTGTGAAGTGCATGCTCATCAGAACGGAGCCACAAGGCCCCGCCGTAAGACCCTACGGTGCATGAATGTGACGCCGATGCCTGACGAATTTGCCGTGACATGTCACAGCTGTCTCTCTGACTGTGCTCTGGATTGACGCGAGACTGCTAACTTTTTTTTATGCCTGTGTGTCTTTTCCTGCATGGCCTCCCCCAAAACATACTTTACGTTTAAAAAAGAGTGCAGTTTTATTTAGACTTCTTAATCAATTACAGAATTTTGTTTTATGAGGAACACGGGGGACAACAACTCCAGTCTTGGCCTTCCAGGCAGGCGATGCTGTGTTGGTGTTGCCACATCCTTCTTTTGTACCCTTTATTAATGCGAAAGCATTAACGGCCCCATGGAGCAAGCTGACATTATTAGCTTTGAAGCCATGCCAAACGGCACCTTAAATTTTTTCTTCCAAGTGAAGCTAGCTCCCAGCTATGAAACCACGCGAAAAGCCTAGACAACGGCACCTGGTTTCCTCGATCCCAAAAGGAGCGGAGGGAAGCTGATGGATTTCGCCTTTGGTCCCATTGGCTGGTGCGCATCATAGTTTCGAGGAACAAGGTTCTCATTGGCCGCTGGGTGTCAGTTTCACCGACGGCCACCCCATGGCTCTGCACGTCCACACTGTCCGCTCGAGGGTAACGAAGCATCCAAGGTCAGAGCGGCGAAGAGAGCGCGCGATCTGCCGTCGATGCGAATACGCTGCTGACGAAATAAGGGAGTGGAAGTATGACACTCGTGCTTTCGCATGCACAACTCGTAAGAAGTGCTTAGGTGTACGTCAAGCTTTTTTTTGTTTCTTGTATTTGAAGCTTTTAGAGCTGAAAAAGTCTTCTCGACGCATCTTGGAGTCTTCCCTCCTGTTTTTTTCAATTTCCTCTTCTTTTTCTTTGTTTCTTTTTAAATGTTTTTCACTGTGTGGATGGGTGCAGTTTGTGGCCCAGGTGTTCGGCAGGCAATCACGCTTCACTCACTTTTTTCAAGGTTAGACCTAAATTAGCTTCACTAAGAACACAATTCTGCATTAGAAATTGGTGGTTAACCGCCGAATTCAGAAACCTCACTCCAATTGAGGCACCCCTCCACTTCCTCAAGGAAGGCACAAGGGCTTGCACTGGTCAATCGCGACGACAGATAGGTGGCCTAGGCTTCTTGCGATTGGCCCAGCAACGGCCCTCGCGCCTTCCTTGAGGAAGTGGAGGGGCCCCTCAATTAGGTTGAGGTTGTGAATTTGGTGGTAAGTGTGTTAGAGTGCCACAGCTCGGAGGGTCTGGCGACGAGGGCTGGGTGGAAAATGGGCAACAAAGAGTGGTGGTCACAACTAGGGAGAATAAGGAGTGAGGGAATAGCAAAGGGGGATGAGAGTACACTTTTTTCTTAAAGTGGTAGCTTCATATGGTTGTCCAACCTCAGGAGCCACGTAAGCACAAAATGTGTAGGTCGGTGAGTCCATAATCACTGAGCAATCTTGAAAGAAACGGTGAACAGTGCCAGGGATCGAACCCCGGTCACTAGCGTGGAAGCCGAGTGTACTGCTGACTGAGGTACAGGCCCAGCATGAAGGAAGGGGAGGAGCAGAAGCAGGTGGCGTGAAGAAGCGTGCAGAGCAGAGAGGGGTAGGAAGGGGCAAGTAAAAGAGGAGCAGAAACAGGTGGTGTAGAAAGAGCGTATGGAACGAGGGGGAGTGGAAAGGGCAGGAAAGCGCACTTCCCCTGTTTTGGTGACCCAGAAACTTCAGCGCAAATGCTTTGTATCTGGGTAGTGCTGAACGGAAGCGCATGCAGCATCACAAAGAGAGAATAGTGTGACGTAATCTGTTGCCATTGTTAGCTTGGCCCAGCTCGTTTATCTACTTTTTTGTCTTGCCTCAGCGAGATCTGTAATGGATCCTCAATATGTGACTTTTGCGAGCGCACGGGGTTGCGGGCCCAGCTTGTTTACGCTCCGCGAGAGCGTGAACTGAACTTCGCCATAGCGCCTGCCTGTGAAGAAGACACCGCTTGTGCCTGCGTGGGAAGAAACCTCTCACAGAACGACCAGAGGCACGCCACGTATACGCACGCAAAAGAGACCATGTAATCAGAAGTTAATCTAGTATAATAAACGCTATTTCACTTGCTTCTCAAATCAACGTCGCATTATTAAATAACGGAATATCAGCACCCGGCCACCGCTGACACCATACAAAACCCTCCCCTAGGCGCACCACCCGAACCAGAGCACCACCCACCCCTAAAGCTACCGGATTTAAACACATTTGTCAGAAGGATCCAACATGTAGTCAATCAATAATTATGGCACAACCATCATTGTGAATTGTACAAGAGGATGCAAAGAAACTAGTTTCACAGTTCGGTTACCTGAAGTCCTGCATTTTCAAAACGTCTTTAAACTTAGCTAGGGGCTCTCTACAGAACAAAGGATTTCTGAAACCTGTGTCCAATGAACAGATACATGAAGTGTTAAAGATTTTTGTTCATTATTTAGTCCCTCACAGACTTCTACCACACTGGAAACTCTGCAAGTGCTCCCGAAGCCAATATACAAAAGAAATTTATTTTTTAAGTTTAGGTTCAAATTGGTACTTGGCAGGAACTGCCCACGTAATATGGTTTTCTGAATGAACAACGTTGGGTACTGTATCTATAAAATGAAAGTCTACATGCTGAGAGGTGCTGTGTTATTAAAGAAGTCAAAAGAAGAGCTTCTTTCTTTCCTGGTGTCACCAAACATAGTGAATAACTTCGTCTACTACTACAAATAGCCATGCGTGGTCCGGATGAAGACTTCTCGTGGGCTGAAGCTTGTGTATATTGCTGTTTGGAGCTTCCCTCCTATCACTATTTCTTCCAGACTTGTTTAAGATCAGAGGCTAGCTTTGTTTTTTGAAAGCAGATTGGACGACGTGTGTATGTTTTCAGACGTGGTGGCTGCAGTTAAGAGAATGAGCTTCAGTTATGAAGCCATTGTAACTGTGTTATTCTGCTTTTTCCCTCTGAAAGCAGCCTATGGCGTAATGAGAGCCTCTCTATCAATGCTAGTTGAACATTGCACTCACGCTGTTAGACTATCTGCACTATGTTGTCAGCTAATGAACATCTTTGCTTGCAAGGAGCAAAGGTATTTCACCTTGTCTCAGGGTTTAGATTATGATCTTTGCTTGTTTCTTTCTGCAGAGTATCTCAATTACGAAGACTCCAAGTTTTCCAAGAGCCGGGGCATTGGAGTCTTTGGAAATGACGCTCAGGACACTGGAATTCCTGCTGACGTCTGGAGGTTCTATCTCATGTACCAGCGTCCTGAACATCAGGTGTGCACCTCTCCTTTTTACAGCGGAGCTGTTAAGGGCTAGATTCCCCAGGAACGTGTCCACCAGCAAAGAAATGATGACACCAAACTCTGGACAGCTACTGCCATCTATGAGCGACGGCGGCAACTAGACAACTGGTTGCCGCCATCGTTCATAGATGGCGGCAACCTTTCTTCGGAGGAAGAAGAGCGGGGGTGGAACGAGCATGAATGTGCGCAGCAGCGCGAATGGCTCCACAACCGCCGAGAGACAGCTGTCACCTAAAGCTACAGTGCCTCGAGTGCTTCAGATTCCTTTACGAAAGAAGAGTAGATCACTCACCTGGAAAGCCACCGCCGAGAACAGAAGCTACAGCTCCGCTGCTCTTCCTTCTTCACCAGAGTGGAAAGGCTGAAAGTTTTTCAGACACTTTTACTGTTGTATGTAAGGATACCTAGGACCAACTGGCAGCTAAACAAGCATGTACTCGGAGGCATGCTCTAGACCACCTTTTGGCATGTCCTGACCCCTTTTGCATGTGCATATCTTTTAATGCCTGCCTTTGAGGGGGAGGGGGGGGGGGCACATCAGGTTTGTCTGCTTATAGAAACTGATTTGTCTTTTGCAACCTAAAAATTTTAAATTTGAGAAATATTGTTGCAAATGTCATTAATAATTTTAATATACTATATTTTCACAATTTTAAGCCCCCCCTTTCTTTTTGCCAAATGATGGCATTATGCACCGCGGCAATTACACAATTGAAAGTTTCAGCCTAAATGCAAAATCGCGTGCACCCCGGGAGGGGCTATTATTTGTTACGTGCTTGGGGAACTATGATTATTTTATTTGCGCCCTGCTTTTTCGCTCCGCTGGGACTATTTATAGTTTTGAAATTAGTCACTTTATGCAAGCGCTACCCTCAACCAAACGAAAGAAAGGTGACAGCGTTTTGCCCTCAATAGTATTTCCATTCATGCTTTTCAACCTGGACAGCTTGCAAACATTGTGTGTACTCCCGATAGATGATTAGAACAAAATTATACAGGCTTATATAAAATTACCGACAAAGACCAGAGAGCACCAGAACGTGTTCCGCACAAACGACACTCCGTGTGTCGTTGGTGCTAGATTTCCAGTCTTTTTGTTATCTATTTTCTTTATTTTTTTTTTTGCTATATTTTTTTATTTATTATTTATTTTTTATTTGTATATTTCTTTTATTAAATTATTAATTATGTATTTATAAATTTTACTAATCTATTTATTTATCATATTGCCGTAAAATCCTGAGAGGTGCCTGACCCCCGAAAGGTATTCCACCCCTATTTCTAGCTATTTATGCTTGCCTGGGTTTTTATTTGTACATAACATATGAGAGCCCAACTACCCAGAACACAATCTGCAGCTCGAAATTTGTTTTCTTTCCGCCCGAAAACCGTCTTTTGAGAGCTAGCCATTTTGAGTTGAGGTCACTCTCTTCTCTGTGGTGACGTGCAGTTCTTTATGGTTTGGACACACACACCAAATATAATCAAAGTTGTAAGTCATTAAAAGCACACACTGAATATTAAAAAGAAAAAAGATATGATACCTTTTTTTTTTTTGGCTTCTAAAAAAGTGCAAATACATTAATTGGAAAAAAAAAAAAGTTGCATAGAGTGCTGGAAGCACTTTGTGCACTTGGCGTAAATGCGTCTAATTAGCTATGGTGGGATAAAAGCGAACATTGCTGACTGGGAAGTACAGTCATCCTTGCTTCATTGCCTTCCGCCGCGATAACATGTTTGGCGGAACGCGTGATCTGAAAATATAATTTTTTCAACTTTTCTCGATTTCACACCGAAAGATAGCCCACTCCTTATTTTCACCCAATTTTCTCTCGATTTTAGGTGGGTTATCTCGAGGGATATTACAATGTTTATTTTAGGATATAACTATTCAATTCATTTGTTTATTAATTATTTTATCAATATATTCACTGGTGTTATTTATTTATATTTATATTTATTTATATATTTCATTCATTTATTTATTTTGTTTATCATTTATCCAAAACCTGCCACTGTCGCCAGCACTTTTACATTCAAATAAAAAAAACATCCAGACCAGCCGCGCTAGTAGCTCAGTGGCTGTAGCACCTGACTGCCACTGCACCAACCCAGGTTTGAGCCGTGCCAGGGACTCAAACTGTATGATCTTAATGTCTGTAATGCTCCCAGCGTGTCACACGCTCACGACACTCGTTATGATGCTTGTTCATGACAATTATACTTGGGTAGTAATGCAATTACAGTAATTGAATTACTGTAATACAATTACAGTAATTGAATTACTGTAATACAATTCCAGTAATTGAATTACTGTTGTTTAATTACTTTATAATTGTAATTAAATACTTTTGGCTAAAAGGGATTTTAATTTAATTACTTTCTAGCCTCAGTAATTGCACAATTTCAGGCACAATTACAACTACTTTTGAAAGACTGGTGCTGACGGAACCTCCCTGAAAGCCTCAGTGCTCGCACAAGCGGCCTAGCCCTCGGTGACACACTCGCACACATAGACAAGCACTCACACAGACGCACAACAGAAATAGCATTGTTTGTTGTTTTGTTACCTGCACTGCGGGCTGAGAGACAACCGTTTTGGAGCTTACCTGAATGGTTCCGTGTGGCGCCGTCTGAGGTGCAAGCAGAAAACAATCGCGTAACCATTCGAAAATATTGAAAGAAACAAAATTGAGCTCCAGCTTGCAGCTGAGGTTGGGGGGGATTTTAAATCTTTGAGGAGTTTGTTTTCTTTTTATTGCCAGTTTCTTACGTCCGCCTTCCAGTCCTGACGAATATTTGTTTCGTTGTATTATTTCCAAGTTTATTTCCTGTTGGTTTTATTCCAGATATTATTTGCATAAGCATTTAGGAGGCCGACCTCGCACCTTTGAGTATTGTCACCATTGATTCGAGAGCCCTCATTCGGTTCTTATGTATTTCTGAGCCTTTATAATTTCAGCTCAGTGTAAATAATTTACAAAATCATGAAACAATTGTATGTGAATGTGGTCGTATCAGCGCGTGTTGATTGTAGTTTTATATTAACACTGTTAAAATATTCAGATATACTATTTGTCGCATTTCTATTTGCCTGGCTAACAAAAATGTGTCAACCCAATTTTACTTTAGTGGTTTGGCGTCTTATGAGCTAATTTATTACAGCGGAGCTGTTAAGGGCTAGTTTCCCCAGTAACGTGTGTGCAAGAAAACAAATGTCGGCACGGAACTCCGAACAGCTGCCGCCATCTATGAGCGACGGCGGCAACCAGACAACCGTCTTGCCGGTGTTCTGGTTGCCGCCGTCACTTATAGATGTCGGCAACCTTTCCAGCCTTTCCACTCTGGTGAAAACCAGAGTGGAAAGGCTGAATTTCTCTAGGAATCATTTTAGAAGTTGTCCTCAAAGTCGTCCTAGATGTTGTCCTTGAGATTCTCCTAGACATCGTCCCTGAGGTTGTCCAAGTTGTCATCCCTTAGGTCGTCCTAGGCGCCATCCTCTAGGCGTCGTCCTCGGGGTCGTTCTAGAAGTCGACCTTGAGATTGTCCTAGACGCCGTTTTTGAGGTCATCCTAGACATTGTCCTCTAGGCGTCATCCTTGAAGTCGTCCTTGAGGTCGTCCTAGAAATCGTCCTAGATATCATAAAGATAACAGCTTCACTGGTCTTCCTTCTTCACCAGAATGGAAAGGCTGAAAGTTTTTATTATTTATTGAAAATATAAAAATATTGGACTTCATTACCCCAAACTGTCAAGTTCTATAATTAATTTAACAAAATTCACAACAGGAAAGTACAATACGTGAGATTTATGCAGCGATATTTAAGCCTCATCAAACATTGGGCCAAGGAATAAATGCGTTGCATTCTTAACCAGTCGTTTGAAGTTATAGGGCCCAAGTCGGTTGCTTTCGGAAATAGGCAATTGTAAAGTAATTGCATTACTTCTTAAAAGTAAGTTGTAATTGTAATCTATTACTTTTCACATACATTTTCGTTATACTTGGTATAACAAAATCGCTTTTTACAAATTATTGCATTTTTCGACGTTCGACGCAGTCCCGATCACAACGCATGCATTTTGAATCGGATTATTCAAAGTGTATCGACGGCTGGACATGCTTATTACGAAGGACGATCCTCGCAAATTATCTAATTTTTCCAAGTTTGACGCGGTCCCGATCCCAATGCATGCATTTTGGACCGGATTATTCTAAGTGTATCGACGGCCGGACATGCTTGATACGAAGGACGATCCACCGAAAGTACAGTATGTAAGCCAGCGCAAGAAAACGAAATGTTTGTTGTCCCTTCTCCGCAGTTTGTTTTATTCTTTTTGTTGCCAGCCTTCTAAGATGTGCGCAAAAAGCCAGTAGCTGCAAAATGTATATCGTCTTTTGCCGTTATAAATGCGTGAGGAGCGCGGCCTTGCTTGCGGAGTGTCTGTCGCGCCCACCTCTTTGGAGCCCCGACGCACCTGCCCCTCGACTCCGACTTGTCAAGTCAAGGGAGCAAAGAAGGCGGGAGATCGCCACTTTGGGAGCTCTGTGCACGCAGAGGCATGCGGCAGCTTCGACAGCGTGTTGAGCGACAGTTCTGACATTTCTCACGGTGCCCCTGGTGCCCGTGGTGCCCATGGCCCAGCCCCCGTCGGAATCAAGTTAGGGAAGCACATCCCCTGCCAGCGCCCACTTCTTTGGAAGCACCGTCCCAAGTTATCTATGAAAAGAAAAAGAAAAACTCCGTCTCACTAAAACCGTTTAGTACAGCCAAAGCTACAGGGGAGAGAGCGCTCTCTCCCCTGTAGCTTTGGCTGTACCAAACGGTTTTAGTGAGACGGAGATGGAGGAGAGCATACGCGCGTATGCTCTCCCCTCCTCTGTAGCTTTGGCTGTACTTGGTGGTCGCGATGCACGTGTTTTCCAGCTTGTCGACACTGCATTTACGGATTCCGTGTGCCTCGAGGCAGCGTCTTTGATATCGTGTTCTACGTTGCGAAGGCACCTCAGCCCGTCTGCCGCGTGTACAGTAGCTGCTTTGAACCTGCTTCATTGAAGGCTGTGCAGAAGTGTTTGACCCTGGAACAGAAGAACTGGAGGAAGGTGGTTGACCGAAGAAGTTGGAAATTGCGAAACAATTCAACATCCTGGCATTGACTCTGTCAACGACTTTTCCCGCACGCGTGTTTGGTGCACCAGCGGATGACACCGAGATCTGCGACGACCTTTACAGAACCGTGCATGAGATCGTCGGTGCAACTCCCGAAGACGACTTCGGCTCGTTCACGCTTGTGGATGCGGGCATCTCGGTTGTCGCTTCTGTCACGGATGCCGAGATCGTGGGCCTCGCGTGTGGCCAGGGCAAAGACGAAGAGCCATTGGATGAGGAACTCCGAGAGGTACCCACGACTGACGAGAAACGCAAAACATGCTTTGTCTTCTTCGCAACAAGGTGGAGTGCGGCAGCGGCGATGACAGCCTCAGGCGGTGCTTGAGGCAGTTGGGGGAGGTTTTTTTAATGCCTGGCAAAAACGCCCGGCGAACTGATCGCCCGTCTTTTTTCATGTTTCAGTAAGCCTGGATAATAAGCAAGGTTCGTTTCATTGAATATATATTTGTAAAAGCCTTCCACACTTCCTGTGTACTTCAAGGGTACTGTTACTCTTTTTATGGCTCCCGCGTTTTTATCGAATTTTTTCGCTGTCCTGTTGACTTCGTTATAACAAGGGATTACTGTAGTTGTAATTGTAATTGTAGATAAACTACTTTTGGAGCAAAGTAACTGTAATTGTAATTAAATTACATAATGGAAGTAATTTACCCATGTATGATTTTTTTCAGAAAAAAGGCTGCATAAAACACTTAAAAAAAATGTCGGTTGAGTTATTTCTTGTATTATCCCTTTGGAAAAAGGCTCACTCACTGAGACATGTCTTGAAAAAAATATACTTGTCTGCAAAAGGGTAATCTAAAAAGCTTGTAAGAACAGACGGTGCTTGCAATTGCAGAATTATTCTTGTATAGTTGACTGAAAGCTTTGGGGATTAAAGCCAGCGAGATAAACATGGACCAATAGTTCCAGCTGGCTATGTGCTCTATAGAAGGAGAGGTAAAGGATGCATGGGAAGCATGGTGCTGTGCATACATTACTGTTTGTGTTACTGCAGGCACAATTAAGGCTGGTGGATTGAAAGTGCTAGTGGGAGAAAAAGTAAAACTATGGGGGCACATCAAGGTCAGGTGCATTTTTGGGATTCAGAAAAAACGATGCACACACTACAAGAAATTTTAATAATTGACTAATTTAGTGGTCTTTTATGATGCCTAACAGTTTTCTAATTGGAACTGTACTCCGTCTCACCCTTTGAGCTAGTGCTCTGCTGGTGGGCAGAGTACTACCTCAGAATTGCTTGCATCTGCATTGCAAAAGAGTGCGCGAGAGAAATTCCGATATGCAGAGTACGAAGAGCACCGACCTTACACATCTGGTTCTCTGTTGTGATAGCGTGCTATTTTATATTGGTGAAGTTAACATACATGATATTTAGTTTCATAAACATTTGTGACCATATTACGTAAACATGTAGAAGTTGAAGGCCACGCAGACAATGCTGACATAAAGTGGTTTCGCCTTAGCCTTAACAATCCAATCTAATCATGAACACTCGATTCGGCTCATCTCCATTTCTTAATGGTCACTGGTTCTGATCCCGGGTTCTCTTTGCCGCATCGCTTCCAGGCGATATTTAATGCCTTCAGTAGTCTTCAGTAGTAGCAAGGAAAGAGAGCTGACGCAAGGGTTCGATAAGCAGACAAAAACTTGTCTCCATGTGACGCATCTTGGCGCACTGATACGTACGACACAGCAAATATACCTCGTGGTTTCTAACAGGCTCGTGATTCGAACCGGCGACCTGTAGCATTGGGCTTTAGTCCACCGTAGGATGAGACAAAGTATTGTATGTGTTTATTTTTACTAATAAAGAAGTTAGTTATGCAAAAATAATTAAAAGCTTAATTATTCCAAGTGCTACGTACCTCAATAAATGGGCCTTTCTTACCATAACTAGAAAAGTGTCTATCTTATTTTTGTGCAATGCATAGCTTTTGCACAAAAATGTGGGTTGTTTGGTGAAACATCCCGCACGCTTTAGTAGGGAAATGTGCCATAACAAGAGCACCATTTTCCGTGTCTCTTAGGACACCAGTTTCTGTTGGAATGACCTGCTCATGAAGAACAACTCGGAACTGCTCAACAACCTGGGCAACTTCATCAATCGAGCACTGACCTTCCTCTCAAACAACTTCGGGGGCATTGTGCCCGAGCTGCAGCTCCTGGAAGAGGACAAGGTGGTCATTGCCAAGGTGGCATCACTGGTCGAGCACTACGTCAGCCTCATGGACAAAGTCAGGTACGACATAGACTGCCCCTTGTTACAGGCCTAACACTCTCCGAAAGCTGCTGCTCTTCTTAGCCACAGTCTTGAGGCAAAATTCCTGTCTATAGATCTCCGTTTGACAGGATGAACTCCTGGCTGAGGAGCCTGCAATCTGATAAGAGCACTGGTTCTCAACCATTCTGGTTTTCACGGACCCCTTGTGGATCGGCGGAGATGATGGAGGACCCTGTTCATGTTGAGGGGAAGTGAACAGTACAGGTTAACTATGATAATGATTCAATAAATGGACATAGCTAAGGGCTAGTGTGAAGTAGACTTCTCTAATTTGCATACATAAGAGAAAACTTGCCAAAAAATTTGAATGTTTTTTCTCCATCTGAAAAAAAAACAACTTTTATTGCCAGACTTCACTGATGAGGCAGGGCCTTGCAAACCCCTAGGATGCCTTCGCGGATTTCAAAGGGTTTGCAAAGCCCCATTTGGAAACCGCTTTGATAGAGAATGGGTTTTCAATCTTTTTATCTCTCTATTAATGGCGGAGGAACCCTCCCTGGTCTCGGCATTAAAGCGGTGTTTAAAGGGACGCTGACAGGGTATTTGTGCTCGCCAAGGTTTTTACTTGTACATGACACATGAGAGCCCGATTACCCAGAACACAATTTACTGCTCGAAATTTGTTTTCTTGCTGCCCGAAAACTGCCGATCGAGAACTGGCCGGTTTGAGTCACGGTCATCCTCTTCTTCGTCGTCACGTGCCGTTTTCTATGGTTTAGACACAGCCACCAAATGTAATCAAAGTCGCAGGTCATCGAGGGCACACACTCAATATTAAAAATAGAAAAAAAAATGGTACCCATTTTTTCATGGTTTCTAAAAAGCTGCAAATATGTTAAATGAAGAAAAAAAAAAATTGCACAGTTACATGATTTTTGGCAATGCTCTCCTTCTCTATATTTCTTCTTCCTCCCCAGTCCAGTTTCGGTTTCTGTTTCAAGCAGTTGCATTTTTTTACTTTATTAACAATATATGTGATGCTGTGGCAAAATATTGATTGGGTAGTCTTATTTATTTTTATTTATTTATTTATTTATTTATTTATAGCGTGCCCACAAGCAGCATGACACCTTTAGCATGCTGCACAAAAGGAAACAAAGCAAAGAAAGTAGGGGTATGCAAATACCGAATAGTAGTTTTCGAATCGAATACCAAATCGAGTTAATAAAAAAAAGCCGAATATCGAATGAAGATTTTATTTATAGGAATTTTTAAATGTGTGCTGTGAATGAGGTTATCATATATGTGCGGAGTATGTGCGTGGTGCAGAATATGCATCTCGTAAAAACGAAAAATTTAATGTATAAAAATACTGCTAAAAAAAAAAGAAAAGCAGCTGCTGATGAACGTTGGGCACTGAAGATCCAATTTAGTGGCGCAAACATAATCTATCTAGTATCTACCCTAAGCATCACGAAAAACCCAAAGTTACAGCCGCACGTGCCTTTTTTTCTCGTTAAAAGCATAACCCAACCCTGCAACATGTTCTTTTTTTTTTTATATTTGTATATCTCAGAAAAGGGTCATTTTGGGCATTTTGTGATATTTGGTCTCAATTTTGAGAAAGAAAAAGGGCACCCGGGAGTTTATTTTATATAAATAAACAGATAGCTGTTAAATCTGAGTAAACAAGATTAAACAATATAATCTGAAGTAAAAAAAAGAGTGGTTAGGTGGCACAAGTTACCGCCCAACTGCCGCTATGCATCCATCCCTCCGTCCAGTTATCTTGTTTTAGAGAGCCTAGATTTAAAAGAGGGAGTAAGCAAAACTGAAACCACAGAGACTGCTCCTGCGCAGATTGGTCGTAAGCGAGCAAACGGAAGGGCGATGATGTCTGCCCAATCGACGCTTTCGTCCCTTTTTTTTTTTTTCGTAACCTTCTCGCAGTTCGTAATTCAAACGCAGCTATCGACTAATTGGAAGCCCTCTCAAATCTAGGCACACTATTTTTCCATTCCGTTTCATTTCGAATCAGAATTTGCGGCTTGCGGTTCCAAAAGAACGACGACAACTCAGCTGGTTTCATCGGCATGGTTGACGGGGTTTTCTTTTTGTGATCTTACAGGCGCCGGTTTCTGTGAGTGTAGCAAGTGTTTTCTACAGTACATCGGCACTTTTTACTTATGACAAGAATTAGACATGGCGCGGAATTCCGGCCTCCCAACAATTCCTCTCTGGAAGCGGTGCAAACGGAATGTTTTAGTTGTGATTCAAAGTTAGATTATGTCACGATCATGAGTAAATCTGAATGCTATGAAGTTTCTGGCGTTCGTTACTTTTCTTTTTTCTAACCTGCGCGTTAGATTTTTGTGGAATGGTAGGACCAAAAGGTGTTTCTTGCATGGTCTGTCTAACATGTCGCAAACATCGGGAGAAAAAACGGCTCTTTTGTGAGCTCCGCGCCGACCGCGCGTCTTTGGCCGAATATATTGAATATTCGAGTGATTAAATACTAGGAATTCGATTTGCGAATTGAATTATTCGGGAACTTACTATTCGATTCGAATTCATATATTCGAGTATTCGCGCACCCCTAAAAGAAATTTACAATTGGAAACGAGCGTGTTGGTTAATAGATACAAAAGTTGAAAGTATAAAACAGAGAGGACGAGGAGGGAACAGGACATCTTTCATGAAAGATGTCCTGTTCCTGTCCTCGTCCTCTTTGTTTTATACTTTAAAGTTTTGTACCTAAAAGAAAGTATGTGCAAATAGGTGAAAAAGCAAAGAGGAAAAGAAAAAGAGAAAAAAAAGAAATGAACAAATACCATACAAATTTTCCACAGCTCAGGCAAAAGTATCATAACAATCAAAGGTGCTCAGACCAAGTGCCTTAAGTGAGTTGTATACAAGTTGTGCTTGTATGCAACTTACTTGTGTTGTATACAACCCACACAGTAAAATTTTTGGCATTTAGATGAAATCTCAAACACATGCGGATTGCACCTTTGCATAATCTGTTCAGGGTTTGCTTGGAAGTGCAAAACTGTCTGTGTTAGTTTTGTCTTGTATTGAAGGAAATTTTCCTCTTATGTTTATCTTTTCTAATGTTCGCCTTCGTTTGCTGAGGCGTAGTGATCTTGCAAAAGTAGCAAATATCTCCGACTGCCGGTTTGTCCAAACTCACTTGGCTACACTCTCTTTGAAATCATTGTGAATGTAAAAGACCTGGTTGACAAAATTCTGAGCGAAAAAATCTAGAAGCTCAGTTTAACCTTTTTTTTTTTCAATGCAGGCTCTAAAAACAAGTGTTGTAGGTAGCTATTCATGTTTTTTAAGAGTCTTAACCAAAGAACTGTAAGGGCTCATTGTGGCAACAGCAGTCAGTTGCATGCGTAGGAATTGCCTCCTGCCACCATGGGGAATTCCTGTATTCCCCATAGTAGTCAACCTGATGAATAAGGTGGAACCAGAATGACTAGAAGATGAGATTGAGAAAAAGTGAATAAAATCAAAGCCCATGACTTGAATTGCCGGCTAGCAGATTACGACTGTAATGCCAGTGTCCTCATTTCATTTCTGGTGATATAGGCTTCGGGATTCCATCCGGTGCATCCTGAGTGTCAGCAAAGTGGGCAACCAGTACATCCAGTTCAACAAGCCCTGGGAGCTCGTCAAAGGCACTCCCGCACAGAAGTGAGTCTGCTGTGAACTCGGGTCGTGAGGACAAGCTGAAGGAGTTTGCAACTGTGTACAAGAGCATTGACAAGTCGGGCCTGCTAGGCAAACACCTGACAGCACTGATTTGGCATGATTGAAGAGACATTTAGGGCATGTTTCTCTGCACAGGTCATGTGGGTCATTCAACTGGTCTAATGCCATAATTGCAGACATTATTTCTTGCCTTTTATTTTTTATTCTTTTTACAGCGGAGCTGTTAACGGCTAGTTTCTCCGGAATTGTGTCCGGTGCCAAACAAATGTTGACATGGCACTCTGGTTGCTGCGTCGCTCATAGATGGTGGCAACTTTTCTTTGGAGGAAGAGCGGGAACGGAACGAGCGGCGATGTGCGCAGCAGCGCAAATGGTTCCGCAATCGCCGCGAGGCCGCTATCGCTTAAAGTTCTACTGCGTCAACCACTTCAGATTCTTTTGCGAAAGAAGAGCGGATCTCTCGCCTGGAAAGCCACCGCCGAGAACAGAAGCTACAGCTCCGCTGAAGCTTCTGTTCTTGTCCACTCTGGTGAAGAAGAAAGAGCTCCGCTCTTTCTTCTTCACCAGAGTGGAAAAGCTGAAAGTTTTGTCGCATTGACAGTTGGGATTGTCACAAAGATCCTAGTGTCGCATTATTTATGGAAGCCCTTTTTGCTTTGGGACATCTATATCACCGCTCTTGGTGATAAGGTGTGTCCTGGTCCATGTTGAATGAGCACTGGGGTTATCCTGCTGGATTTGGGGAATGAATGCCATTCTTTCAACTATTTTTTGTATCAAGAGCTGTACGGTTTTTAACCTAGAAAGACCAGTTGATTGGTATGAGCAGTGCTGAGGTTTTTCAGACAAACCGGGCTCTTGTCGCTATACCAATGACAATGACTTGCATCATCCAAAAAAATAAGTAAAAAAAATTAAACGGTGTGCTCCGTACCATCTCACTGATTGTGCCACCTGTTGCAACTTGCAGGCTGCGTTCAGCGACGGTCATCGGCCTGTCGGCCAACATTGCTTGCCTGCTGTCTGGGCTGCTGCAGCCTTTCATGCCAGAGACCAGCGAAGCCCTGAGGCATCAGCTCAATATCCCCCTGTTCCAGCTGGAGCCACACTTCGCTCCTCTTTTGAAAGCAGGCCACCAAATCAACAAAGTATGTATTCATGCTCATTGGTTTAATAATGAGATACTACTACAGTTGAACCTCGATTTAACAAAGTCACCGGGACCCGCTAATTATTTTGTTAAATCAGGAACTTCGTAAAATCCAAAAAGACATTTTTCGGGCCTAGGCTGCATGGGGAATCCAAATTTGTGTGTTAAATCGGGAAAATCATAAAATCGGGTTTCGTTAAATTGAGGTTCAACTGTATACTCCATCTCGCCTTACAATGGGCCGTGGGGGACTCTAGGAGTCATTGGAGCCCATCCAATGCCATGTGAGCGTCTCTTGGGATTGATGCAGCAACTCACTTGGTGTGCAGTCATGCTATACGCTCGCAATGCTAAATTTTCTGGGATGGCTCGTAGCGTCCGCCGTGGTCCCCATAAGGTGAAACGGAGTGTGGTCTCCCGATTGCTGAAAAGAGCTTGTTCTGTTGTTGCTCCTTGAACTCTTCAATGTATGGTAAAGTGTGAGGTGGTTCAAATAACCTTGCTTTTGGAAGACGCCACCAAATTGTGGATTTCAGGGCATGGTACCTAATACAGTTGGATCTCGTTAATTCTAACTTGCGGATAATTCAAACTAACATGCAGGTCCCATCCTATGCGTTTCTTTCAAACTTTGTTTTATTCAAACAAATTTTCGGTCCCCCTCAAGTCTGAATAAATGAGATTCGACTGTATCTTTATCTTCTTCTTTGAAGCTATTGGCACCTTTTTGAGTTCTGAGCATTAATTGGCACACACATGGAAGCTCAACAACATAGTTTAAGCAGCCTTTGCTGTAATATGTCGGGTCAAGTTGACTTAGAGAAGTGCGTGAGCATATGTAGCTCTGGAAAGAGTGAGTTGAGCATGGTAGCAACCAAGGCATTTCTGGGCTTGGAGCGTGGGTACCTTCTGCACTGTTGTTCAGGGGAGACAGTGGTACTATCGGGGAAAAATGAAATGCGAACAGAGGAGCGCGTGGCTCGCGGTACAGGCTGCGCCGCCTGGAAGTGAACCTAGGGGCGAGGGTGCGGGGCTTACTTCGATGTGTTCACGCCCCTTGATTGGCGCTCCCCCAGCTTCGGCAGTGCGCCTCTCAGTGCGCTGAAAGCTGTCACCGCTATCTTTGCCTGCTCGGCGAGTGCGGCGAGCTTCTTTGCACCGCACGCGCTGAGCCAGCAAAGATAGCGGTGATAGCTTTCAGCGCACTTAGTGGCACAATGCTGAAGCTTGGGGAGCGCAGAGGGAGGGGCGTGAACACATCGAAGTAGGCCACACACCCTCGCTCCTAGGCTCACTTCCAGGCGGCGCAGCCTGTACCGCGAGCCACGCGCTCCTCTGTTCGCATTTCATTTTTCCCCGATAGTACTTATGCACCCAAGACACTTTCCTAGGCTGGTGCTAGACCCTTCTACAACATTTCAGAGTGCTCAACAGTTTTATGTGCACGAGGGCTGTGCAGTGTTAATGCATTCTGCAAGTTTATTCTATTCTGGGTTTGGGAACTTATTAAATTTGAACCTCTGTAAAACTTGATCTATCCGAATTTCCTTCTTTTTTTTTTCTTACCTCGAATTGGACATTTGGCAACTCTGAATCAATTTAATGACAATAAAATAGTGTCTTTTAAGGTTGAAGTTGACCTGTCCACAACACTGAGCCGACAGCACTAAGCCAGTGTTGGCTTGCTCAGAACAGATTGAGTAAGAACCTCTCCCGAGGTAGTGCCAAGGAAAGTGCTGCTAGGGCATGCAGAGTCCGGCCTCCAGACGCTCTTGTCTTCGCAGCACTTTGGTATTTCAGACAGTCTCAAGTAAGACTTTGGCTCGGTTGTTTCGAGCAAGTTGACCACCCAGAGGCACGCAGACTTTTCGGGGTTGTGATCCCTGAAGTCATATGGAAATCAGTTGGCAAAATGGCAAAAACAGCCAAGAGCACAATGTGAAGTTCTATCTCGCATCTCTAGTTTCGGAAGAAGCTATGAGATAAAAAGGGTGATACTGCCAGACAAGTATTTGTTGCAGCCAGTTTGCTGACTGCTCCTTGGCTGTCCAAACTTTTTGCGGCAGTTAGATTCGGAAGGAATCTAAATCGGCAGAAATAAGTATAAATAACGCCAATTCTGTTCTATTCTAGCCGGTCCCACTCTTCAAGAAGATAGAGCAATCCACCCTCGACACATTGAAGAAGAGGTTCGAAGGAAAGAGTCCAACTCCCGAGAAGAAGGTTTGCAACTGAAGATCCTCGTTTCATTATGTTCTTTAAAGATATGGGTATCTGTTATTGAAATATGCATAGCTTAGTGTTATTTGACAAAATGAAGCAGTTGTGTACCTACTTACTTTTGTTTTGTGCGAGTTTGTTTCTAATAAACTTGCGCCGAGCAGGTACTATCCACATAGGTTAGGCAAGAGTGCATGTCACTGGTCCGAAAATGTCGGGCCTTCCTTTTAATTGCCTTCAAGCTCCCTGACAATATAGGACCATTGGGTGTACTTCACCACCAGTCAAACTTGTGGTAACTAAAGCTCATGCTAAACTACTTTTTTTTTTGTGCATGTAGGTGTTGTGTCCATTCTTTGGGTCCTGCAGTTGCCCTAAACGCATCCTGGGAAATGTTAAAACTCTTTTCAGGCTAACTATCTGATCTTGCCAAAAACTGCTCCAATGCCTCATGAGAAGTGCGATAATTTATCGAAATACAGTACTCCATCATTGTTCCTTCCATTGTTGTAATAATAATAATAATTTATTTCCCATCATTCATCCTCGAGCCAGAACTGCATTTCTTAGACAAGTAGCAACCCTAAAATGTATGGGAAGGAGGGTATAAATTTCCCATGCATACACTTGTTTTTGACCATCACAATAGGCATGCCACAGCCATTTTTTGAACCATTGGTGTTGTCATCACTGGCAAACCAGAAAGTAACTAACAATGATAAAATTTATGTATGAACTGTCTTAGTAATCACAAATTTGCCTCGAACAAGAGTGCTAGACAATATTATATCTGCCATCAAAAAGTTGTTACCGGCAGTGTTAGGTATATCCCAGGCACCAACAATTCCAGGTTGTGAATGGGACCCAGAATGGCGAGGTCAACCACGAAAATGCCAACAAGGCTTCAGGGGACGTTTCCCAGACTCCGGAGGAGCTTGCCCGGTGTGTTCAAAACCAGGTGAGGCTCCAAGTACCTTCCATTGAAACGAAGGAATAGGTGCAAGGAAATCTGCTTTCAGGCATCGCCTTGGCCTCCTTCCATGGTGGAGCCGCTCTCTTCGTGCCTTTAGACCACTCGTCTTAAACCCATTGCATACTCCATTTTTATTTCTTTTTGTATAACATGGCACAAAATTTTATTTAAAATTGATATTTTGCACAAAAATGTTGTTTGGTGCTCTCACTATTAATTTCTGGTCATCAAACGTGTCCAATCAATTTCTCACTGTGTGCTATTGTTAGAAATATTCAGGAAGGTGGAGAGGAACAAACAACATCTGGAGGCTGAGTAAATGTTTCCTTTAATTTTTGTGCAAATTGCAGCTATTTTAGTTTTCTAGTCATCGGAGAGGTGGTACTAGTGACATTACGCTATTGGAATCGGTATAGCACTTGTCACTTTCATATAAAATTCTGTTTTTATTTTGGCTAAAGCAGACCTCTGCATTGAGGTCTCCTTTCCTTTCACTCTCGTGAAGAAGGAAGACTAGCGGAGCTGTACTCGATACACTGTGTGCTTCTGTTTTTCGCGCTGTTTCCTACGATGAATTCCCACCAACGTGCCCAACTACCCATTCTATTACGATAGCTGGAAAGGTTGCCACCATCTACGAGCGATGGCGGAAACCACACTGGTTGTGTGCTTGCCGCCGTCGCTTATAGATGGCGGTAGTTGTCCAGGTAGGTTTGTGTCGACTGACACGATCCTGAGGAGCCTAACCCTTAACAGCTCCGCTGTAAAAAAAGTCCAGCTCCTCACAGGACGTTACTAATTTTCCCCTTTCATGTGTTGAGCAAAAATGTAATCTATATAACCTTAGGTTAGCATTGTTATTGCCTGGAGCGTGTTCTTCCTTCAATAACCAGATCTTGTAAGAACTATTTCGCTCAGCACATGAATAATGTGCAAAACTTTCTTTTTTTCTTAATGTGACGAATATAGGTGAAAATCGTAAACAAAATAAGCTGAAAGGGGCGGAGCAATTGTGGTAGTGCTGCCATCTGCCAGAGAGCGTACAAAAGCTCAAACCAGCCTCGTGATAGGGCTTTCTGGTCCATAATGAAGGGTGCAAGTGACACTCGTGATTAGTATCAAAGGGGCTAAAGCATCACTGGCAGGTTGCTAAAAGACCTCTCCAACAGGGAAACAAGGTGCGGGAGCTCAAGGCGGCCAAGGCAGACAAGGCGACCGTCGAGAAGGAAGTGGCCTGCCTCCTGGAGCTCAAGAAGCAGCTCGCACTGTCCCTGGGACAGGAGCCAGAGGAGCCCAAGCGTCAGCCTCAGAAGAAAAAAAAATGACTCAAGCTTGCTCTGCGAGAACCAATACATTATTTATTTCGGCACATAAAATAAAACAAGACGACGACGTACATTCGAGATTCTGTGCTTGGTTTTTCAAGGGGGATTTTCACAGTGGTAAAGGGAGCGGGAGAGAGAACTGTGTGCTAATTATAATTACACTGTTACACAAGTCTGAGTTCCATCCTGGAAACCGCTGCACCGGGTTTAAGCATAGAATGGATGACACGCAAAGCATGTGTACAGCCGACATTTGCAATATCTGGGCAGTGCAAAGTAGTGCTTTGTAAACAGCACCAAAAGGTAACCCCAACCAAAAACAAGCGCAAGGGCCCTGTCCCAGTAAAATACAAATCGCGAACACTCCCGTTAAAAAAAAAAAAGTGCTTTGAGAGTTTTGGTTGCCAAAAAGCTGCTCTTGTCATGTTGGCCAACAGTGCCTGCAAGTTATTTTCTCTGTCTGGATTGAGGTGAAGCATTATTTACTGTTTCACATCTGTATGCAAACCATATCTGCTGTACAAGTTGGCTAACCGAGGTTCAGTATTCACACCCAGTATGCATTTTGGTTGCGCACCATACCCCAATGAAACTAAAAATAACCACCCTAATATGCGATTTTTTTTTTTTACAATTTGAAGTATGCATATTGTAAAATACCGGGCAAGCGCCCACTCAAGATTTGGAGATAATCGAGAAAAAATGGGGGATGGGCGCTTGTCCGGTCATCAATTTTACTTTTAAATGTACTGTGCATACTTTTTCAGATCTTACAAATTTGGGAATGGACGCTTGGTGCGGTATGGGTGGATGCGCGGTATTCTATGGTATGATATAAAACCAGTACCAGCAGGTAGGAACAAGACAACCAAATGTCCTTCATGCTGTTACCTTACATTCCAATTTGCACTAAGAGAAGTGAATATGGCATCAATACAGCCCCTTAATGGTGTGAACTAGTGCAGGTTGTTTATTTGGAAGGGCTGCTTAGCTCCCCTTACCATACATTAAACAATATTGAATTTTAAGTCGACCAAAACTGCTTGTCTTGTCATCTGCAGGATGAGTGTAGTAACAAACAAATTGCATTAAAAAATGAAGTTAGTTACCACAACTGGATGTGAATTGATATAGTCTATTTTCTATACCTTCTTCAATTAACTTTCCATATACAAGTTGAAAATTGAGGAATAAATTATGAATCCCTACACGCCATAAAAAAGGTTATTGCATTTTCTTTTTTTTTTTTTCCTGAGAAGCAAATGCTTTGAGAAAAAGAGATCACAACCGCATGCTACCCAAAGCAGCTTGGAACTAAGTAAGGCCTTTCTAAGTAGAGGATCCAGGTTGCATTTTCCAGTATAAGCTGGGGGAACCTTAATTTCATTACTCTTTGCTAGCAAACTTTGCCTTTAAGTGGAACTATGTAAAACCATACACCACTCCACATATTATAAATAAGCTCACCTGATTTCTACTTGCACTATGCAAGCATTTCAGATACAAACCCCAATAAAGTAGAACATCTGTTACCTCACAAAACACACATTGTGCACCTCAAAAAGGAGTACCATTAGTTTGACCAAACATCCACCGACATCTACACACTCCTGTACAGAAAAGTTACACAAAACAAATGCATTACATGTTGGCATAGCACTGATACACATGAAAACAGCGTCCTAGTGTTTTCTGGAATGAGCTCCACTTAGACCGAAAGAAATATCACATATGACCTTGTATGGGGAGGCTGCCATTGTCGGCACTGCGAGAGTATTGCGGTGAGCTAAGAATAAGTAAACGTGCATGTAAAAGGTAGAACTCAAAAGAGGAGCACAAAAGGCAGGGGCAACTGACCTGTGGTTTTGCTTTTGATTTTCTACTGAAAGAAAATTTTAAAGGGCTTCTGTGCTTGCTTTCTCTAGGCGGTACTTGTTAAGGGGGTATAGCAGCAGCCAAGAGCCAATGTGATCTCTGTGGGAACTCGTGTTGCATAATTCTTAGTCACATTGCCTAGAAAAACTAGCTCCTCTTCCTGTCAAACAAACTGTGAAAGAATCGGCAGATTCATCCAAGAGCTGCAAGATTTACAAATGAAGCAAGAAATTTAGCTGATTTAGTCTCACTGGTAAAAAGAAGAAATAAACTAAATGATAAGACTGCTGCAAAAGTTCTGCACCTTAAACTTGCTACAGTCACATCTTGCTTATCTGGCACTCGGTAAACCCAACTTCTACTTAACTAAATTGTATCATGAAAGGACTGACATGCTCGGTGTTATAGTTGGGCATAATTAGTTGTAGAATTCATCATCTAACGGTTTTTACAAGCACAATATTGTTGGGATAAATGGGACATGGCTGTATAATACATTACCTTAAATTAAAATCAGATCCTCCGAAATCTGCGGGGGGACAATATTTCATGTACTATATATGCAAGGAATTTTGCACATTCTAGAACTGTGGCCTGAATTCTCTGAAGCTTGCAATGCCTCGCAAGGCGAGCAACCCACAAAGCCCAATATGAAAAAATTGCTCTCATAATTATTACACGCAGCGAGGCTTAAACATAGAAAGAAAAAAAAAAGACTGGAGCATTCGCCGCAATCACGAGCACAATTCCAGTATCTGTGGCACTAACAAACACAATCCCAGACATGGCCTCGAAGGGCAAAGGATGTTTAGGCATTACCTAATCCCAGTGACTTCTAGATAAATAGGATTGCCCATCTCAATCAAAGAACAGGGCACAAATTGTAAGGATTCTTTTTTGGTTCCAGTCAGTTGAGTCCTGATGCATACCAGCCTAACTAGATGAAAAAGGAGGCAGAAGTTCTACTTTTTAAGTTACAAGGGAAGCAAAAAGACAGGCTCCTTGTTAGCCCTAGACATCCATCTCCTCCATCCTGCAATGAATGGCAGTTTCCACCACCTCCAAGCTGGCATAGTCAAGCTCTTTGATGAGGCAGAGGACAGCCGAGAGTATGTTTGCATTCTGAAAGTGCACAGAGAGAGAGAACCCATGACATGAGAACCCATTCATGCTAAAAGCATTACACAGTGAAACTGTGATTACAGTGTTCACTTCACAATTGATCCAGAAGCTCACTGTTCTCCAATTTCGAAGCACCTAATTTCTGAAGCTCACTGTTTCCTTCCAACTTCTAGCCCAGAGCAGGGGTCTCCAAACCCCAGCCCGCAGAGGCCTTCGTATCCCCGCAATGATTCCAAGGATGACCGGCCCACAGACCGCTGCTATCAACCCGAAAACAAGCGCACAAAAGAAAACTGCTCCAAGACGCACATCAAACGTGCACACGAGGATATCGGGAAGAACGAGAGGGAACTGCGTCGTAACGCAAGTTCTCTCGCCATATTTTGCATCGTACATTGTCATCACCAGCACTACTATTCGCGGTTCCCCATTTCATATCAGGGGAACTATACGTTAGAATTTTTTTAACGTTTTCTCGTATGCCAAATTTCACATGCACTTTGATTTATGCATGGGGAGCTTTCTGGGTCACAATTATTTTGTAATGACATAATTAGCAATAAATTTATTTTAAAAGTAAAGCATATGTAGGGTTCGGAGTTTTCGGCTTAAACTGATAAAGGTATGTCTAATCTATTTTCTAAAATTCAGTTTTAACCGAAAAAGATTAATTTTTTGAGGCAGCGTCGAGTAGGTGGGGGAGGGGGGGACAGAGAGAGAGGGCTTTGCAAAGTTCGACATTGTGTGACGTCGTCGTGAGTGCTCTCTTCCAAGGTTCAACATGCAACAAAAGAGGTCTTGGATTGGCCTTCACGGGACATCTATGTCCTTTCTGTGATCGGGCTTAGTGTGTCAAGTTCCCGGTCCTAAAAAAAAAGTTTGGATGTGGGCTAGTATAAGGTTTTTCGCTTCATGCACTTCAGAGGACATAGACGAAAGCCGTTAATACCTTTCTTAACACCATCTCTTAAACTTCCCTCTGGTTAAGAACATAAATACACTGGATTTCTTCTTTTTTTTTTTCCATTCCGCTGATTTCTGTACAGCCATCACCTCGGACAGTCTTGTCGTCAGAATGGGATGGAAAAAAAAAGTGCGCTGAAGATTATGCTTGCGAATTCCGCAATTTTGAGGTGTGTCCTGACAGAAGTTTTAGCGAAACCATGTATGTATATGTGTCGTTATTCTTTGAGTGATCACATATATCACAGCTACAAGGATCATCTGATTCGGTGTCCGATGGTGTTACTTTCATATTCACCGGAAAAAAAAAAACAGTAAACTTTTTTGGGAATAAATATACACAAAAAAAAAAAACGAAAATTGAATTTTAAAGTAAACACCGAAAAAAATATGTTTCGAACCAATAAAAACCGAAAACACGGAACCCTAAGCATATGCAATCATTCATGTTACATTAAAAACAAAATTTACATTTTTATATTTGAATGCATTTTTAGATGCATTTATCCTCATTTATATACTTGCTTATTTTCCGGTCCTCGAGACTGCGGCAGATCCCCAATCCGGGCCCTGAGCCAAAATGTTTGGAGACCACTGGTTTAGAGGAAGGGTGTAATCTACACGGCCAATAGGCGACATGCCACTGTTTTCTTTGACCCTCATGATATTCAGGGTTTGAAAGACTGAGACCTGTCTAATCTTGGAAAATAAAATTTCACCAAACGGTGGAAATAAAATTTCACCAGTGTTCAAGCAGAAAATGTTTGTGTGCCTTATTGCACTGTAGGAAGCCTTTTCACTTCTGAGTGACTCTGGCTGACAAAAAAATTAGGAGGCAAGCTAGTACCCATTCTGAATCGCTTTTGGTCTAATTTTTAAAATCTTTTTACGAATTATTAACGTCCATTCTGTACCAATTCTGAATTGATTTTAGGACTAATTTTCTTAAATCCCCTTAAAGAAAATGTATTTAATTTGTTTTCTAAAAGGATTTAAGTTTAAATTAGACCTTGTTAGATTTTTTCGCAAAAATCGCAGAGTGCCGTGCTGCTGCAACTCTTCAGCTGCCACCGTAGTTATTTTTTGTTACAATCCTCGAATGATTCCTGAAGGACTTCCAGAAAGCTGTGACTAGAGCAACTACCCAAAACAGCATGAAATGCACAGCTGGTCTCACCCTGTTCTTTCCTCCCTTGGGCAGCAGCCTAGTTGGGGACGTCTTGTCCCCCTTGTGGGCCCTGTGCACCTCCGTGTACGTCGACCCCCTGGGACCAGCAGCCTCACCAGGAGACATGAGGGAGTCCGACTCCAGCGAGTGCGTGTGCAAGTACTCCACTGACGCGTACCTGCAATGGCGTCCCCATTAAGCGCAGGGAACAAATCATGCTGGTTGGCAAGTTAAAAGACAGTTTATGTAACCAGGGTAAATTCAAGTCGTGACATGTCCCGGCCACAACGCTGTAGTTGTCACTCGAGAGATTGTGATCAAGTTCCAACCTCTACACGACTCACAAAGTCGGCACTTTCGCCGAATTGTTTTACGCGTGACCAGTGAACTTTATGACGACGGAAACACCTCCAAAGTTTCCCAGAAAACTAACACACACTAAATCTAGCATTTGCCGTTACACGTGGCTATTGGTAGTCATGCTCCACGAACCAATTATGAGACGATACTCTTTCTGGATCAAGCGTGGAAACAAGAGCGTACCTTCGACCGTCGGCAAGCGGTGCGCTTCCTTGCCTCACAGCGGCATTCTCCTCCCCTTCGAAAAGTGCCACTGGATCGCAGGTAATCTCGGCACTCTTGCGTAACCTGCACAAGTGCAAATAACCAGATGCCAATGATCTTTCATCCTGTCAATCACCTGGAAAATCACTCTCTGCAGCATCCACTTGCAAACGAGCGGTGTCATAGCTGGGCGGGTGAGAGGGGAGGCACCTATGGATCTGAACGCTGATACCCTTGCCCATCAACTCACAAAAGTTAAAACATAAAAATTAAACAAAAATTATACAAGCTTGATCATGCTGACAGAGACCAGGGTACACAAAATGTGTCTCACACAAACCACACTCCGTCTGTCATTTGCACTAAATTTTTCATTATTTTTCTTACCTATCGTACTTTCCAGACTATAGTCCACGGACTATACGTGTTTAAAAGTAGGAATTTTACCTGGTGCGGACTACACCAGGTTTTATATTTTGTTTTTACATCTTTCACTGTGACAAGAATGGAAGGATTTTATGACTAACACAGTATATTAATAGTGATTTAAGTATGGGACAATCTTCTTTGTGAGCTAATACAGCATGCATCTGTCAAGGTGTGCTGTGTATAATTCTTACGTTCAGATTAAACACTAAGTGCGGACTATGCATAGGGTGTGGACTATCTAACCAAAAACTTTTATTTTTGACTCCAAATTCGCCCCTGCGGACTATACACCGGGTGTGGACTATACTCCGGAAAATGCGCTATCTTTTATTCATTTATTTATTTCATTATTCTCATTCAAAGCATGCTGCTCTTGCCAGCATGTTTAGTGCAAATAAAATAATTTTCTCTTCCAAAGCAGCTCAGCTGCGCAGCTCAGTGGCTACAGTATCCGACTGCCACCACACTGACTCAAGTTTGAGTACCGCTCGGCCGTCTTTCTTATGCCTATCTTGCATTGGCATTTGTAAGCGTTACACGTAACCTTAACGTCATGTAACGCTCACAGCCTGTTGGTCGTCCATGACGCTCGTTCCTGACGGTCATTCTTAACGCTCGTTCATGACCATTTTCTCGTTGAAACGACTCATAAATCTAATTTTGTGTTGATAAATTATACCCCATTCACACGACCAGCATGTAGGTGCCTTTAACATAAGTCCCTTTCCAATTGACGAATCGACCCGAGCTCTCGAGCTGCCAGCACATGCTACGCGTGGAGGATTGCAAACAGATTCGCCGCCGACCATATAGGTCCCTTAGCTAAATGTACCTTCACGATCGTGTGAATGGGGTGTCACTCTTCGTATGAAATTTTTATAGGTTACTATTTCTGGAGCTCTAGTAATTACTACAAGAAATAATTTTCAACTATTGATTATTTGCACCTGGTGCTCAGGCATCCCCGACAGAATTCTGGCATAACCTGCCCAGAGCACTCACGTCGTGATGTACATGAACCATGCGATTGTAATCAAATAGTTGAACGCTCTCTAGCTTTTGGCTTGTCCGCGCTTGCCACATCACCTGCTCCTTAGCTATTCTCATTCCTTTGCCTGTTAGCCTGTTTCTTGCTATTAATCTGCCAAAACAAAAGATTTTGAGGATGTGAGCAATGTCGTAGGCTTCCTCAACTAGAAACGTGGGAGGGGGAAGGGGAAGCTGATGGTCATGGCAGCCCAAGGACCGAGGAAGCCAAGTCTGTGAGTGCAAGCAAGAGACCGGCCAGGGTTGTGCCACGACGCCACTAGTGACACTGGCAGAGATGTGCATGGTTAGAGAACCTAGCTTTGCACGATTCCGCGAAAAGTTACCGAATTCACGTTTTTTTGCAGAAGCAAAAAAAAAAAAAAAAAATGTTAAAAACATTGTTTTTAAAAGCTATGAAGGAACGCTGCTTCTCCGTAGCTTCCAAAAGGTGGCGCTATTTGTCCCCACAACAAAAGCTTAAGTGAAAGGTGGCAATAGGTAACGGAAAAGTAGTATTTTCTTATTAGTTAATGGCAAAATGGTTTCTATTGCGTCATCATCCTTTACTGTTGAAGAAATTTAATTTTATATTTAAATATTCTAACTTATCAAAAAAAAAAAAGTTGGGGCTCCAATTTACGCTGTGAAGGTGATTGGACAGTGAACCTCTCGTATCACCTGCAACGACTGCCCACTGCACTCTAGATCCTTTTTATGGCAAACGCCACAAAGAACTTCCGGTTTATAAAAAGAATGAACAAAGGTCGCCTTAACACCACTGCTTGAAATGTCGATGGACGCCAAAAGAACGAAGGAATGCTTTAAAATGTTTCGAGAATTCTTGTAAACCAACCTGCTTCCTTGAAGATGTAATATTGTACAGCCGAAGGCCCTCGTTAAATCTCTAACTTTGTTGTCCGTGTAGCATTTATGCTTTCTAGCACTGGTCACATAAGCAAGCTCGACAGCCTTGAAAAGACGGAGCGACCGGGAAGCCGCTTGGGATGCAGGCGGCAGTTCATGTTTGTAAACAGCAAAACGGTCTATGCCGAATGATTGACGAAAGAAAAGTGAATGCACTGTACTAAATCTTTTTATATATGAAAGGCTAGTGATGTCACTCCCGACGTCGCAAGCTGCCGTCTTGCAGCTTACGATGCAACCATTGTTATCAGGAGTGCCTTATCATCAATTATCTGGTTCAGATGTCTGTTTTGTGTTTGTTCTTTACTGAAATGAATGCTGCGCTGTATGTTGTATGCATGATATGCACTTTTCGCTTCAATCCTGAAGGTTTTTTTTCGTGAGGACAACCACAGAAAGGAATTCCAGAAATCCGACCTGCGAGGTGGCGCAGCCACCCCCCGAATCAAAGGGCTCAGCTGTAGTTAACAATCCATCCAATGTTTGCCCAACAGAACGCAACAGAAAGTGCGCCATTTTTCGGTTTGCTTTGTTTTCCGAGTTGGAGATCGAGATGGCTCTCTCAGGATGACTCTCAAGACAGCCAAAGAACGAGCTTGAGAATACAAGTATGCCAGCTTTTACGAAGATAGAGGAGTCCTCATTTGCCGAGCTTGTGTGAGAGCAGTTGACTATCGGTGCAAATCAACTATTGACGAATACATAGAGAGCAGCCATTATTGTAAAAATGCTGAAACAAGAGACTTTTCCAAGCGAAAAAGTGGTGAAGAACCATCAGAAGACGGTGCTGGGGGTTCAGGAACGCCGAGAAAGCAAAGTCGACTGCAAACTCTGAAATCTACAATGACCACTGGCGAAGCGAGGCACGAGATTGCGCTCAAATTCTTGGATGTGTTGATATCTGCGATTATTCACCTAGAGAAGGTGGACAATCCGAAACTGAGAATGTTTCCACAGACACACTTTCAGAACGGCGGGTCAGTGCCTAGATCTGATGCGCTCTGCCGACGACTTCCAGAATTGAGAAGCACGAGACAGCTTTGAAGGCTATGTTTCAAAGTACCACGCTGTCAGTAATTACTGATGAAACCACCGATGATCGATCAAAATTGGTTGTGAATGTGTTGTTCGTCCAGTCAGTCAGAAGCGCGAGTGCTTCGCTACAACCTGTACTTGTGAAAATTAAATTCGTGGATGAAGTTAACTCGTCCGTGATAGGCTGCATTGTAACGAGAACACTGACGAGGTATGGAATTGAATTCGAGGACGTAACAGGCTTTGCAAGCGATAACGCTGCTTATATGGTGAAGCCCTTTAAGGAGTGCATAAAGCCACTTTGCGAGAGTGCTGTTCACATTACGTGTGTAGCCCATACAGTAAACATTGTAGGCGGTACATTCCAGGTATCTTTTCCTTTAGTGTTCAAATTTGTCGCCTGTATGAAGAAGTCCTTTAGTCTGTCAAGTAGAAAGAGAGCTTTCAACAAATCTCACCTGGAAAAGTCTGGGGCTCAGTGTGCCAAAACACCTTCAGCAACTGTCTAAAGTGGGTGGAATTCATGGATTGAAGCTGTTGAACAGCGTTCCGCTTACTTTGAGTACTATCCTTTTTTGCTAAGGCAAGTTCATGAAAAGTATGGAGAAGCAACGTGTGTTAATTCTCTTCTGGAACTTTTGAATGAACACTCAACTGAGCTTAAGGGGGGACACTACCCAAAAAAGTAAATTCTTGAACCACTTGTCTGATTTAAATTATATTTACAGGGCTTGTTTCTGTTGATGTTGAGAACATTTCTGCCAATTTTTGTCAACCTGGGTCAAGTACAAAAGAAATTGCAAACGTTCAAAGACAATAGTAGGCGTGTCTGCTTAGGAAAACTATCGTTTTGAAATTACTTACAAATGTGTTGTTTTCATGTGTTACATTGTATTAGGACAGTTCAGAGCAGATAACTATGGAGCTATATTTCTATGTTATACTATCTTTCATGACAAAAAAGTCACATAAACACAAATACAGTTTTTTAGATTTCCATCCTTTGTCCAAACTTTTAGTTCTTGAGCATGAAAAATGACAAAAATAAAAAATACAAGCTCATAGTTATCTTCCCCTTGAAATTTCACCCCAGAAAAACTCATAAAAATGAATCCAAGTTGCGTAATAACAAAACGATAGTTTTCCTAAAGTGAAATTTATGCCAAAAAGTGGAATAGAGAAAAATGCATTCAAAGTGCTCCAACCTCTACCTTTTTTTAGCATTGGTGGACCGAAAATAATTTATAAAAAATTAACTATGCAGTGTAAACTAATGAAACTTTCTGGGAATACACTCTATATATTGGTGGATGTAAATATGACATTTTTCAAAATCAACTTTTTTTTGCAGAAATTGTTTTTTCTGGGTAGTGTCCCCCCTTAAGTACAGCTTGCGATGCATTGCAGTATTTGGCAAAAAAGTTGCAAGCCTGCTGAGAGCAGCAGAGGGTCAGCGTGTAGCCTGTCATAAAGCATACAATGCTTTTTTTACACCCTGGGGATATTTGGAACCAGCTGCAGAGCAAGAATTCGAAACACAACTGAAGAAAGAAAACAATGCACACAACGAGGCCCATTGGATTGCAAACAAAATGAAGGCTGCAATGAGTAAAACGACTAGCTAGTATATTTAAAGAAATCTGAAACTTGGAAGTTCTTCAAAAGTATGAGGTGCTTGAATCCTTAGCAAGTCAAGGTGTCTCTCAGAGAAGAGATCAGAGTTTGCAGGTGTGCCTGGACTTGCGGAACAATCACTAGTCCTAGCTGCTGAATGGCAAGTGTACCTGAAGTCTGCTTGAGAACTCACCATTTCTTTCTAAACAAGACAACAAGATGCGTATCCGTTACCAAAGACAAACTGAACTAGTTGACGTGTATTCAGCATTGCGTGCCGTCAAAAAATGGTGTGAAAGATGTGGCGAATTTCTAGATCTTGCTGAAAGCCTGTTCAACACTGACAACAAGGGCTTTAAAAATGGTGGCATCCACTTCTGGAAGCGGGGCCCCTCGTGACAAGTGTGCAGAACAAATGCGGGAAAAATGAAAGCATATCTTCAGATTCTGACGACGAGGACATAAACCTTTAATCCGACAGTGACAGTGAGGCCACTGAGCTGCTTTACTTCAGCTCTGACGACTCAGATTCTGATGAGAACATTGTGTTGGCATGTCGGCATTGGACGAGAATCAACATGAAGAAGCCTACCCCTGTACCTCTGCAATTTTTTAATTGGATGTCATTAACATCCAATGTAGAAATTTAAAAATAAAAAATCAATATATTTGGATCGTTTTTTTTTTTTCAAAATTATTGCAGTAGACAAAGGGTTAACCGACTCTCTTATGTAACTCTCTTTCACAGTAGAATCTACCACCTTCTACCGTAGCAGACCCCCTTGTAACAACAGTTTACTTTCTTTCACGCTTGTACACACCCCTCGCATTCATGGCCCGGTTTTTTCTTTCGGAAAATGGGGCAAACGATTTCTGAAATGAATGACCCAAAAAGAATCTTCTCCACTGATCCCTCAGCCAGAAGACAAAAGCGCTGCAGCCCTAAATCAAGTGCTGCCTCAGCTTAGACATGATTTGAACTGAGATATGCATTCGTGTATTACCATGAATTAAGGCCTTCCTGCCTTTCTCTCCGAGTGTGTAATGTAGTTGACACAATATTAGGAATAGCTAACTATTTTGTTGCGAGGACACAGGAAGAAAAGATGTGGCCAGGGATTCTTCGGGACAAAACACTCTTGAGAACTGTTAGTCTACTCAGTTGAGCCACTTCTTTTCAACTCGGAGTGAGCTTCTTCCTTCACCCACACTCGTCTTATAAGTGGAGGCAGAGACTCGCTGACCGACCGATGTCAGTCACGGCGTACCTGCGTCCCGAGTGGTCCATCAGGGTCTGCACCCGTGCGTGGAAGGCGTGCTGCTCGGCGGGGGACATGCCCTGGCAGGAGGCGGGTCCGTCCGTGGGTGCGGCTGCCACGATCGGAGAACACGCCGCCTCCGTCTGCTTGGCCTCCCTGACTGGTGTGCTGCAGAGAGGCGACGGGAAGTGCTCAAGGAACCTTCGCAGATTGCTGGCTCTCATTCAATATTGTTCTTCAAATCTGCACGAGAAAAACTTTATTAAAAACTAGAAAGCAAATCAGGTGAAATTAAGGAGTAAGCTAACCTTCGATGCGCAATTAAAAAAACGGTGAAAAAATGCTAGTTTTAGGTTTTGTGACCTGCGAAACTTGTGATCACAGGCCACACCTTTGAATAAATCAAACAAGGCTGTCCTTCCCAGTGAGCAATGTTTGTTTACCTCCTGCCATGGCTAAGTAACACCATTTCTGTCGAGGTCACCGTTGAACAAGGCCTTGCAATTACTAGAAGTGGGCCATCTTTCAGTGTTTTTGGAAAACTAGCAAATCATGCCAAAAATAGAGGGCGGGCATCTTTCGGGGGTGGGGCACCTCTCGGGATGTGGTAGTGCTTACGGACAATATCGAGACAGTCACTCTCCGATTCGAGCAACCGAGCAATTGCTCGTTATTTCGCTGCAAGTAGTTCACCTCAATGAAGAGAAGCGAAGAAGTTATAAGCTGTTCTCCAAGACTGCAACGAAGCGGAAGATTGAGATAACTAAATGTTGAGGTCTCGCAAGAAATGCCGTACATCTCAACCTACTGCTTTCCATCTTCACAGTTCTTGTTCACCTCTGCCCTTCCCCCAAGAAAGTTGCCATGCCCCTAAAGATACGAAAGTGCCGTCCAAGTACCCTGCCGTGGGCGTGCCGTGCATGGCGGCCGGCCTGCCGTGCATGCTCGCCTCCTGCTGCGAGACCCCAAGGTCACGGGGCCGTGGGGTGGCGCTGGGGTTCTGGTAGTCGTCCGCTCCGTTCTGTTGTGCCGGAGCAGCGCCGGCACGAGCCGTGGGGTGGCTGGCGCGCGGTTTGACAGCATCTTCGTGCACTGCCTCTCCGCCGGGGGCAGGCAGGTTCAGGGCAGAGCCCTGCACTTGGGCACGTTCCACCTCGTGGCTCTGGACGGCTGCGCATGATCGGCCGGATCAGAGCAAGCGAAGGGAGGTTGGAGCAGGGGGACAGAGGCAAGGGCAGGGGGTTAAAGCAATTGAACCGCGGAATCGCGAGCAAAAAAGACTAAGACGTGCAAATGCACTTGGTCAAACATACAGCTGTGTCTCGTTCATACGCGCCCTGTCAATATGGATATCCCACTAGGTAGACAAAATTTAACAAACCTATCAGTCGCCATGCAATCCTGCCTCATTAATACAGGAACCTACAGTATGGACTATGAACAGCTAGTTTGGAAACAAACTGCTAAAATATGTGCATTTTTGTTGCATATTACGAATGGAAACTTTCTAAAAATAGTCCACAAATGAAAAAAAAGGAAATGAAAACAAGGTTAGCGAGGTTTTTAGCTTACAGAGTGCACTCAGCAGAGCTTCACTACTATCGGTTGGTGGTTTCCCTTCCTGAGAAAGAGCCAAGACCTAGGCACTGAACAATGGTTCAATTTTTCGGGGCTTTTTGGCAAAATGGCTCACTTATACTTCTCCCCATGTATGTGTATTAAGGCCACAAATGACAAACCTGAAGAACGTTCATAGTTTATGTGTACCCCTCGAGCATAAAATTAAAGGAAGGACACTTTCTTTTCCACATAGAAGGAGGCAAGACTAGAAAAAGGAGGTAAGAGGTAAGGCTTGTTGATTATATGTGATCGTGACCATGATTTGTTTTTATGGACCCATGATTGATTTTGCTGGGGAAGGGAGCTGTCCATATTAAACAGATATGACTGCATCGGCACAAATATATGGTAGAGTGCGAAGTGTATGCATGCAAATTCCAGCCTCAGTGGCAGTCTTGCAATGGGGAATAGGATGCCCTTTGTTCGTTAGGTGTGTAAACCCTCAAAACTTACTTTGTGTTGAAGGGACGGTGCAACAATATTTAATTGGAATGTTTCTCACTTTACACAAGCTTACTGGCACTATTGGGACCCAAGTAACTCGCACCCAACATCACTGACCAAGAAATTGTTTGTTGCGTAATGATTTCAAGGATAAAAGTGAGCATTTTCTTTCAATCCCTCCTTTGTAAAACTTGTTGGCATAGCTCGAAGATTGCAGTGTCGGCATAATCCCCCGAGTGGTGGCATTTGAGCGCGGCTCATAGATTGAACTGGAACATTGCGTGAGCATTCGATTTGGGCTTGTGATAATTAATTGCTCGAGAAGTATTTGGGAAGTGGCTCGTGTCCAGTCGCTGCAAAGACGACAAGAGCCGAAACCTAGCAATGTCTGGAACTCAGCGCGTGGTTATGCTAAACATTGGCGGCATATAATTGGATTCATATCACATGGCTGCTTGTTCTGGGTGCGAGTTGAAAAGATGAACGCTGCTCGTTTCTCCCAAGTTTCTTCTGAGACTACCATTTAATGGGGAGAAAAAAATAATGCGCGTTTCCAAGGTTGTAAATACGAGGGCTTCGTTCTAAGTGGCTTTTGCGTGAAGTACAAAAATTGTTGCACCGCCTCTTTAAGGAAGCCCACAAGAATTTTTTTTTCAGTTAGACCGATGTTTCATCTTTTGCCACCAAGTGATACCAACAAGCAAGGCAAACTGAAGCCATTGTATCTAAAAAGAGTAACACAATTCATTGTTACAAAAACCTTTCCTGCACTCTTAAAAAATCCGTCTCCCTCTTTCCAAAATACTCCTGTCCATTTCCTGACTGGCCAACCCACTCAGTACAGTATGTCGCCGCTGCCTACCTCTTTGTGCACTCTGCACCAAAGGCACCCTAGGTGGCAAGGCAATAAGTTGGCCTCGTTGGTACATAATTACAGAAAGGTAAAACAGTGCTAAAATAGATGAAGGACACGAAGAAGAGATGTACACACGCAACACACTGTCCACCGTAGGTAATGCTAAAATTAAACTAAAAGTAAAAAAATACTGCAGTGAGGACAAAAATATAACAAAAAATGAATAATCAAAACAATGGATAATCAAGGAAAAGGAGGAATGGCGCTCTTTTGACATATATCTGGGCTTCAGCACAGGAGTGTTGGCATATGCAGTTCCTTTTGTCCATGACTCGACAGACAGGCAGGGCTTAACCCTCCTATGTTGATAGCATTATTGACTGGATACCAATTCATTGAAGCACCAAAGTGCATGAAGAGGAAAAGGAATGAAAAGAGCTGAGAAAGCATTCAGCCCTATAAGCGTAATTAAGCTGCGGTTCCAGTGCCAAGCTTCAAGTGGATTACTAATGGAAAATTATTAGATTCTAACTTGGGAACAGGTGTACTACAGTGCTCCCCAAGCCTAGCACCACCGTACGAATACCCGAGTTTGGCAGAGGAAAGCTATCCTGGCAACAATCGTTTCAATTAACCGGTCATAAGGTGGGCCACACCCACCCCTGGACCAATGTAGAAGAAGGTAGATTAGACCACTCAAGTAGCCAACTGATCACCGAGCATGTTTTAGTCATCTGATACCCCAGTATCAAAGAAAAAGCTGCAAATAATCAAATAATTTCGTTAGTTGCATTGCGTTCCTATTCCACACTTTAGTGATTACGCGTGGCCAAGGGCACAGAAAAGCAGTCATTAGTTTCAACAGCATATGCAACACATGCATAATATTAGGAGTGGGCCCTTCCAGAAATCACATACCAAATTCAAATGCATCCCACTTATTTAAGAGCCACACAGCACGTGACTGTGACAACACAAGTCAGCTGGCAATCGGCAAGCAGCCCGAGCAGTCTGAATACCTGATCCACCCTAGCTCAGGGGTTAGGTATGTCCTTTCATGGGACAAGTAGCTGAAACAAACACTGCTAGGGTAGTGCCCCTTCATCAAAGACAAGTGGGCTCTGGCGGTTGGGGAGCACTGTACTCATTAAGAATTAACAGAGTATGGACAATCGAGGAAGGCCATCAAAGTTCTCTACCAGGATTGCCTCACAGCACCCCTGGGTGATTTCAGATAAGATCAACCAAAGGGTGGCTGGTCGACATTTTTAAATCAGCTGATGTTTTTATATGCCATTGTCTAGTGTCTGGTATAGATGAATCCACTCTTAGTTTTGACAGTTCTTATCTATTCATCAAACAATAAAGGAGGGTGATTTCTGATAAGATTGACCAAAGGGTGGCTGGTCAACATTTTTAAATCAACTAATGTTTTTATATGCCATTGTCTAGTGTCTGGTATAGACCAACACGCGGCCCTGACGTCACGCAGCTGCGGTGGCGCTGTCGACGGCACTGCGCGTGCGCAGACGCTTCACTCCTCCCGAGTTCGGTTTGTGCGCACGCGCAGTGCCCACACCTGGTGTGGGCAAACGCGGGCTTGTTTGTAAACAGAGTGTCGGTCTATAGTCAGATCCACTCTTAGTTTTGACCAGAAAAAAAATTTGGGGGCGGGAAAAATCAAAAGGCATGAAGAGGTGGACAGTTGCATTAATGCTCACTGATGGAGGGGGCACATTTGAAAGTAAATAACTAAAAGGATAAAGTTAGAAGAATTCTAATACTTTTTTTAAAAACAAACTCTGGATACACCTTGCTTGTAATATAAAGTAATAATATGTATTTAAATTTTATTTATTTTTTTACAAATTTTAAAGCATGCCTGCTTGAACAACAAATGGCAAAATTTGGAGGCCTGTATCATAAAATAATTTAATCATTATCATATAATTTGCATTTAGTATTCTACTGATATATGGCTAATATTTAAAAAAATAAATAAGGCATCTTAGTGATACAATAGTTGTGATATATTTAGGCAAACATGAAAAAAAAAATCAAACAACGAAAATTTCCGATGCAAATAAAAAAAAGCACCACCTTCGATTTTTAGGGGCCAACTTGAAATGGTTTGTCCCCAAAAATATGTAACTAACCTAAACTATTTTAGTATTCTATCTTTATTTTTGTGTGTGGAAGTAAAGTTGTTCCTTTTATTTTAAATATAAAATATAACGGAAAGTAAAACTTCACACTGCATCATCTTTTTTCGAATCACACGTCTCTAATATGATACCTCTTTGTACGCTGTATGTTAAATGCTGTATATAGTTTCTCCTCACTTTTAGTGTGTGACCGATTCCTCTAGTTGTCAGTGACCTCATCTGAATAAAAATATATAAAAGATGTGCATTAGTTGCATGAAACTGGAACTCAGAGTCACTTCTTGTATAGGGCATTTTAAGTGTAGGCTTTGAAAAAGGACCTATACTTTGGGGAGTTGTTTCTTCTTTCTCAATAAAACAATACAACATGTTTTTAATAGAAACGAATGCCAAATAGAGTACAACAGGGTACCTAAATTTTGAAAAAATTCTAAGGTTGTGTTTTGTTTTTCAATGTTTGCCTAAATATATCCCAAATATTGTATCACTCAGATACGCTATTTATTTTTTAAACAGCCATATATAAGTATAATATTATCTGCAAATTATATGATAATGGTCAAATTATTTCATGGGATACAGGCTTCCAAATTTTGCCCTTTGTCGTTTGAGCAGGCATGTATGTTTGGCAATTTTTAGAATAAATAAAATTGAAATAAATATCATTACTTTATATTACAAGCAAGCGGTACCCAAAGTTTGCGTCTAAAAAGTAATAAAATTCTCTTAATGATATCATAGTTATCCACTCTCAAACGGGGCCCCTCCATCAGTGCGCATTAATGCAACTGTCTACCTCTTCATGCCTTACGATTTTTCCTGCCCCCAAATATTTTTTTCCATCAAAACTAAGTTTGGATTCGTTTATACCAGACACTAGACAATAAGATATAAAAACATCAGTTCATCTAAAAATGTTGACCAGCCACCCTTTGGTCGATCTTATCTGAAATCACCCTCCTTTATTGTTTGATGAATAGAGAAGAAGTGTCTTCTCTGTCACAAAGGAGAAGAAAGGGCTCATAGCTAACGCATGAGAACAGTGTGGGTGAAAGACCTCACATTCCATGTCTGATAAATGGGTCCTTATTGTTTCGTCAAAACGCGCTTCGTGAAAACACGTTTTGTGGACAACTTTTCGTAAACAAATGTTTCATAGGACATGTTTTGTCGGCACTAATATTTTATCAACACTCGTTATGTAAAATGCACCCTGTCGGGAGATTTCATCGCGCTTGCATCACTGAGGCAAGTGTTAACCTATCTGGCTCACCCGTTCACTCCACTTAGCAGCGACAGTCTGCGGCGGCTCATTACAAAATGTTAACCCACCTGGCCCACCCGTCCAAGCCGCTTCATGGTGACAGCCTGAGGTGACCCATTACAAAAAAAAAAGCTAATCTGAGCTGCCAATGAAACATTGCGTGTCGATGAAACAATCTGTCGATAAAATGTCGTTTGATGAGCCGATTGCCACTTCTGACAAATGAGTAGAGGTCAGCTTACTTTGATTGTCGAGCTTTTGGAGGTTTGGAAGGTGCCTCAGCACAGTCATCCTGTAATGTTCGTTTTCAGCGCAGGGGTTGTCAGCGAGCCAGAGGTTTCTGAGCCTTGGCAAGTCCTTTAGGTGCAACACTTCGTTGAGGTCTCGGATGTTATTCTTCCGTATGTAGAGCTCCTGAAGGTTCTTGCAATATGCGAAGTCTGCTAAAGTATGTATATTGTTGACACTGGAAAGATAAAATCGTCGTATTTATACGGACAACTGTTGCGAAAACATGAATATGTCATCAACACCTGTGATAACCGACATACCTCAGAGAGAGCACTTCGACGTGCGACATCTTCCTCACTATGCTGACGTCTTCCAGTTCGCTCCCCCTGGAACGTGTGCATACTTTAATGTCGTCGTTTATCCCGAAAACAATGCCCCACCAGAAAAGAACAAACGCGGGATGAACTTACCAGCAATTGAGTTTTCGGACACTTTTCAAATCTTGGGCGCGGGTGCGCGACAGGACACAATTTTCAGTGAGGATACTCATGGCGAACTCTTTGACAGCACTAAAATCCAACGGCACCGGTCTTCAGTCCACGATATGTTGTCCAAGCAACGTTCATCGCCCGCCTCGCCGAATCCGAGCCACAGACCTCGCCCAACTTCAGAGTTCCGTAGACGACGCTGATTACCGTGCCCGGGCCGCTGTAGCCCATGGAAACGCTACACAAGGTAACGGTGCGGCACCGAAGCCCACAACATGATTTACTTGTACCGGCGGCCTTGAATATACCATGTTAGGTATTGAACGCGGGTCGTGCGTTGCCCGCGTTGAAGCCATCGTTCCCGGCCCAGCCACGGCTGCACTTTGCTAGAGGAATTGATTGGGACTCTGGAACTGTCCTACGGACGAGACACATTTGTAAGACGGACGCAGGATTAGGACTGTCGTGTTTACTTCCTGCCCGCTCGCAGCTCCTTGTCAACCCTCACGCAAAGATAACACGACCACCGCGGCACACGTAAACACACGATTTCGCCATCTCGCCACTCGTACACGCCCACTAAATGCCACCGACATGTAAGGCGGAGCACGCCCGCAATTGGGACTTCCTCCGCTCGTAGCAAGTAGTTCGGCAAATTGCGCATTTGAATAGTTGAGTATGTCGAAATTCCAGTGTACTAACCCATGGAATGGGAAGGACAAACTTTTAATTGTATATAAAATACGTAAAAAAAGTTAAAAGAAATATTGACCGTCACGAGGTGATAGAAATGTAGAATGGCAGTTCCTTGCGAACGCGCAGGAACACGTGCAGCGATGCCAAGGTGTGATGTAATGAATATCGCAATGGAGTCAGTGGAGCGAAGCCAACGAGCGAAGCGCACGGTCTGTGTATGTGCCGAGCCGGTCGTGGTTTGTGCACACTTTGTACTCGTCGGAGTGCATTGATCCAGTTCTGGTCGATCTGGTTTTATTTCGTCGTCCTTCTGTTTCTTTTTTTTAAGAGGACCACCAAGAACGGGCGGTATTGAGGACACCAAGCTGATGGAGTGTTGGCTGATTGGGGCTTGGCGAGCCACGATTAAAAACACCCGAAACTGTGTTTGCTTGCCACGGAAAATAGTTGAGCACGTTGGTTTGTTCAGCTGGTTTTTGCTGAATGCGTTTGCTTGGGGGACGATACAAACACATAAAACGTCTGTGTGCTTCAGTTGTCCTGGGGGGTACTTTGCGTGCTGGAAAAGAACGGTTTGAGCGAATCGACGTTTGAGCGAATAACGGGGGCGCGCGTTAACCCATCCGCCGCGCTGCGCTTTACGCCGCTTCGCGGCGACAGTCTGCGGCGGCTCATTACAAAAATGTGAACCCATTTGGCCCACCCGAAAACGCCGCTTCGCGGCGTCCGACTATTAGCTAAAGTGTCATTCGGTGAAACGTGGGCGTTCGCTAAAACGTCATTCGATCAAGTGAGTGCCTCCCGAAAAGAACGGGCATTCGCGAGACACCCTGCATTAATGCGTGCGAAATATATACTTTTTTTTATTCTCGACTTGCAACAATGGCAAGTTTTTTGTTGTTTTTTTTCGGTTATTATAGCAGGACGCGAGAAAGGACTTGTACCTGCAGGCCTCCACAGTCTAGACCTTTCCTGTCAAAATGCCCTGGATATCAAATGTCACCAGAAATGTCAGTCTATGGACTTGCCAAGAAGAGGCCGCCAGCCAGGGACTACAAAAAAGGTCTTTTGGATTTTGTTGTCTCTGACCACCTGTAGAGCCAATTCCTCATTTGAAATGTTTGATGCTTAGAAAATAAATCGAGTTACGATGTATTCTCCAAATGAGCATACTATCTAAGCATGTGTCGTGCCTCAGATTTCTACTAGAATTTAGAATACGATTTTTAGAGGTGCGGTGGTAGTCATTCCACTGTTAAAAGCTGCTGTTGAATGGCAACTGCTGTATATGGACCTTTAGTCCGCTGTGCGCTGCAGGTACTGCAAAGCATGTCCTCTTGTCATTTGCAAACTTTATACCAGTCACCAGATAGCTTCTAGTCTCCAGTCAAGCTCGTCGGCGCAATACCCTTTGCCTCAAATAGGACTCTCCAAGCTGTTACCATCAGAGTGATCTGCTCGTCTGTACCTTTCCTTAAAACGGACAAAAAAAGAAAAAATACTGCTCGAAAGGGATCACAGAGTTTCTATTCCAGACACTGCCATTATTTTGGGACCGCAAGCAGCATGCCCTCCATGCAGTACAGTTTTTTGATCAAGAGGAAAATGGACCTCGTGAAGCAATGGATTCACTACTCAGTTTTAGCGGTATTGAGAATGAGAACAATAGCTGGAGGAGTGGTGCAGCCCACGGCAAATACTATTAATTTACTGACCAAACTTACAAAATCGAAACTGCTGTAGCATTCCTAGATTTTGTCGATCGATAATCGCCAAACTCTCGTTACAATAATCTGACGAATCCTTGGGTTGCAAAAAAAAGACATGGGAAATAAAAAATAATGTGTGCAAGCTAGACCCGCATGGCAAATATAAAACGACAATTGAACAGGATTATTACCTAAACTCCAAGACAACATATTTGTAGAGTAAGATGTATTTTCCCCTTCAGTCAATAGCACTTTTTTATTCTACAAAAGTAAGAAGCACAAGGCAAACAATAAGCATGAAGAAAAGTCCATCACGACTGTCGAGCACCCATGCTGTGTACAGGGATCCCATAGACGACGGGAGCAGCCCCTATGAGGTACTGCAGCTTGCAGGCTTTTCTGGCCACTTGCACAGCCTTGGTGATGTCGGGAACGTGCGTCTTTGTCACCAGCGTGGGAATCCAAGACGTCAGAAGTCCCTCCGTGAACCGATCAATGTCCCTGTCGGTCACGTCCCACAAGTTGGCAACGACGCAAGGACTGGGGATCAAATGTGGGGGAAGAAAATACAGCAAAGGTTTGTCAGTGAGGAAACAGTGACTGGTGGAAGCAAGCTAATCATACATCTTGCACACACTGCTCAATGTATTCAAAGCTGGTTCACACAATTGCGTTTGACCAACTGTCTTACGACAAGATGACGCACCGGTCTGTCGGGTACCCCCGGTGACAGCGAGCAAGTGGCCCCTGAACGCTTCTGGTCCTAAACAAGACTGAAGCTTTTTGCAATATTCGTACAATCAAATCGATGCACTCCCTATGAAGTTGTCACAATTATTTCAGGCCCATGATAATGGAACGACACATAAACAATGAGGAAGTATGCATATGCAGACAAGAAGTGAGCCAGGGCTACTTTACAGATGGTGCCAATCTGTTATCTCGTCGTAATGCAATAATTAGTTACAAAAAGGTGAGTAGGTAAGAGAGAGAAAGATCATACAAAATACAAAAAAGGACATTTAAAACAAAAATGTTAGAAGTGTCATTTCTTAAACGAGTCCATCTTCACTTTCTAGAGTTTTTTGTGAAGGTGTTTTCTTGAGAAAGTTCAGTCAAATGCAGGTGTGTGAACAAGCCTTACTTTTTAAAGCCTGAGTAGAGATTACCTTGTTAGAGACAGCACACTGCTTTAAAATATTAGTTGTCTTGGAAGAAAGCCAAACTGAAAACTTTTCTTTATTGGGAATTCAGTGGCCAAATTCTCTTCCTGCAAGTTGGTTGAAGGTATCTCTGACCATAGTGCAGTGCTTCTATGGCTTTCAAATTAAATTTTGAAACGTGATGGAATTTTTTTTTGTAATGCTCAACTTTGCTCACGTTGATGACAATTAAATTTTAGATATGCTTGATTTAAAGTACAACAAATTTTTGGAACCCTCATGTCAGTCCTGCTTTGAAGTAAACAAATTGTGGCTTAGGTTAAAGAACACTGTGAATCATTGTATTAAAAATATGTATCCATTCGAACTCGGAAACAAAGCCATGACAATCCATGCATAACATGTGAATCTATTAATTTAAAATGGCTATTACGGCACTTGAAATTGAAGTGTAAAAAAGATGCAAGTTCGTCTCTTAAAGATAAAGTCCCAGACCTTGCCTGAAAATTAAAAGAACAAATAAACAAAGATAAATTTAAGTTCTATAATATTTCCCTTGCCAACTCTATGACAAGCTCACCTAGAAAGTTTCGGAGGCACATCTTACCCAGCAACCACAAACTCAAATGCTTTTACAAATAATGACACTCTTGAAACTGACTCCCCAAAAATAGCCAATCATTTCAATGCTCAATTCAGATTGGTGTTCATGTGTGATGATGGAATTATTACTCCTTTTACAAAGCTCGATTATTTGCCATCACTTGAAAATATTCACTTAAGCAAAAATGGGATTTTTAGCTTGCTCTGAAACCTGGATCCACGGATGTCTTGTGGTCCAGACAACTTAGCGAATGCGCTTCTAAAACATTATGCAAAGTTTGGATCCAAATACTTAATGATAATATTCAGCATGTCTAACTGAGAGGGCTTTACCAATTGACTGGAGGATGGCCAGAATTAAACCTGTACATAAAACAAGAAACAAGCAGGATGTTGCTAATTACAAGCCTATTTCATTGACGTGTTCCATCTGCAATATTGCCGCGCGCGCAGCTGGCCAAGCAGGCAGCGCGCGCGTGGCCTAATGGTTATCGTGCTTGTCTCCCACGCGGAAAGCCAGGGTTCGATTCCTGGGAGCGACGTGTCTTTTGTTTATACCTGCAGGTTAGTGTTCTGGAAAATTCGAGAATCATGTTGCTTGCTCCAGGCCCGAATGTTCTACGCGTCGAACCTTCTATGCCGATTATTCCAGAAGCCCACGCGTGTACAGAGCGCGGCACTGTTAGCGCGAACAAGCGATCGCCGGTTATTTCAGTTTTTCTCTTTGAAATCAAGGGATGTCACCCAAGTTATTATTTTTACGGAAAGAGCTCATTTAATCCTATGATGTAAGCGATAAAATTTCGTGCTCGCTAATACTATTTAGAAGTAGAATGCGAAAATGCACAGATGTCGTGTTCGCGCTAACAGCGTCGTGAGCCAGAGTCAGTCTCGCCCCTGCGCTCGATCCTGCGGTTTCGCCGACATCAATGCCCGCGACGCTCTGCTGTTTTCTTCTGTTTCCTTTTTTTGGTTTCGGCAGAAGTTCGCCCCATTAAACGTTTAGTTTCTTCAGTTATCTTTGCCTCATCAATCGTCATTTGTGACAATATCGATAAACATCTGAATTTCTTAAAAATCAAGATGTCCTGTCAAAAAGGCACAATGGCCCTAGACAAAGGTTTTCTACTACTACTCAACTAATCAAAACAATTCATGACCTTGCTTTGCTCCGGACAAAAAGAATCGAGTTATATGTAATTTATATTGACTTTGCAAAAGCGTTTGATAATGTGTTGCATGCAAAGCTTCTAGACAAACTGAGAAACTACTTAACCCCAGCCTACTCATTTTAGAACGAAGCTGTTATATGCTAGGATCTGGGAAAAAAATGTGTCCTCACATGTTGACGGCAAATTCCCCATTGGTTGTGGCAAGTATGAATAAATAAGAACAAAGAGGGGTCAAGTATGAATAAATAAAAGCAAAAAGAGGGGGCAACCGGCGTGAGTCAGCCTTTCTTATTACTAGAGGTCGTCCTAGGCGTCGTCCTCGACATTGTTTTTTAGGTCGTCCTAAAAGTCATCTTCCTAGAAGTCATCCTCGAAGTCGTCCTCTAGGCGTCGTCCTAGAAGTCGCCCTTGAGGTCGTCCAAGAAGTCGTCCTCGAAGTCGTCCTTGAAGTCGTCCTCGAGATCGTCCTTAAAGTTGTCCTCGAGGTCGTCCTCGAAGTCGTCCTCGAGGTCGTCCTTGAAGTCGTCCTTGAAGTCATCCTCGAGGTCGTCCTTGAAGTCGTCCTCGAGGTCGTCCTTGAAGTACTCCTTGAGGGTCGTCCTAGGAGTCGTCCTCAAGGTTGTCCTAGAAGTCGTCTTCGTCGTCCTTGAGGTCGTCCTCAAGGTTGTTTTAGAAGTCGTCTTAGAAGACGTCCTTGATGTCATCCCAGATGTCGTTCTCTAGGCATCGTCCTAGACATCGTCCTCTAGGCATTGTCCTAACAGCTTCGCTGGTCCTCCATCCTCACGTAAAGTGGAAGGGCTCTACAATATTTTTTTTTTCGAGGATCGTACAAAACAATTTTATTTTAGATGGGAAATCTGCAGTAAAATAAGAAACATTTCCTCGAGTTCCAGGTTTCATATTCTACTCTACATCAGGACTTCTGGTCTGAGTCCCACTGACATGCAGACGCCGAAGGTGATGGAATGCATGGAGGATTCAGATTGTTTTCATCACTCCTCTCACTGCCCATCAAACTACCGTTCAATTCCTAAAAAGCAGAAAGGCTGAAGGATTCATCATCACATATGCCTGAGCAGTGGTCCTTTTCAAAAAGAAGGTTTCGTAACTCTTTGTCGGCTAAAGCGGTCCTCCGCAACAAAGCCATGTTGTTTTAAAATACAGTTGAACCTCAATTTAACGAAACCCGATTTTATGAGTTTCCCGATTTAACGAACAAATTCGGATTCCCCGCGGAGCCTATCCCGAAGAATGTCTTTCTCGACTTTACGAAGTTCCCGATTTAACGAAATAATTAGGGGGTCCCGGTGACTTCGCTAAATCGAGGTTAAACTGTAAATGCTCACAAGCAACTGCTTTTTTTTTTTTTTTTGCTGAATGAAGTGTTCTTTCTGTCAAACAGCAAAACAAACAAGCAAACCACCCAAGGTAAATGAAGCAACAAGGGTAGTTGTGCTATCTGCCATAATGCATGTTAAAGAAGCACCATAACCGAAACGAGAGCCACACTCGTGGTCGGGCTTTGTGGTCTGTAAGGGGTGGCACAAGTGACACTTGTTAGTATTAAGAGACAAGGGGTTAAAAACATCAGATAGTTGACTGGATAAAGGCTTAACTTTCAAACCGTTACCAATGTGTAGCATTTAATAATGAATGTTCATCCTCACTTTCGATAAATTCTGGCTTCCCCCAGGGATCTGCACCTGCACCTATTTTATTCTTATTGTATATTAATGATATTCCTGATGATATTTCTGTTAAAATAAGTCTTTACATCGACGATTCTGTAATATGCAATGGAGTTAATTGTGTGAATGACCAGATTGAGCTTATTGACGATTTAGACAACGTTGCGAGATGGTGCAATACATGGCAGATGATATGACTGACTAACAAAAAGAAGCCTCTTTCATTTCGCTATCTAAACCAGTGGTTCTCAAACTCCGGGTCTGTAGACTCCGATTTTGGAGACCCTAAGAAGGCCTCAAAACATTCACCCAAACAATAATTCTTTTTAAAAAAAATTTGATGCTGACTTTTTTACATGTGTGTCGAGTGAGTAGTGTTGATTAGTCTATGCTTCATAGCTTCCAAGTTGGTTGGCATGCATTTAGCTTTTCTTATTTACCCTTTTGTCATCGTAATCATCTAGTATTATCCCCCCTCTTCCCAGGTGGATAGGGTCCCCCGTCACCTTTGCTGATCCAGAAGGGGTCCCGAAACATAAGCGATTCCTAACCACTGATCTAAACCAACAAATTTTAACTGGAGCTACCTAATTGAAATACCTAGGTCTCTGGATCAGCTCCAATCTTCGATGGGATAAACACATCGGCATGGTTTCCTCTACTGCCTTGTGAAAATTCTTTCTCAGACGAACATTAAAATTGGCCACTTCAAGTACTCGACTCCTAACTTAGAAGACCCTGATTCGTCCAATTTTAGTGTGTCAACATCAATTTTGGGATCCATTCACACAAATAGGCACTAAATGCATTGGACCAAATACAGAACAAGAATGTCAGGTTTATTTTTAATGGTTATAGAAATGCATCAGTATCTCAGCAGTTTACCCAACGGGTTGGGTAACTGCAGTGCAGACATTAATTATCATTTAAACTGATGGGCAATATGCAAAATAGCAGTGCCCCTAGCAGTTCAGGTGCACTCTGGGAGCAGGAGACTAAACAGGTAGTTCCTGTTTCGGTTTTGCTGGGTTGTCCATCGGTCGTCTGCTATCGTCTCTACACTGCCATTGCTCACGTCGTGGTGGATTGCTCCACAGATATGCACGATGCAGTAAGTACTTTTTTCTACTCGTCGCTACATATCAGGCACAGCGAAAAACGAAACAATTAGGATTTTGCTGGCATGGGGAGAGAGCAAAAACGCTTTAACGGCATAGTCGAGCGAATGAAGATCGACGTATGCCGACCGCCGTGCCAGCTCACTGTGTGCAACCTCAAGAACAGCCACTGAGACTAGTAACTACTCCATTTTTATAAAAAGCTAAAAACCCTCGCAAAAGTATGAGTGTGACCAGCCCCTGGCAGGACAGGAAACAGCTGCCAATAAATTATTTGACAATCGCAAGCTTCATAAAACATGAAGTGTTGGGGCTGAAAGATGCATGCCTAAGGAATCTGCACATTCTATGATATGGGCACACCAACACTGCGACTGTGTTTTGATCCTTCCCGTGGCCAATAACCTCACAGCGACATTGCAAGAGGTGCATGTTTGCACTTGAAAACATTCTCGTATAGCGATGTTCGTCATCTACTTGTACCACATTAGCCCAAATGAAAATAGCGATCGGCAAAGCAAGGGTGTTATAACACTGGAGCACGAGTTTCAGTAACCGTTTTCGAGGTTGCAAACAAATGCACGCAGTGAACTGGCATGGCGTTCGGTGTACATCAATCTGCATTCAATCGACTTTGCCGTTATGGCATTCTCGCTCGCTTCCCGTCCAGCAAAATTGTAATTGTTTCGTTAATCACTGTGTCTGATATGTAGCAAAGAGAAGAAAAGGGTACTCAATGCGTCGCGCATAAGTCTAAAGCAATCCACGACGACGTGAGCAATGGCGGTGTGAAGACGATAGTAGAGGACAGGTGCACAACTCGGCCAAACCGAAACTACCCGTCGACACTCTCCTGCTCCCAGGGTGCACCTGAACTGCTAGGGACGCTGCTATTTTGCATACTTCCCATTAAGGGTCAGTAAACAATGAACGTGGGTGAATACATAACTTTTTCTACCGAATATGCCACCCGACAAAGCTCTACCAACCACGCACAAATAGTTTGAAGTTTTCTTTTTTTCCTCAGACAGTCATAGAATGAAATGGGCTTTCTTACAATACAGTTGAAACTTGATTTAACGAAGTCACCGGAACCCACTAATTATTTTGTTAAATCGGGAACTTCGTAAAATCGAGAAAATCATTTTGCGGGCATAGGCTGAGCGGGGAATCCGTATTTGTTCGTTAAATCGGGAAATTCGTAAAATCGGGCTTCGCTAAATCCAGGTTCAACAGTTTTACTAACCATGATGCTGCTAGAGCATTTGTTTCTACTTTGTGCACCAAGTGATCGTATAATTATTTTTTATTTTGACACTGATTTATTTTGCATGTATTTCCATTTTGCCACGATTCCTTTGATAAAATCAGCAGTATTTGCAAAAAAAAAAGACTAAAGAAGACACATAAGACTGCTTACATGTAGGAATGGGAAAGCATTCCTACATGCAGAGCATTCCTATATGCAGTGCATCCCTACAAGCAGCGCGCTAAGCCTTCTTTTTTCACACGGTGCTCTGGCAGTGACATCATGCTTCCCCGCCGCACAGGCATGGCAAACCCCGCGGGTTTTACAGCTCCCGTGATGATGCATCTGCGTTGCTGTGTTTTTCTTTGTGTCTTATTTCTGAGGCACGTCCGCTTTGACCTCGAGCGGCCTCGCCGGCTTCCATGACAAAGCATTTGTGTTGCTGTACTTTTGGCGAATAGGAATTTAACTGCAGTTTTGCTGGTCAATGGGAATTCAACTTCTGTTTTACAGCTACAGACGGTTACAGACAACGCTGGCTTTGCTCCATTAAACAGTTAATACTTTCGCATTAAAAAAAGTACTACTATTCTGCTAGTATTTGACCACAAGCGCAGCACTGTTGCTGAGCCCTGCAACATGAATTATCGGTACCGATTTCGAGAATATGTCCACCCTCGCACGAGACAAACCCCTGGCAGAGACCTCTAGTGAAATTGTGGCACATTCTCGCTATACCAGGAAACATCATTAGATGTGTTGGCAATTTACCTTTTAGAGGGGGAAAAAAACAAAAAGCAGACAAACCCTTGAAAGAAGAAACAGCTTTGGTTCAACGATCATAACTACTACCCGAGAAGAAAGGGAGGCTGCTCCTCGACGCTCACGGTCGCCCTGAACAAAAGACAGTTGGTTTTGAAACCTCGGGCCCCTCTACATTTAGGGATTGGTCATAATAAGCATGAACAAGCTGTTCCAAAAGCTACACATATACACTATACGTAATGGTTCCATTTGTTGTCTAAAGCTGTTGCAGTATTGGGCATAAAGAAAGCGTAAGCAAGGAAGCTGTAGTGCTGCAAAGTGACCTTGGAGCGACTCTGATGCCTTACCTGCCGCCCAGCCAGTACTGCAGGACCACTCCCCAGGGCTCAATCTTGGGGCCAGACACCTTGAGGCGCCCACTCCCACAGCCCATGAGGATGGGGCATGCACGGCACAGCGTCTGCTCAATCAGGTCCCCGCTCAGGTATTCGCGGCCGGAGCCGTGGCCGCAGTACCTGCACCAAAGTAAAATTTGGGAGGTTTCACCTGCCAAACCAATGAACGGCATCTGGCACGCTCCAGTGGAGGATCGATGATGAATTTCGACCACCCAAGGATCTTTTGACATGAAACCATAATTTTAGCCTTCTCCACGCTCGGGATTCGACCCGCCACAGTACCTGCACCCTTTGGGGCACGAGTTTCCCCGTAACCGCTTGGAAGCAGGGTCGGGACTTCCCCAAGGCTCACTTGTTTTGGAAAGGAAAATGGGTTTTGTCAGGATGCCTAGTGCAGATGGTACAACTGACCATTATTGATGAAAAGGCTCACGCACATCGGGGTCATATTCTGAATCTACTTGCTCGTGCACTTCGAGCCTTTGCTCCGATTGGGGAGAGAAGCAAACAGAGTACATAGGTTACAGAAACCTCAGAATTGTATTCTACCCTCCACAGAATTGTATTCTACCTTATTGTAGTAGAATAGACGTCTTTAAATACTCTTTTTTCGCACAGCAATTGAAGAATGGAATAGTCTCCCGGAGTGTGTCATAAATTTAACAGACGCGTCTCATTTTGAGTCTTCCTTGGAAGAGCTGTTTTCAAATTAAAAGAAATTGTGGTTGATTGTTGTTATTTGAAAATGTAATAGTATTTTGTGTGTCCTTATTGCTGTTAAATGCTAAGATTGTATGTTTTTCCCTTTTATTTCTCCCTCTCCTTAATAGCCGTCGAGAGAAGGCTGACAGTATTGATAAATAAATAAATAAAAACATCAAATGAGGCCACCAAGCCAGGCATGGGGAGTACTAAAGTATGTTTCTACAACAACAATTGTAGTATTCTAACATTTAAATCCAATTATTTCCTGTTTTAAGATTTGCATGACTACTTCCAAACAGTAAAGTGTTATACAAGATGTAAAAAGAGAAGACAACAAACAAAAAATTTAAAAATCAAAGAAGAACTTGGAAAAGTGGCGTGTCATTTCAATCATCTTGCCGCTATCTTGGCAGCCTGTCCTTTGTGGGTGCGCCGACGACTTATGAGACGACGTAACTGAAATCATTACATCACTCTCTAAGCATCATTGTAAGCAGGACTTGCGGCACTCTTTTTGCATGCAACTTTTAAATTGGGTTAAAAAACGAGAAAATTGATCATATAATATCTCGATTAACTTAAAGAATTTTGCAAATTCTTTAAGTTAATCAGGCCATCAATACTGTGATCACTACATGACTCTTAAAACCAATAAACAAGTTAATTAACAAATTTCAGTTAATTAGCCAACTTACCATGACAATTATCCCCTCATCTAATGTTCGCTGAGCCTGATAAATACATGGTGAAGACAGAACTTGTTTAACCCTTACCTCTTTCTTTTAAATAAAGATCTGTTCAAATTAAAATCAAACACCTTGCATAGTTGAGAAGGTATGAGACCTAAAAAAGGGGAAGCCCAAGCTAAAGAATATATGGCTGGACTCCGAAGTGCTGTGCATAAGAAGGATTCATGCACCTACTTGGCATGATAAAGCGGGGTGCAGGTTACGGCACTACAGTGTTCGCTCATGTAGTGGAATTAAAGCATTTATGAATTATTTGTGCCTACTTTCCCACAGAACACATATACAGCCAATCATTGCGTTGGGCATAAATGACATAGCGAATAACCAGATCGAGAACAGGATTCTCCATACAAATTCAATCTTCACAGATGGTATCTTCGCAAGAAGACGTTATTTCAGTCCTGTAAACAGCAGAAATCATGCTGTCGATCGCGGCGATTGGCAATCTGCGTGCTCCGTGAAAAAGCAAACCCTAAGGTTTTTGTCATAAACAGTACAGCTATTACTCGAGTAAATACGGTAATGCACAAAAAGAAGCAAGTGACCTGATATTATAATTGCAAAAATGTAACAGAAGTAGTGTGACAGCAAGAAATATTCACTTCAGCAGGAGTAAACCACAGAATTCTCTCCAAAAGTTCAGGAATAGCTCTCATGTGCTAAATGCAGTGTTGGGTAAAGTACATCTAAAAAGCGTTTGAAGTGAAGTACAAAGTAAATGAGAGGTACCTACTACTTTACTTCAAGTAAAGTAGTAGGCACACCAGGTGCAATGTACTTAAGTACAGTAATACTATAACTGCAATGTACTTCCAAAGTAAAGCACAAGTACTTTTTAACATAATCTTTCATGATGCCCTTTCATTCCCCTTAGTATTTTTTTTATCCTTTAAATGGTATGCAATTGCCCAAGGGGTAATCGGGGGTGCATCAGTTATTTTTGGAAATGGCAGCAAATATTGGATAAAGTCAAGTGGCTTCAGAGTTGATGAAGCATCTTTTTGTGACACAGATTTCACAAGACCAAATTTGGGCAATGTACCTACTTTGAAGTTGGGAGTTGCACTGCTTTCCTCAAAATGTACCAGAAAAAAATATTTTAAGTAAGGTACAAGTACATACATAAAGTAAAAGTATTCTATATTCCCTTGCAGTAGTAGTACTTTAGGTACAATGTACTTAAAGTACTTCCCAACACTGACTAAATGTTCTTTGTGCAAGTATGTATAAAGGTTGTGAAATGGGATATTAAATAAGAAAACAAAAAAAAAATCAGAATAAAAAAGCAAACCCAGGATTGCTACTCAAAACATGTTAATTCAGGGCTTCGGATCAACAGGCATCACTGTACAGATACCCAATGCTAAGTTCAACGGGACAAATGCATCTCACGGGAGAATTGCAAAATTACTTACAAAATCACATCCTTCCCAGCAATGGCGGCTTGGAACTCCTCCTTCTGTGGGGGCTGTCCAATCACGCCTGGCCAACCCTGCCTGTTCAGAAACAATGAAGGAGAGCTTGTTGGAAAAGAAAGAGGACCGCTCAGCGAGGAATTGGTGCCGCCCATACTTTGTTTCACTTTATGTCTGCACGCGCCCGACGCTGCAAACTATGGGACGAATCAGAGAGAGTCAAAAGCGCACCGTCATGGGGTTTGTGACGTTTCTGTATGTGTTCTATCATCGCTGAACAGAAAAGGCCCAGTGACTTGCGCTTTTGACACTCCAGTTTCCGATTTTCCTGTGGGTGCCGCCATTTTAATGCTGTCTGCGGAGGAAAAAGCGAATTATTGTGTGTATGTTTATACAGCCAGAAGTTAGTCTGCCTTGGTGGGCGTCTGGTGTCTCAGCTGTAGATGAGCAATTTAGCCAGTGCGGTACAACCGCTAGCCTGGGGTCTTTAACGTGCACCACGCAGTAGTGATACACGACCGCACGCCGGTACGATGCTCATTTAGATCGAAACGGGCAGGGGCGGGGATCGAGCCCAGGATCCTGGGTTCAGCAGCGCGAGCTTTCGCTCCACGTGCTCCGAGCTGGTGTGCGCTAGACCACTCGGCCACCGATCCCACTGTCTGCGGAGAGAAGAACTGGAGATTGGTACAAATCGAAAATGCTACTTATACTTCCTAACTTTAATATACAGTGATAGAAAGCTCCGGCAACAGTATTTTGCTCTGTCACGGGCTGTTTAAACATTTCTGAAGGACAAAAAAACATTTTTTTGTGATTTTGGATAAAGCTTCAGACAGCTGGCAACAATGATTTAAGGTAACAAGATGGCTCAAGTGCCATTACTTCGAAGAATGGCTTTAGGGCTGCCCTATCAATGACACATATGTCATTTAAACAAACCGTAACCGTAACCGCAACCACAAGTGCCATCAAGGAGAAAGTCCTCCAAGAGAGAAAGGGAAGGCCTACCCTTTGAAGACGTTCTCGAACTGGGCCTGGGTCTTGGGGATATCGTTGCTGGGGTTCAGGATGAAGTAGGTTTTAGATGTGTCGGCCCCCCGAATGTAGACATTGTCTAAAGTCTGGGAGTAGTACCACAGCTGGGCCTGGAGGTAGGCCAGTGACGGGACCCGGCTCACGGGGTTCTTCTGCAGGATGGGCACACTCTCCCAGGGCAGGGCTTGGATGGCCTGTGACGCGGGGGGACGGGTCGAATGCTGAGCAACATTCAAAACAGATTACTACAGCCATACATCACAATGTGGAGTGATACAGTGGGGAAGTGCTGAGGTGCTTGTGTCGGAATATTGCAGGCACTGTCATAGATAAAGGTATCTTGTAGTATAACAGTTTACATGCAGAATTATATTAATCTAACTCGTGGGTTCTTTCTATCTTGAAGAACCCCTCTTGACCGAAGGCCAAGGAACCCTTACTGATCTCGGCATTGGTATAATAAAGCAGTGCAGAAACTTGGAGCTTGTAAATCATAAAGACAGTGCTTAAACTGAAAAGACAGTTTATTTAAAGGCAAAAAGAGTAGAGGAAATTTGGGACCTCGGGGAAACAAACCCATGGGTTTTTAGGTATCAAACCCGCGATCTAGCGATTCTATTGAACCCGAACAATCATTCTTCACAGATGCTTAGGTATATGGTTGGTGTTATTCAGAGTAAATGAAAAGGCAGGACCTAACCGTACTTACTACCAAATCTCTCTATGGAATGGCCAGGTCTCCAAGTGCAGTGCATTGTCACATCCAGGGTCTACTCTCATCACGAACAGCCCCCATGTTTGCAGCATGTATCAGATTGCTAAAGACATTTCCCATAAGTTGGCTATCGGGAAAAGCTGCAACTTAAAACTGCAGTATATCTGCTAGTAATTCTTCTGCAACAGGGTTGAGAAGGTAAGGGCACCCGTTTGAATCTTATGATTCACAAATACAATGGCAGAATAAGTGTTGACAAAATCCAGGCACATGAAAAAACAATAATGATATAAAGACTGGCGGCGACCTTTATCTCAAGCCCTGTAATACATAAATGGATATGCCATATTTGAAATGCAATCATTTAAATTTGTTTTGAAGAAATTGAACGTTGCACGACATTAGTGTCAATTCGTGGTGTGATGCGACACTGATGTCATGGTCATGCCACGTCTAGCCACACGACACTGTGATGTCACATGACGTTTGAGGCTTCTGTTATAAAGCATTCCATGGTTTAATAATATGTATCGCCTACTATGAATATTGATGAATAGTACAAACAAAATATCACCTTGTCAAGTATGAGAATGACCGGGTGCCGCTCTGGGTTGTCCTTGACCGCTCGCAGCTGCATGAGCTGCACCAGACTGTCGTGGGCGGGATGGGAGTGTGCAATGCCAAACAGACGACACACAGCAACAGACAGCTGGTAGGCGGTCAGGTCAGAGTCGAGCACCGCCTGCAATAACAAGATTACACACTGCTTGGACATGCCTCTGGAATCTACAATAGATATTGTGAATACCTAGTACTTGAGGAATGAAACAAATGGATTTGGAAAAAGGAATGTGTGCACATTATTAAAACAAAAAAATATCCATACTTTGTGGTGTGGTCCCTCTTATCCTGCCCTTAATGGGGCCAATAATACTACACATTTCACAGACAAAACAACAACAATAGAAGAAGATGCTTGGAGATCACCTGATGTGATGTGAATGGACAGCATCAGCTGGTGAGACATTTCGATAACAATGTGTCGCAACTGACTGAAAATTCCGGCAATGTTGCATTGCGATGTGTCCCGCGTAAACCCCCACCGATCACACAGAGAACCAGAGATGGCAAAATTACTTTCAAAAAGTAATTAAATTACATTACAAATTACTTTTCTGAAAACTGCACAAATGTAATTAAGTTAAATTACAAATTACCACAGAATAAATGTAATGACATTACATTACAATAACTTTGAAATTACTTTTGAATACCTTGGGGCAGTCATTTGTGCTTATTTTATTTACCGTATACACCAAGACACTGTTTACAAAACAAGCCCTTGTTTGGCCCCACAGCCCGCGTGCAGGAACCAGATCCGGGAGAAGCGAGGCGCTGCGCATGCGCACTGCCTACAGCAGTGCCACCGCAGTGATATGACGTCAGAGAGCCAAGTTGGTCTCTATGTACCAAAACTCAGATCTTCCTGTTTACACTGCAATAACCTTATGCACCTCAAAGTGAACCATACTGAACAGTGGTCTTGCTGGCGCACATGACAAGTGTAAAACATGATTAGAGTTCCGCGTTTTCGGTTTTTATTTTTTCAAAATTCGGCGTACTTTTTTCGGTGTTTATTTCAAAAATACAATTATGGTTTTTTTCGGTGTATATTTATTCCCAAAAAAGTTTACCATTTTTCTTTTTCGGTGAATATTAAAAAACACCATGTCCATCGGACACCGAATCGGATGATCCTTGTAGCTGTGATATTTGTGATCACTCAAAGAATAACGGCACATGTACATACGTGATCTTCGCTACAACTTCCGTCAGGACACAGCTCAAAATCGCGAAATTCGCAGGCATAAGCTTCAGCGCGCTTCTTTTTCCTTACCATTCTGACGACGTGACCGTCTGAGGTGATGACCGTACAAAAACCAGCAAAATGGCATAAATAAAAAAAAAAAAAAAAAAAAAACCATTTTATTTATGTTTTTAGTCGAAGGGAACTCCGAACCCTAAACATGATGAATAGCTTTTAGGGGCGAAGCTCCTTAGGGGCTAGCCATGTTCGTATGTCTGTCCGCCGTCCCGCGTGCCCCTGCTCGTGAGCTCACAAGCAGGAGCTCTCGAGCTCCTGCTCGTGAGCTCGTGAGGTGCGGCAACACAGTGGCGCCACAGTGTGGCTCCTAGCAGAATCGTTTTGGATAAACCGCAGCAGACACATAAGACATCCTGCATAGCAGCCAACCTTTCTTATCGATGTTGACTTATCCGAGCAAAGCGCTATACGAAATACACAGGACCACAGCCGGCGCCAACCTTCTTTTACGCAAGACCCAGAAGTGGAGAACACAGAATTCTCCATGCGCCGGAGAAGAGCACTGCAATCATCTCAATCCCAGTACGTCTACTTGGTCTCCCAGCGAGTGAAGAGCAGTATGATAACAAGAGGAACAAAAAATACTTCTCGCATAGATTTAATCAATTAGTGCTGGCACTAATGAATGTCGACCCGTAGTGATTTCCGGATTGTCAAACACACAGACACTTCATAAAGGCATCTTTCAGCGCAGATAAACGAAAAACCTGGCTGTGTGTTGCTGTTGTTGCTGTTTACAACTGCGGGAGACGTGATTGAACATGAGCTTCGAGCAACTCCTGCGGGTTGAATGAAGAAAGACACATGCACAGCAACGCTGGATATGGGTAGGTTTTCGAATGTCAGGTTGCCAAAACTTTGCTCAGGAGCAAGATTGAAAAACATGGCTGCGGGAAGGTGCAGATGCGGCCAAGATGCTGCGGGCACATTAGAATAGGTTGAAAGGGCGGCCTTCCACTATGCGACGTAACGCGGACGCTGCCCACCAGTTGCCAAAGCGGAGCAGCATGCCCCCCGCATAGGTGTCGCACGCTCCCCACAGTAATGATGCCAAATGCTTTTACGCAAAAATGTGGATATAAAAAAATAACCACTTTTAGTACATCATGATCTGGCATAGCAACTACTTAAATTCCGAGCAAAATAAAAAATAACGAAGCACAAAAACAAATTCATGTCTCTTGATTTCCTTCTACAAAAGAGGCTCCCAGACTTCTTGATCTCGAGGGATTCCATCTGCCTTAAGTGACAAATGAGAAACCCCTGCCACTTTCAATATTGTTACGTCTAAGCAGTATGAGGGCCTAGAGACTTTGTTCACAATTAATGCACACACTAGAATACACTAGTCACATAGCATGTAGTGTCTCTATGCATGGCTATGACATGCTGAACTACTGTGCTTGAAAAAACATTTTACTTGGGACAAAGATGGTTGCAAGAATTTCGGTGCTCCAGGAACCTAAGAGAATATGCTGGGGAACCCTGGGGATCCAGTTTGAGATCCAATGTCCGACAGCATCAAATATCCCACTCCAATTACTATATCTTATAATAAAAATAGCGCTTGTCGGTTGTATCACAACAAGTATGTATTTACTTGCATAATGAACACACTTTTTTTCCCAATAATTTGACACATATTGGGGGGGTGCGTTCATTACGCGGTGTAAAATGTTTGCATTTACACACTTCGTGCAAACATCATATTAGGTGCCAATATGACACGGCAAGGTATTGTGGCAAGTCTCCACTGACAAAGAAGCACCCACGGCTGGTCGGGGGCACGCCACAGTAACCATGCTTTATAAATTGCAAACCTTTTTAGGGCGCTTTCGGCCTTCCTTTCACCAAAGAAAAAGAGCCCTATGAAGCTCATTCAGTTTGGAGAGCAACGTGACCGTTCTTGAGCCTAACCATTTTCACGATTTCACTGTCCGAGAGCGGACCACAGACAACGGCGTGTTTGTTGACATCAATGCCTCCGATAGGCGAAGAATGCCCGAAGCTAAACAATTCCTTGACACAAGCTTCGTCAAGTGTGCGCGCTGCTTGGTTTCACGGTTGATCACTTCCGGAACTACGCACTTGCAGCCATTACGAGAGCGGCTTGGCTGGCATTGTTTGGCCTGACCGCTTGGTGGCAAAAGAAAATTGGCTTAATGGGCTTGGTGGCTAACTAGGTTAGAAGAAATTCGAGACTTGCGGAGCCGAAAATTGGAGGTGCATTCATTACGCAAAGGAAAAAAAAAGTCCAAATATTGGTACCCGTTGTGGGGGGGGGGGGGGGGGGGGGGGGGGTGCATTCATTAAGTGAGTAAATATGAATGATCTCCCTCTCAGAATAGTCCTGAGTTAAGTACACTCAAATACTAGTAGAACAAACTTTCAGTTGAACAAACAAACTTTCAGCTAAACAAACAAACTTTCAGCTGAACAAACAAACTTTCAGCTGAACAAACAAACTTTCAGCTGAACAAACAAACTTTCAGCTGAACAAACAAACTTTCAGATGAACAAACAAACTTTCAGATGAACAAACAAACTTTCAGATGAACAAACAGACTTTCAGATGAACAAACTTCCGTAAAATTTCAGAAACCCCATTGTGTTCAATAGATTCAGCTGAGTAAACTTTCAATTAAGCAAACTTTTTTTAGGTTCCTTAAAGTTTGTTCAAGTGGTATTTCACAGTAGCCTGAATAGCATAAAAGAGGCATCTTTCCAGGAATGCGACGTGTGAAAAAGTCTTGATATGGGAGGCAGTCCCTGCTGGATTTAAGTAGACTTACCTCTAGCAGACGCTTATTGCAGCAGTGCAGCTTGTACTTGGCAGCCTTCACAAGAACTGTGGTCACGCTTGACTTGAGGGCTTGGTAGGCAGTGGCATCTGCAATCTTCCCCTGGAAGACACCTTTCCAGCAGCCCATCCAGACCTCTTCAATGGACTTCAAAAGCTCCTGGGAAACAAGGTAAGAAGCATACACTTTGGCAGTAAAATGCACCCAACAAAGAAACTGTTAGGATAAGCCAAGTGGAAAGTTGGTAAACGTTGAACATAAAGAAAAATCGCGCACAAAGAGACAAGGACAAAAGAGGAACACAGAATGCGCGTGTCTGTGTTCCTTCCTCTTTTGTCCTTGCGTCTTTGCACGCAATTTTTCATTATGTCCAAGTAAAAGTCAGCATACAAATGACATCTTGAACAAGTTCTCTGTTGCTTAAACTGACCAAGTAAACACATAGTACTCAGGACATTAATAACCAGGGGTTGGTGACCTTCAGGGCTCCATTACCAAATCCTACCTTCAGTCTTCAAGACGCTTAATCACCCAAAGCTGCAAACACAGCCACTGTTCTCCCAGCATGTTCAATACCGCAGATCAAAGCATATGATGCATATCACCTTGTACAATTCCCAACAAGTCACTAAACTTAGTGGATCATGATTCAATTGCACCTATACTGTTTCTGTCATGATTTACTTGCACATAGAAGCACCAGGCCGGTAACAAGATGATGACTGATGAAGGACAGCACAAACTGCTGTGAATGGTTATTTTAGGTACAAATCCCAAGGAAATACAGAATACAATAATTCTGAGCACCTAAATTTATGTTTCCTTGAAGTTTTAGAGGTTGTAATAAAAGTGCTTTTGTCATTTGAATGTCAATGTCAATTACTTGAGAACTAAAATCGGCATGTGAATGATTAATATGTCTTCTTAAAGGACACATGCAAAGGAAAAAAACTTTTTTTAAACAGCTTAGATGGAAGAGGATGTCATAAAACCATTTTACAATAAAGAGAAAAAATTTTTAGAACTATGCTTACGGCACTACACGAATTTGTAATTGGCGCCCGCGGGCGCAGCGGAAAAGTGGCCCTTATTTATCACGTGACTGGTACATATCTGTCACGTGGTGCTTGCGCTCTTTCGGAAGCTTCCTATGGCCTCTAAAAGTAACTTATTCATCTTTGTTTGAAGTATGACAAGAAACTAAAATTAATAAGTAACTTTTAGAGCCCAAAGAAAACTCCTGAAAAAGCGAAAGCAGACGTGATAGACCTGTGCGCTCGTAAGATGACAGCGGCGGCGCCTTGAAGCAGACAAACTTGTGCGGTGGCGGCGACAGCGGCGTTCGGACAACGCTCGGCGTGCGGCGGCGGCGTGACTTTGCGGCGGAGACGACGGAGCGTGGCGGCGCACAGGCCTACCACGTGACCAGCGGCGGCTCCCCCGCGGAGCACCAACTACAAATTCGTTTTGCGCCGTAAATATAGTTCTAAATTTCTTTTTCTTCATTGTAAATTCGTTTTATAATATTCTTTTTCCATCTAGCCTGTTTAAAAAAAAAAATGTTTTTTTCCTTTACATGTGTCCTTTAAACCCAATCCTGCCGAACTTTCTTTGGGTTCTTCCAAAGCTTCCATGCATAGCTCCTGCTGGTGTAGTTTTCATTTACCGCACCTATATAAAAGTGAAAACTAAACAAAAGAGTTGGCGTACAAATAAACCTGCAGAAGTCTATACAAATCTTGCAGTACCGAAGTATGTTTGATAAATAAAAATGAAAAGGATATTACATTTTGGCAAAATGTAGCAGCATGTAGTGGGGTAAGCACTTTGGTGCAAATGATGCAGTAGTCACATCACTGACTAAAAAAACGTTGGGTCGTCTACCCAGACTTTCACCTTAAGGCGCTTGTCCAGTCCACGCCGCACAGACCACCACAGTGAAGGCTCGGTCATCTTCATTGTAGCAGTACTCTCGTCCAGGATGGTCTTGAACTGCTTGAACAGGCTCACGTGAAACTAGAGAACAATATATCGAAACAAATCAGTTGTTGTCCAAGCCATAAACTGAAAATGTTGTTCTTTTGGCTCAGAATTTTCATTTAAAATAAATGTGAACTGAAATTCTAGAGCATGTTTTATCATTCATCCAATTCATATCTACACAAAAATATGACGGGTTTGTGGAACCTTTACTAATGAAAGAAAAAGAGATACAGAACAAAAAATGTTAAAAGACCAAGGACGAGGGGTGATCGACGAGTAGAGTAAATTATTGTTGTATTAAAATTATCTCTTCAAATAAGAATGTAACTAGCAACGGTTTTGGTCTGCTGTCACGTGTTTGGACAGATCTGCATTCATAGTAATGCAGTATGTATTGAATCAAATGCATGTTTGCTTTTGCTACCACATGTGCTAAGTGTGCTCCTGTAGTGTCCAGGTCAAATTTTGTTTCTCATGAGCAAGGAGAAAACACAGAAGGATACTTTTGGATGTGTTGTGAGTACATTTGAGTGGAACTCCACCTTCCTACCACACCATAAATTACAACAACAAGTAATTCATATGGAAAAAAAGGTAACCAAAGACAACTCAAAATCAAAGAGCCACGTGAAAGTCTTGAATTGCAAAGCATGCAACATGACCGGAAGAACTACCCTGGAGGATTATTGCATGGAAGTGTCACATTTAGATCATAAGCTGGACATCTCTGCGAGCACAGTATTCACTGCAATCTACAAAATATTTAAGCATGCTGAAGTCAGTCTCTGATGAATGCCCAGCGTGTCAATTCCAGCCCAGAGGATGAACAAGTTTCACAGAATATTTGGAACAGCCGTGGCAGTTTCAGGTAGTGATTTCTTCGCAAAGAGGCACGTGTGAGGCTGTCTAAGCATCATTATTATGGTGTTGGAAAAGGGGGATGACTATGCTTGTACAATGTCACATTAGGAGTTGCTCCGAAAAACTGCCCCATATTTAAAACAGCTTTAAAGATGAGGTAAAATCAGATTTTTTATACAGAATAACTAAGGAGCTGAGACATGGGTTCACCATTGGGAGCCCAAGACCAAGCAAGTCAATGCAATATACGTAGAAGCACGAAGACTCGCCACCACCAGCACACACATTTTGGGCTCAGGTGTAAGAAGGAAAAGCTACGAACACCGTGATTTGGAACAGCAAAGGCCCACTCCTGCTGGAGTTTGTGTCACCCGAGAAAACCCCCAACAATAAATCGTATGTAGCTGCCGTGAGAGCACTACACAGAACTACATTAGAACCTCGTTGATACATTCTCTGTTGATACGTTTTCCCGGCTGTTACGTTCAAAAACGCCGGTCCCGTTTTAGTTCTATAGAGATTCATGTATTAGTTTCCTGTCTGTTACGTTTGTTTTCCCGGTTGTTACGTCCGAAAGTGTCGGCATCGCGGCGTCTCGGCGCGCCGGGTGCCAGGCTGCCACGCTGGCTTTGAAGCGAAGCTGAGCTGAACTATGCAATGCGGGTCGCACGGCACGCGTGGGCACACAGACGCCCGTCTTTCTTTTACTCCTTTCCCCCTCTTTTCCGTCTCTGTCTCCTCGCTGGGCTTCGCTGAGCTCTGCCACAACTTCCCATCTTGCCCAGGAGTGACCTTGGAGCACTGCTCGACAGGAGAGCGAGTCTGGCGAGGCGGCAAACGCTTGTTCTTTCTTTCATCTGTCTTTCTCTAGCACAAGGTGTATTCGCATGCACGCTGCACTTCTAGTTTCTTTTCCGCTCAACTGCGTGAACCCTGGTGTTTCTGAGTATGTGCGCTTTGTGCCCATTGACGACTGTCATGGCATTGCGAAAAAGGAAGGCACTCTCTCTTTTAAAGAGAAGTTTGATATACTTCAAACGGTGGATCGCAATCCCAGCTGAAAGAGATCCGACGTCGCAAGAGACCTTGGACTCGCGCCGTCAACTTTGAACAGCATCGTGGCCGACTTTACTACTGCCGACAATGAAGAAAGTGATGAAGTTGTCGAGCATGAAATGAATAATTACACGGCACCCACGTTTGTGGATGCGACCGTTGCTTTGGACACCTTGCGCCGCTATGTAAATGTTCACGACTGCGTGGAGGGTGAGAGGACTGCAGCTCCTGGAGAAACGGCTTTTACTGCTTAACAGTAGAAGCGGCAGGCGGATATTACGCGCTTTTGTGAACATGTCCGAGTCTTCAACAGCTCTGGAAGTACACATAAATTCAATCATTGTATAAGAGCTGCTTTCTATCTGATGTAGAGCCCCCCTAAGTGCGTTAACGGTTGTTATGTTTTCCCGGAAAATAACTTTTTTTCTGCGGTCCCCTGAAAAACGTATCAATGAGGTTCTAGTGTATAAAAGAGACGTGCTGTCGAAAGCTGTCAGTGGGGGCAGTTTTTCATGCCACCTGAGTTGTTGAAAACACAGGTGGTTGAGCAAAGGTCCCGAAATTTGGAGAAGCTTCCACAACAACAGGGGTGTTTGAGTGTTGAAGAAGCAGCAGAGTCTCTCTCTTCAAAATATGTTCAATACTACACAAAATGTTTGTCTCATGAAGTTTGCTCCGCGGAATCCAAGTAGGCCACGTAGATAGAATTGAAATTTCGATGCAGTGAAAAATAAGGCATATTTTTCCCCCCGGAACCATTTTTCATGTTAAGCTGTATAACCTAATTTGTTGCCTCTTGTAATGTGCCATTGCCTAAGAAAGCAATAGAATATATCCCAAAATAAACTGGTGAACATAGGCTATAGAAATATTGAAAGATGCTGACACGCTAATAAGGCAACAAAGTGCACAAACACCATAATTAAATGCAAGCCTTTTCCTGTTGTGAAGTGTCGTTTATTTCAGGTTAGCAAGAGGCTAGAACACCTAATTTGGCATACATTGTTTGACCCACACTCGAGAAAGTGAGGCACATTATGTTCTGCCATCATTGCCAAACAGCTTCACAGACCTTCAATGAATGAGGCTTCTTTCCTTTTTAGTGACAGCAACAGAGATATTCATCAGAACCAAGCCCAAATTCGTCACAGTGTTTTGCTGTGGCACTTTCAACGCAACAGTACTGCAAAGTCTTGAGCAGAGAGCAAGCAAGGTCACTGCTGGTGCATACCATACCTGAGGGTCAGAAGAGCCACTGAGGTGCACCATAATGGGGGCCTTGTTTTTGCGGTACTGGCACACAAGTAGGTCCGGTGTCAACAATGTCCCGTTGGTGCTTTTGACAACCGCATCTGCTGTTGCGAGTTGCACTACTGTCCACTCTGGGAAAAGAGAGTGAAGAGCTAAGCAAGCTGGTTGATGATAAGAAAGGAAGGCAGAGTGCAAGTTTGTCTGTTTTTCTCAGGGATTGTAGCGACGTCAGAAAGATGCCGAGCTCCGATTGGCTCTGATTGAAGGATAGTGCATAGTCCTCGAGGCAACTTGCTTTGAGGTCTACCCATTATTTTTCAATCAAAGCCAATAAGAGCTCAGCGTCGTTCTGACGTCACCGAAGCCCCTGTGCAAGAAGCAAACGACTTGCTCTCTACATAATTGGGGCACACATCCCTACAATATTAGAGAAACTGTACATGCTTGTCCCATTACTTACTTATTGTCTCATATTTCCCGCATGTAGTATATGTACATTAAAAATGCATAGGAAATTGCTGGGCAATTGTGTTGGACGTGAAACGTGTGGTTTTAGTCCGATTCCTTTGGGATTTACATCTACGCTCTTGGCACTCTTCATTGGTTGGTTTAGCAACTAACCTGACGCGTGGGACATACACTGGATAGCAATTCCTGGAATGGAGGTACCAACGCTAACCCGGGTTTTAAGCCATTGGGGCTCTTCCAAAACCTGAATCAGCCAATCAGTATCGAGCTAGGTGGTGTGTCGTCACGTGGCTCAGCCAATCAGCATCGAGTTAATCGGCAACTTCACTTTTCGGTTTCACTAATTTCTGGATCCCCTCTGACGAGACAAGGCATGTTTTATACGTGTAAATTACATTCTGATCATAACCTTGTACACTAAGCCTTTCCCAGGTACAAGAACTATTATATTATTACCCGATTACATTGGATTTGTTAAAAATATTCCACTGCAAAAAAAAAAAAAAAAAAGAAATTGGTGTCTTTTTTTTTTTTTTTAATTTAACAGATATGTTTAAATATACATACTATATATATAATATTATACAGGATGTTTCACGAAGGGTGGACAAATTTGATATTGCGGAAACTACACGTCGCAACAAAAAAAAAGGGTTGTGTCGTTTTGGTCCTGGGCCAAGGGCCTATTTAGGAAAATGATTAAATTCCGGGATTATTAGGTTAATCATGTCGTATTACACCTGAGACTGCGGTGGAAGAAATCGGAAGAACTTTCAGTAGAAGGAACAGACACAGAGAACGTCGGACCACAAGGGTTGTCAGAAGGCCCATCGGGAACCTTCAGTTCCTTGCAAAGAGAGTGTAGTATATGAGATTCCGTTGACATGTGGATTTAGGTACGTGGGACAAACTTCAAGATGCCTTAATGACAGGTTACTAGAACACCAGAGAAATATACGCATGCATGCGCCAAACTCCGAAATAGCAAAGCACATAGAGGAATGCAATAATTGTAATGCGCATTGGTCAGAGACAGAAGTTCTGCATAAAGAGCGAAATGACATTAAGAGGGTCGTTAAAGAAACAATAAGAATAAGTTCTATCGGAAACTGCATAAGCCAAGCATCCATGCAACTTGGACGCAACTCCAAAAAGTTTCTCAGACTTTGAACGAACACATTCGGTTTACGAGAAGAAGGTGGGGGAGAGACAATGTATATGTCTATATACATCTAAACATTTTTTTTTTCTTTTTTGCTTTTAAATGTGCTCGTGATCGCGATTTCGAGATCCCTTGGGTGTGTTTTCCCAAAGAAAGAAAAGGGGAAAAAAAAAAAAAAAAAAGGAAAAAAGTGTTGTTTTGTGATTTCTTTTTGCCTGGGTGCGTCGCCACGGTTTAGGGGCCACCTGTGTGTTTTTTTGTTTTTTTTGTGCGCTTTGACGCGACTGTTAGGATAATTCGGGACATATCTCTGTCAAGGTCACTGCGATGATCCGCAGTGTCCCATTGTTAAGTCCTTGTCTCATGTGTGGGTTGTTTTGTATCCATCCGGTTTGAAATGTCTGCAACAAAGGAGTTTATCTGTAGAGTGTGGTTGGGAAAATGTTCCGTGGGTACTTAAAGGCTGTTTGAGAAATAAACCAGTTAGCTGAATTGAGACGTTCTCTGTGTCTGTTCCTTCTACTGAAAGTTCTTCCGATTTCTTCCACCGCAGTCTCAGGTGTAATACGACATGATTAGCTACCACCAGCTCGCCTGCACTCTCACCGTCTTTTCATTATTAGGTTGTTCATTATTTTAGCGTAATTAACTTTTTTAATATTGTGTTTAAGGGCATAGTTTCAATTAGAAAATTGCTCAGCATCATCAAAAAACACTAAATCAACAAATTGCAGAACGATAGAAGGCATGCGAAGCATTTGACGGTTTCTAAAAGACCGCACAAATTTGACGGGGTTTTTAAGTTTCAGTTTGCTATTGGAGCGCATCTCGGCCCCGGCGGCACCGCGCCCCGTGAAAATAGTGCAACCAACCTCTGCTGCGCTGTCATCGCGCAACGTTTTTAGATCTCAAAACCGGGAAGGCATATGCAACAAATAAAATAATCCCACACACACCCCTATGAGAACACAATAGGACCAGAGTTTGTAAACAAAACAATATGAACAGAGATCAATGAGGTTCTTCCTAATCATTGCTTTGGCAGCCCCTTAGGTGTGCTGTCCAAACATTTGTTTTCTCACCACTCGGCAGAAGATCCAGCGCTTTGGTCAGCTCTTCTGGTTTGAACTCAGAATACAGTTTGAAGCTGAGATCATCTGCCTTGTTCAGGTCTGGCCCACTGAGCATCCTCTGCAGTCCTTGTTGAACCATGGCAGCTTGCTTCCTGAACAGATCCAAAGGCCATATGGTGAACGCTCCAATTACGTGCAAAAGCACTGTTACTACACATTAAAGGTCTTCCAGGTGACTAAAGCTCCCAAGAATGGTGACTCTACCATTGTGCATAAACATAAAGGAGCATGAAATTCCTTAGAAGACTTTGTGAATCAGAGTTGTGTGCAGAGAGCAATTTCAGATTATGCCTCCGTAGAGGTTGTATCCGCATCTGAACCACATTCACAAGTTGCATCCAAATCCAACCCTCACATTATTCTTTTATTTTTTGGTTACATTTTGAATTTGAACATTATGGGTGCATGTGCACTTATACAAACTTACCCTTCCCAACACCAAGCATCTCAAGCCCCTTTACCTTTTGACACATTATATGAAAACAGTGGTGCTGAGCCTGGAGACACTATATGCTGCCGGAAGCCTCACGCAAGCCGAATCAATGTGTGAATATGCCAGAAACTCAGTAAATTCCTAGAGATGATCATCCAAAAAGGAGCTATGGGGTTGTTGATAGACCATATTTTGTGACTAAAACTTCCCCAGAGCCAGATGTGGTAGATGTTTAGTGAATTTGACAGTACATAGCAAGTTTGTTTGTTTCTTTTTCTCAATGGATGCAACATGGGTCTAGCCACTAGCAGATTTCATAAAATTTTTACATGTGTAAACTTTCTGCCAATTGTTTCAAAATAGATATAAAGTCAACATTCTCCAACAATAAAAGGCAATATATTGGTAGGCAACCAGACAACAATATATGAAGTCCCTGAAAGCACAAAACAAAAGTTTTAAGGCTCAAAACACAATTAACATTATATGCACTTTGATGTTTCCTCATCAGTTAATTTTTTTTAGCGTTAATATCATACATTAGTAACAAAAACATGATCACTGAGCACACTCCATCAGGTCCTTTGAACTTAAGTCAGGATTCTCATCCAAAATTATACAGATCCAAAATGATGATACAAACTCTATTCAGGCTACAGAGTAGCTCAATGCTGATAGTCAAATAGTATAAGCATGCATGATTAAAAAAAATATAAAGGGTTCTCACATCTTTTTTAGGTTGACTTTTTTTTCTTTAGCTATTCAACTCAAGATTTGAAATACCAGTACTGTTCCCATCCAATTAATGCTAGAGCACTTCAGTATGGGGACTCCCTGAAAATGCAACCAACTTGAGCTTCTTGTGGAGGCAGATCAGTCCCACATGCTGCAGGGTCACGGCTGCAGTCTGGGTCAGGTACCAGAAGAGAGCTCCTCCCTGCTCGCCGGGGCACTTCTGCAAGCATTGCCAAGTGCGTCTTGAAGCCACCTTATCAATACAGCAAAATTCAGCTCTTTATTAAAAAAACTTTCAGCCTTTCCACTCTGGTGAAAAAGGAAGAGCAGCGGAGCTGTAGCTTCTGTTCTCGGAGGCGACTTTCCAGGCAAGCAATGTGCTCTCCTTTCGCAAGGGAACCTGAAGCGCTCGACGCAGTGGAACTCGACGCGACAGCGGCTTTGCGGCGGCTGTGGACAAATTCGCGCTGCTGCGTACGTCGCCGCTCCTTCCGCACCCAGTCTTCTTTCCCGGAACAAAGGGCACGTAGCTGACCCATTCTGAGTCCAAACCAAAACTGATAAGAGCGTAGGAAACAGCGCGAAAAACTGAAGAGAACGAAAAAGAAACACATGGGACAGCGCTCGTCCCGTGTGTTTCTTCTTCGTCCCTCGTCTGTTTTTCGTGCCGTTTCCTACGATGAATTCCCGCCAACTCTCCCAACTACCCATTCTTCTATAATAGCTGGAAAGGTTGCTGCCATCTATGAGCGACGAAGGCAACCAGACTGGTTGTCCGATTGCCGCCGTCGCTTATAGATGGCGGTAGCTGTCCAAAGGCTTGTGTAGGTTTGTGTCGACATTTGTTTGGTACCGGACACGATCCTGGGGAACGTAGCCCTTAACAGCTCCACTGTAAAAATAAAAATTACGACGTTCACACTTGTGCACATTCAGGCAAATATTGAAGTACTCTATAGACAAATGGGAGCATGCATTAATACAGTCCAATGAAATCAAAACCAAATGCACTGGAAGGTCAAAATTCCTTTGAATTCTAGTAGCCCATTCTTTTGGAACAGTGTGCCAGGAGCAGAAGCAGGTTAGCAGGAGTACAACCTGCTAACCTGGGGTTTTCAATGTGCATCACGCAGTAGTGATACACGAACACGTGCCGGTACGAAATTCATCCAGATTGAAATGGGCAGGGGGTGAAGATTGAACCCAGGGGGTTCTGCAGCACAAGCTTTCGCTCCATGCTCCCAGCTGACACGCGTTAGGCCATTTGGCAACCAATTCCCCCTCAGTAAAGCGTACGGGTAAAATGCTTCTGATATTCAACTTCACAGGACAAAAATACGCAAGAATTCACCTCTAGCTGGTTCTTTTCAAAAACCTCTTCAGCTTTCCTTGGCTGCAATATTTGTACTTTCCGAAGTGTTGATATGGGGGATCAGTGGCCAAGTGGGCTAGCACACACCTCCTCCGAGCACATGAAGCAAAAGCTCGCGCTGTAGAAGCTCGAGATCCTGGGTTTAATCCCCGCCCACGCCTGCTTTGATCTAGGTGAGCATCGTACCGGCGTGCGGTTCTGTATCACTACTGCATGATACACGTAAAAGACCCCAGGCTAGCGGCTGTACTGCGCTGGCTAAATTTCTCATCTACAGCTGAGACACCGGACACCCATTGAGGCAGAATAACTTCTGGTTGTATAAACATACACACAACATTATTATTATTATTATTATTAACTGTTGGCCCCGGCGAGTTAGCCTCGTTGGGTGTGCTTCTTGCCGAGCACGGGTGCACTGCGGAGAAGCAACACACATGGAGCTCGCTTCCGCGGATGTTGCTTCTCCACAATGCACCGGTGCTTGGTATGTGCGCGCTCAACAGGGCTAACCCGCTGGGGTCAACACTTAAAAAAATATGAATATCAAAGTTCATTTCTTGAAGCAAATATTGAATGTGTATTATTCGAAACTAATATTCGAAAATTCAAATATTCGCACAACGCTTCTACATAGTTAATATGCTTGTGTCTGTCTTACAAATAGTGACAGAAGATCCAACGCATTGAAAGCGTGCCACGTGCGGCCACTAAAAGAAAATAACAGTGCAACACTCGCTCATGGCACTTGTCTCAGACGTTCGCACAATGGATGTTGGTACTTGTAAAAAATGTTTATTGGAAATTTTATTAGGGTCCTCTAGCATCAGTGCCACGAGCGTGCCACACGGTGGTGCAGTGGACCAACTCATGTTTACAACAACATGTTTACAACAACAACATGTTTACAACATGTTTACAACAAATGCACCAACTCATGCTTACAAACGAACCGGAGCGCCATTAGCGGACGCCACCGGCGCCGCGCATGCGCGATGGAGTGTGGGCAAAAAGCTCGTTGTCGCCCATAAACAAACCATTGGAAGGCGATGTTGTTGGCGTCAATGTGATTCCCCCTGCCCTTTTTCGCATTTGAATTGTTGACTCCACGTCTGAGCAGCCTCAGTGAAATTACCGAGGCTCGTTACACCACAAAACTTCGCATGAATAATGTGACATATGGCGATTCATTCCGCGTGGACGCCGCAGAATGTACACTAAAGCCTGATTCGCATGATGAGATTTTGCTCGCAACGTTCAGTCGCAATGTCGCTCGGGCTGCAAAAGCGTGAACCGTAGCTGAGATGGTCGACGTCGATACTGAACATCGCAAGCAGAATCGGACCAAGTGAATTAGGCATAGCAAGTCGGTGATGGCCACTGGTAACAATGATCAACATCTCCTTCTGTCTACTGCTTACATTGAGCCTGCTTACCAACCCTCAAACTTAAGTCTTTTGAGGCCTGCACTTACTTCTTATCACAAGTACCAAGCCAACATTTGGTCTAAAGGCCGGTATCATCTAAAAGAGCAGACGACAAGCAGAAGCGTTTAAAAGAGCAGACGACAGTTCAAACACTCAGGCGGCCGTTTGAACTTGAAGAACGGAAGAGAGGTGCATAGTCACAATTGAAATGTATTGCATTAAGCTTCTTCACAATTCTTCATGCAACATATTTCAGTTGTGAGTATGCGCTTCTCTTCTGTTCTCTTCTTACCTCGTCTGTTCTGTCTATTTGCGCACGGACTATCATTATGTTTAAAGCATTCATTACATGCTCTACCTCATGAACGAGGGCTTTCCGTCTTTGAGAGCGCTTCGCAGCATGTACAGCCAAAGCCCTACGGAAGGCAATGAGCATGAGCTAGACGCACAGCTTTTAAATTCCTATCTGTCACTGACCATAGGTCTCATGAAGCATTGACATTTGGCCACATTAATATTTAAATTAGAGTCAAGCACCAATTTTGCTGCCATAGTTTACACTGCTCATGCACATTATTCACCTCACTAGCGACAGCTTCAGTGGTAGGCACTTGAGAAATTGGAGATCAAGCATTGGGACAAATTGTGTAATGCACTGCACATGCTGAAGAAACATTGGGCGAGCCTGTATAAATTCCCAGGCTCACCAGCTTTCTTTAGATATCTCACCCTAATTCTTTCGTACTTGCCAGACTAATGAAGGCTAAAAATTCAAAGATTTCCTTTGTTCTTTGAGTGAAAATATTGTGACAAACACTGCAAATCCAAATGTTTATGCATACCATAAGCATTAGAAGTCATTTTCATGCAAACTTATTGCAGAGAAAGTGTAAAATTACCAAAGCTCAAAGTAAATGATAGCTACTATGTATTTCCCCTCCTTGCTAAACAGAAGGCAACAGCTGTGTCCTACCTGTAAGTCAAAGAGGTGCAACATGGTCTTGCACATTTCAGAGTACAATGGACACGGCGGGAAGTGAATAATTAACTGGAATGCTTCGTCAAGAAGTTGCATCAGCTTCTCCGATGATGCTACTGAAAAATAAAGAAAACAATATGGAACTATATTAGACTTCTGCAAGACTTTCTCACTGCTTAACCCCGGGCATGAGGGCCTAGCAAGAATGTAGAGAAAGGAACAAAAAGAAGAGGGGCTGAAAGGACAAACATTCTTCTTTAAAAGCTGAGCTGTTATTTATTTAGTGCTGATCAGAAAACCGAAAATATTTTATTCCAGTTGATCAAACGAAATTAAGGTACTGCACCCTTCAGACATATAGCAGAGGCGAGTTTTAGCTGCATGTTCCGAGTTTTCATTTAGGCTTGCTACCTGGCTAATTTTTGACCGGCACAACCATCTTTTTTAGTGCATGTGGCAAGCTGCCGGATTATACTCTGAACCGGCAAGCATTTGCTCGCCTTCCTGGCTATCTCTGGGGCTTCTCTTGCAGCTGGGATCATTCTACATTCACTATTGTGATCAATAAAAATGTGGCTTTGTTGTAGTTACAAAATGTGTTGAAAACCTGCAAAAATACAGGGCAGCAGCTATTTTGGAAGTCTGTGCTAGGTGCTGCACTGCTGTTGTGTGCCTCAAATCCCACAAATAGCAAATTCCGGGTGCATAGCAAACATATTTTCCAGATCCTTGTCCACTTCGTCTTAACAGGGTTTGACGATATACTTGCGAGAGCATGAGGCATCACCTTCCGGTTTACACGCAGGCAACTGGTCTTCAGAGAACAGGACCTCCTGCTGCATGAAGGACAGGCTTCCGGAGTCGGCCGGGCCCAGTTCGTTAATGGACAACCTGGCCACCGCACAGATTGCCTCCTCCTCCTCGATGACGTTGAGCGCGGCACTCGGTCCTCTCGTCAGCGACAGCTCCGGGGAGAATCTGGCAGACGGTGGCGCTGCGTCCTCCGCAGCGGGCGTCGACAAGCTTGTCTTGGCGACTTGTCGTCGAGCTCGCACCTGGGGAACGTGCACGAAACAATGGGACAAGAAACTGTTGAAAACGCCACAATATTGAGCCGCAATAACAATAGGATCGAAAACACTAGGCTAACGAACAAAAAGGTGGGGGAAACCACACACATCCGTCTCAAACTCAACCGCGACAGCTATTTTCACTTCCTTGTTTTTAAAGGCCCACATAACCAGTGTCGAGAATAAAAATTAAGATGATTTATATCGCAATTTAAATCATGATTTAAATCAGACCAGCTTTACTATGATAATTTAAATCAAACCTTTCCTAAAAAAAATATTTAAAATAGTTTTTATTTACTGTTAGTCAATTATTTTATGCTTTCTGTGTACATTTGTTCTGTAGTGATGTCGTAATTATTAAGCAAAAAAATCTATATCAGGCTGAACACGAGCAAAAAGCAGTGCCCTTCTAAGCAAATCGGAGCATTCAGTTTTGTCCCTAGGTTCCACTTCGTTCGTCACTTACTCTTACTGCAAGCAAATCAGAATGTAAAAGAAAGAAATTACTTTAGAAAAAGAATGTCTTATTGCAATCAAATCACAACGCAAAAGAAAGTCAATAAAGATTTTTAGCTAACGAAAAAAATTGAGCAGTTTTCGTTCTAGTATGGAGAGTTTACATCAATAAAAAGTTAATTAAACTGTACTTTAAATATACAGTAATTCTTTTTTCACACTCCTATGAGCAATTGGACAGATTAATAAATACATTTTCCATGTTTAAAAATACATAAAGCAATTAAGAATCCATATTTTCTAGTCAAAAAAAAAAAAAAAAAAAAAATTGGGGGGTTTTACGTGTTAAACCAACGACGGGCATCTGGCACGCCCCAGCGGAGCATTGAGCATTAATTTCGACCACCTGGGGATTTTTCGACGTGCAACCGAAAGCTCGGTTACACGGCCCCTCCTTCGCAATAAGCCTCCGTCAGATTGCGGGTACCTCGGTCGGGATTCAAACCCGCCACATGGAGATCTGTAGGCCGGCGCTCTCGCCTCGGAGCCACCGAGGTGGCTCCCATATTTTCTAGCGACAGATTTAAATTGAATAAATCTGATTTAAACCAAATAAATCTGATTTCAATCAAATAAATCTAAGCTACCCGATTTAAAAGAAAACAAAAACAAGAAGCACTCAAGAAGTCCACACTCAACAACAACCCTTTTCCAACCCTGGGCCAGTTTGCTCGAAGCACTAACCGCGGCTAAAGTTAGCCGCAGTACTTAGGAGAGGGATTTTGAAATCACGTTACTGGTTCAGTAGGGATGCGGGGAAACATGGCGGTGCCACGGTGAGTGAGCACCGCTCGCTTTGAAACTAATATGTCTTTTTAGCTGCAATATTGGGCGCGTTAGTCAGCAATGAATGGTGCCGGAGGCGTTCACTTTGTCTTACCTCACTTAAATCGCAAAGCATGAGCATATGACCTCGCCGCATTTTTTAGATAGTTTTTCGATTCTGGCCATTCCTAAGCCCAAATGAACGCGATAATTGTCGGCATGGCAACGTCCTTGGAAAGTGGATTGCCTTGACTAAATCGGCCGGGTATTGATAGCACACAAAAGCAGACAGCGTCCCAATAGACCATAATGACCTTTCTCTAAATTTCCCAAGCACCGAGGTGCATGCTACGAGTGTAGTTACACACATTGCACGTGCTGGTGTCTGCAGTAGTAACTGTTCTAAAGCAAAAAGTCTAAAACAAATTTTGTCTTGCATGCGCGTTCGTCAAGCTTTTATTATGATTATTTACTTCGAATCTCTTATAAGAGGAAGGCCAGTGCGCGCAGGCTGTAGAATTACACTTCCAGCGTTCTTCTTGATGTTTGGGTAATTAGAAAAAGGTCTATTGGGATGCTGTCTTTTGTGTGCAATCAATACCCGATCGATTGAGTCAAGACAATCCGCTTTCACAAGACGTTGCCAAGCCGACAATTACCGCATTCAGAGTCGAAAGACTATCTAAAAAATCCGGCGAGGTCATTGCTTATGCTTTGCGATTTAAGTGAGGTAAGGCAAAGCGAAAGCCTCCTGCACCATTCGTTGCTGACTAACGCACCCGATATTGCAGCTACAACGACATATTAGTTACAAAGCAAGCGGCACGCTCACTCACTGGGGCACCGCCCATGTTTCCCTGCATCCCTACCGAGCCAGTCACGTGATTTCAAAATCCCTCTCCTAGGTACTGCGGCTAACTTTAGCCGCAGTTAGCGCTTCAAGCAAACGGGCCCTGAAAGGCACAGAACCAGTCAAGCGATCCCATTCAGCTTTAATCACTCGAGTGGAGAGGGTCTACCCTCACCAATATGCCCTGGAGTATCTGTAAGATGAACTATAAAGTATATATATACAGTCTAAGCTCGTTGTGACAGACCTGGATTTTCACCAAGATTTCAGTCTGCTGTAAAAGGAGTATGTTGTATGCAGATATGAAGTTGAGTCAATGGTATGTAGAGGAAAACCAACCGAACTTCACAAATCGGTATGTTATATCCAAATGTCTGGTGTAACCAGGTCTGTTGTAATGAGCTTAGACTGCATTTCCTTCCCAACTCATAAGCTAAGTTCACTGATAATCATAAAAGCCAATAGTAAATTAAACTTGAGGAAGGAAACAAGAAGGAAGGATAACCACAAACTTTTGGAAGCTTGTGGTTGTCCACCCTTCTCGTTGATTTCCTCAAGTTTAATTATCCCTACCAACCTGCTCATTCTGTCCTATACTAGTACAAGTTTCACACTTACTCAATGAATGTTTTCCGATAATAAACAGCTCTCCCATTCGAACGTCGGAATGTTTCTTTTCTAACTACAGTTGAACTCGGATATATCAAATTCAAAGGGGATCGTAAAATAGTTTGATATATCGATAATTTGGTATACAAAAATATGTTAACTTAAGCTCCCATTGAAATTTCTGAGTGTCTCTGCTAATACCGAAGGCCGTGTCAAACGGAACCTTACCAAATAAAGCCTCTAAGAGCTGCTAAATACACTAGAGCTCAGTTGGTGAAAATCACAAACACCGCCGTATTGACGGAACACTGTTTGCTAATGTTTAAGCCTGGCCAAAACCTCCATACAATGTCAGCAAAAAAAAACAAAAATAATTAAAAAAAAAAAAAAAAGAAAAATGCGAGCCGCATAAAAAAAAACTTGATCCATGGAATAAAGTTAAGCAAGCAACAAAAAAGAAACCGCACAAAATTCAGGCAGAAAAAAAAAAGAAAAAACTGGCAAAGCAAAACCTGCGAAAGAAAAGGGTAAACAAAGATAAGGCGTTCAAAGTGTGACTGCTCAACCATTGTTGTCAACACACTCAACTTGACGAAGACTTTTTCTTTTGCTTATTTTATTTTGGGGCTAAGGAGTCGCACAGCGACAGCGAGCGGTGTTCGGGTAAGGAGCCCTTGCTACCGTTCCAACAGTGAGCACTCCATTGCCTCCCTACGCGCGCGCGTGCCTTTCCCCTTGCTTTTGCCACCTTCAATTTTTTTTTATCCTTTTTTTTGCAATTGCTTTTTTGTTGCACATTTCTGTGCACGTATGCTGGCTTGGCGGTCTGCCAGCTTTGCAACGCGAGTTATGTGCTCGCCGCCAGCGCAGTCCGACCGTGGGAGAAGCAATGGGCAGCAGTGTCCCCACCACGGGAGTTCAGCAGAGAAAAACAATGCTCCTATACCATTACATGTGATTTTCAAGGGGATGTCTGGACTGTTTGATATAAACAATAATTCGAAATATCCAGGTGTGATATAACCGGGCTCGACTGTCACATATATATGAAACACGTTGGATATTTATTTGAAAGGATGCTACCAGCATCCATTCTATAGCATAAGGGCCAAAGCCCTTTTGCTATGGAATTCCTGTGTCAGGGAAAGTGAGCTATGTAGTTGAAGGAGTAGACAAAATATTAGGAAAACCGATGACAGCTAAAAGAAGGAAAGTGCAAAAATAAAAAAAGTGTGTTAGTCATGCATTGTTCGGGGAATTTCATAGGGTCACTCCCAGGTGCAATGCTAACATTAGAATGCTCTTTGTCCTCAGAGTTCTAAGGTAGTACAACTCTTGTAGTACTCCATGCCGACAGCATTGAGTACCACAGCATTGAGTACCGCAAGCGGAGTACCACATCCAGGACCAATATAAGTACCGTAATATCCCGAGTCATTGCCCATCCCCGAGCCATCGCCCACCCCATTTTTTGGGCCAATATCGATTTCCGAAAAAACACCGAGTCATCGCCCACCCCTTCAAATACCCCAGCGCGGACTCTGCGATCCGCGAACACTCATCCTACCCGAATGACGCGGCCGCGGACCTTACAGTTGGAGGACCTCCGTGACAAAGTAAAACGAAGGAGGGAAAGACACTTCTTTTTGTTTACGTATTTCCTCCGTGAGCGACCCCAAAGTGGCCGTGTATCCGTGCGAAAAGAAAACGTGGAGATAACAAAACAAGAGTTTGTTAATGTAACCGCGGAGTATTAAGTCAAAGTCTGTCTCCGCCGAAGTAAGGACACCACGAACCCGCTCCTTCTTCCCGCCCGTCGCGACCGCGGTTGTGCAATATTTTAGGCAAAGCCAACGCGTAAATAAAGCTTTGCTGGAACGCCCTACACAGACGGTTGCAAAGCGTCCCACCGTGCATTGATAGCCTGCCGTGCACGGACGCACGTATGTACGCACCAAACAAGAAAGTTGCGCAACAGCTTGCGATTGACAAGGCGCCCGACTTGGCCCGACGCCAAAGTATTTGCAACGCGGCTTTCCCGCTTTCCCAGGATTGCTCTTGGTCGCTTCTTTGGTCCGCTCGCTCGTTGCTCCTGGTCGGTTTTTCTATTTTCTTGTAGACTTTTCTTTCTTTTTTTTTTATTTTTTTTACTAACTAGGAGAACATAGTGGTGACATTCTTTCACGGAACAAACGTTCGCGCTATATGCAGATCGGCGGTGTTTCTAGCGCGTATGCAAGCA